CCTTCAAAAACCTTTAGAAGAAGAAAATATATCCCTAAACAATTTAGGAAAAGAACAAATAAACCATGGATTAGAAAGTATAAAGTACCTAATAAAAGTACATGTAAATGTTATCTTTGTGGTGTAGTAGGACATATTAGACCTAAGTGTCCCAAATTAGGAAAACAACCTAGAGAAAAAATACAATTAATGGAGCAATTTCAATTAGAAGATGATGAGGACTTAGAATCAATTTATAGTATAGATGATAATCTAAGTGATAATGAAAGCATTTATAGTATTAATGCCTTAGACTTAGAATCAGAATTAGATTACTCTAGTAATTCCGATAGTGAATTAGATGAACATATGTGTATGTCTGAAGAACAAACAGAGCATGAAGAATTTAAATATGTTAATTTAGGATGGCCTCAAGAATGTAAGCAATGTAAGAAAATAGTAGTAGAAAAATATTACACTAAGACAATAGTTTATTGTAAATCTTGCTTTAATAACAGACCAATAGAAATAAATACAGTTGAAATCAATAATCAAAAGAATAATTGCCCTAGTAAAGAGAAACAAAAGACTAGTTCATTAATAACAATTAATTGTGAGTTAGAATTGTCAAAAGAAAATAAAATTCAAACAACAGCCATGATAGATACAGGAAGCACAAAAAATGTAATAAAAGAAGAATTAGTGCCAGAACAATTTAGGCAGAAATTAGCTAGACCAGTTAGAATTATACAATTTGATACAAGACATGTATACTTAACACATTGTATTAATAATATACCAATTAGGATAGAAAGACAACAATTTAATTTACCCTTAACCTTTATATCCCTAGTAGGATTATATCTCTTTATCTTAGGATTAAATTTCTTAAAAAGTTTACAAGGAGGATTTTATATACACCTCTAGACATTACATTTTTTAAGAAGGGTATAACCACAATAGATCAAAGTAATATATTAGAGTCTTACAATAGTATTAACATAGAAGAACAAAATTTTAAGTATAATATGGAAGAATTAGAGGAAATAAGTGAAGGAAAAATAGATGAACAAAATAATCTAGAATATGATGACATAATATTTGATCATGAGTATCCACTTATAGGAAACATAGAACCTTTAGAAATCATGCAAATAGATAGACCAAAAAATTTAGAAGAATTGTTACAATTAGTTGAACAAACTAGAATTATAGGAGAAGATCCCCAATTACATTGGAATAAGAATAAGATATTACCAAAATTAAACATTATTAATCAAGATTTAACAATTAAAACAACAGATATGCCTTGTAACTTGTTAGATAAGTAAGAATTTTAACAACAGATAAAAGAACTTTTAAACTTAAAAGTAATTAGACCTTCAAAATCTAGGCATAGATCAGCAGCCTTTGTAGTTAGAAAACATTTAGAACTTAAGAGAGGTAAAGCTAGAATAGTGTATAATTATAGGAGATTAAATGATAATACTTATGAGGATAGTTATAAACTACTAAATAAAGATGAACTTATGAATAAAATTCAAGAAAGTAAATATTTTAGTAAGTTTGATTGTAAATTAGGATTTTGGCAAATTAGATTAGCAGAAGAATCAATCCAATGGACAACATTTACCTGTCCATAAGGACATTTTGAATGGCTTGTAATGCCATTTGGATTAAAAAATGCACCATTGATCTTTCAAAGAAAGATGGATCAAATCTTTAAGAAGTATGATAATTTTTGTAGTGTATATGTAGATGATATATTAGTTCATAGTAAAAATAAAAATGAACATAGAAAACACATAGAAATTATTTTAAAAGAATTTATTGATAATGGTATTGATATAAGTAGGAATAAAGTAGAGCTTGAAAAACAAGATATAGAATTCTTAGGTATGTATATTAAGTCAGGAACTATTCAATTACAAGAACACATAGCTAAAAAAGTGTTAGAATTTCTAGATAAGTTAGAGGATAAAAAGCAATTACAAGCATTCTTAGGTTTATTAAATTATGCTAGAAGTTTTATCCCTAATTTAGGAAGAAAAATTGCATCTTTGCATAGCAAAACTAGTAAAACAGGACATAAATATTTTAATAGTGAAGATATTAAGTTAGTTCAAAGTATAAAACAAGATATAACCCAACTTAAACCTTTAGCATTACCATTAGATAATCATTATAAAATAGTTGAAACGGACACATCATCAATAGGATGGGTAGGAATATTATATCAAAAGAAACATAAGGAAAAACCAAAATCTAAAGAAAAAGTTTGTAGATATGCATCAGGAAAATTTAATAATATACAGGCTAGACTTCTAGCTACTGACTTAGAAATATTAGGAGTAATTAATTCCATTGAAGCATTTTCATTGTTTTTACATAATGAAATATTTACTATTAGAATAGATTGTCAAAATATTGTTTCTCATTACTACTAATAAACAAGCAGCCCGAAGATGGGTCAATTTTGTTGATTCTATTACAGGAAATGGATTTAGATTGATATTTGAGCATATTAAAGGTATGAATAATACTTTAGCAGATATCTTATCCCGTATTATTCATTAACAGGTATGCAATATTTTGGACCATCATCATCTGGCAGCAAAAATAATGGTACACCATCACCAAGTGGTAATCCATTAAGCATCAGTAATCAAGCAAGATTAGTAGTAAATACTTATTTTTATAATGGAATTTCCATACAAGAAGTTAGAAATCCCGCTTTAAAGTATCGTACTCAAGCATCATTAGCAGAAAAACAAAAAGTTCTTTTAGATAACTTTTGGAATATTAGAACTAATACTGAAAGTATGAGAAGAGGGCATGAAAGCTTATTAGAGCCCTTGAGCAAGAGTTTTTAGCATATAATTATGATTATAAAATAGCAAAACAACACCTTTCTTTTTTGCAGGAAAAATATGCAGAGCAAAAAGGGGAATATGATACAATAGTTAAGCATTTTAGAATTATTAATTTAAGATGTCCAATTCTACAAGAAGAGGCTAATAAGCCCAACTTACTTGAGCATAATAGTGAATTTTTACTTGAGCAAAAATTTAAAAATCCCTATTTTCTTCAAACTCTAGCTAGAGAAAGGTATAGATTTTTACCACAAGATGTTAAGAGTCATATGATTAATTTAGAATATGAGCAAAATACATCTCTTCAACTATATATCCAAGCTTTTCTTTTCAATCTAAAAAGCAATCCACAACCTGGCATCAAAATTATTACCAAAAGCTGTTCACATTACATTATACACTTAGCTAGTGTTAATATGGTCGAATATAGAGAATTGCATTTAGTGCATAAACAAAAAATAATCGTAGTTACTCCACCATTATTAGCACAATATGGTTATTTAGGGCAACTTTATATTGAAAAAGGCGAGCATTTAGATTCATTCTCCCCAAAATTTAGAGAAATCATAAGTTTTTATCTGCCTCTCTGGAAAAATGTAAAATTACATTTCACTAGTATACCCCCAGAGTGGTTTAAAGATAGCATTTACCCATATTTAGCACAACATAGAATTATTATTTCTTTTAATGAATTACTTAGTCCGGGAGAATTAGCACAAACAAGAATTCCTACTAAGCAAGATGTCCAACAATATAGAGGAGCAATAATAGCAGAGCAACAACTATTTAATGATGATCATCTGACCCTCCTGTACCAGTCCAAGATTATCAAGGTGTATTCAGAATCCACATCCAGGAGACCGCATGATATATATGAATACAGGATCAGCAAGATAGGAGCAAAAGTTTTTGATGAAATCTATAATCAGATAACATAACAAATTACAGCATAAGACAATGACAACACATACTGGAATAGTTTAGGAGAAGAAGAGCTACACAACATAGATAACATGATGGATGCATGAAGACCACGTGAAGAAACCATCCAGCAGAATAGTCGCCAAACTATTTGGCTCCATACGACAGTACGAAGCAACATATGAAAAGAAGAAAGATTTTAGTTTCATACGGCTAAAAGGATCCCCTAGGAAATCTAGAAATGAATAAGGGCATTATTGTCCAACCACTTTAATTTTGTCATTCTTTATAAATATTGCACCTATTTTGGGTTTATTTATAAGCCTCCCTAAAAATATTACATCACAAAGTCAAACTGCCAAAAATAACAGTAGGAGAGAGAAATGTTATTCCACCTAAGATTTAACATTTCAGTTGGAGTGAGTTTCAACTATTTTGTATACATGCTAAAAATACCACGTTGAATTTAACATCCCCCTTAGAGATGCTATTAAGAAATACAAAGGATGGGAAAAAGGGTCTTAAATCCAAACGTGAGATGCTTTAATGTTTTAATTTAAATCAAGCTAATTTTGAATTATTTGAAAATTTAACCATATTTTGTTATGGAACAATAAATAAAATTTTAGTTGAGGGTCACTCAAATAATTTGAGGGGATTGTAACAATAACTATTTAAGTTTCTTTAGCATTTTTTTAAAATCTATTTGAAAAACTATTTACGATAAGAATTAGAATTAGTAAAGCTGAATAGATTTTAGTAAAAGCAAAACAATATTTTACGTTATAAATTGCATAACTTAAATATGATTACCCTTTGACAAAAAAAAATCTGATTACCCAAGACTGAAAGTCAAATTTCCCAAAACGAAAAAATAAAAATAAAAAAAGAAACAGAAGAAAATTCTTTAGGGGTTGTATTAATGATCTGTAACAGCGCTAGTAAGATAGGCCCCTTCCCTACAACAAACTGGAATCATCAGTTTCCTTCTCCAAATCTCCCAAATCTCATTTCTCCCAAACTCTCTCTCTCTCTCTCACTTCAAGTCCACTGGAGTCGTTCAAGCAGCAGCAACAGCCTCCTCAGCCTCCAACCACGCCCAAACACAGAGAAAACAGGCACACAATTCCAGTCCACAATAAGTCCCTTAGAACCTCACCTACCCAATCAGCCACCTCAACCGCCACCGCCTCCTCCTCCTCCTCCCTGGCATGCTCCTCCCATCCAATGCTCTCCTCCACCCCATTCCTCGTCTCCTTCCTCCTCCTCCTCTCCCTCTCTCTCCTCTTCCTCTTCGCCCCACGCTTCCTCCCCCCTTCCCACCCTCAGATCCCCATCTCCGCCTCCGACGAGCTCGACGACCAGACCCTCTTCAACCGCGCCCTCAACCCTAACCCTAGAAAACCCAAGCCTACATTCTCCCACCTCGCCCTCGATTCGAAATCCTCCAAACCCAAGATCGCCTTCCTCTTCCTCACCAACTCTGACCTCCACTTCGCCCCCCTCTGGTCCCTTTTCTTCTCCAAAACCAACTCCAATCTTTACAATATTTACGTCCATGCCGATCCCTCCGCCAACGTCACCCTCCCTCCCGGCACCGTCTTCCACAACCGCCTCGTCCCATCCAAGCGCACTTACCGCGCCTCTGCAACCCTCATCTCCGCCACGCGCCGCCTCCTTGCCTCTGCTGTCATCGACGACCCTGCCAATCTCTTCTTCGCCGTTTTGTCCCAGTACTGCGTCCCCCTCCACTCCTTCCGGTACGTCTACAACTCGCTCTTTTTCTCCACTACCTTCGACTTGACCCGACCCGCCACCGGCTCCGACGCCGAATTGGCCCAGATGGGCCTCAAGGTCCGGCCCAAGAGCTTCATCGAGATCCTCTCCAAATCGGCCAGTCTCTGGAAGCGGTACTCCGCCCGTGGACGCTTCGTGATGATGCCGGAGGTCCCGTTCGAGCAGTTCCGGGTCGGGTCCCAGTTCTTCCTCCTCACCCGACGCCACGCGCTCGTGGTTTTGAAGGATCGGGCGCTGTGGAAAAAATTCAGAATGCCGTGCTATCGAGAAGACCAGTGCTACCCGGAGGAGCACTATTTTCCGACGTTGTTGTCAATGGCGGATCCGGATGGGTTAACCCGTTACAGCCTGACCCGGGTAAATTGGACGGGAACGGTAAACGGGCACCCGTACACTTACCGAGCCGGGGAAGTGTCGGCGGAGCTGATTCATCGGCTGCGGAAATCGAATTTTTCGGAGTCGTACCTGTTCGCGAGGAAGTTCTCGCCGGATTGCTTGGAACCCTTGTTGGGTTTGGCCGATAAGGTCATTTTCCGGGACTGAGATTCTGCTCATTCACTCTGGTAAGCGCGTTTTTTTCCTTTCCACTTTTTGTTTTTTTGTTGGTGTGAGTTAGCGAGTTGACTCGGTGGTTAGCGAGTCGACTCAGTGGAGTATTTGGTCAGTAACAGTATCGCGGGAAAGTTGGATTATTAGGTAGAGAGAGATAAGTCCAAATCATAATCAATTTGCAGCTAGGGTAGTTTGGAAATGGGTTAGAGCCCATTATGCTAGAAATTTAGTTTTTTGTGTGTTTATTTTTATACAATTGATATCAAGGATCCGGGAATTGAATCTAGAAACTCGGATGCAGAGATAAATACTTTTACGGACTTGAGCTGCAAGCTCCTTGCATGCAAGTAATTAAGTTTAGTTGGCAATAGATTGCAAAACCTTAAATACCCATTTGGTAATTTTCAGCTTGAAATTGCTGAATTTTATGTAGAGGTTTTGTTGAGATTTGGCGTATGGCATTGTTCTTTTGCGAAGGGACAAGGACCAAAACAGATAGTGAGAGAGTTAGGTAGCTTCAACCTTGAAGACTCAAGAGCTTGCTTGTTGTGGGATGCCACCCTAAAGCTCCCTCTTTTTTAATGTTTGGAACCTACGCCTGTCTTTCTCACACTCCTTGCTTTGAGCTAAAGTCTAAAGAAGGGGTGTTTTTTAACTTTCTTGGTTCACATCATTAAATGTTTAGTTACAATTGATTTGAAACAACACTCAACTGAGTCAAATGGGTTATGTGTATGTGCAGGTGAAAAGAAAAAAACCAGTGAAAATATTGTTTTCCGAGGAGGTGAGGATTTGGCAATTTGGCAACAAGTTGGAGAAACCGAGTGGGAATATGGTTTTGGAGAGGCGTAAGAATTTGCCCCCAAACCAATAACCCATAGGAAATTCCAACCGAGTCCTTGCCTCTCGAACAAGATAATGTAAAAAGGGAGAAGAACTTGTACATCACGGGTTGCTATCCGCAACCAATCACGTTCGGCCAAAAAGTAGAGAAAAAAGAGAAACCTCAAACCAGTCTGCCACCCACTAGTGTCAAAGTATTGAAAGGAAGCAAAGCAAGCAAGGTACCTCATTTTGGTTTTTACACTTTGGGTTAAAACTGAAAGAAGTTGGTATTTTGTGGTGTGATGATATAGTGGTACCAGCAGACATGGTGTAGTAGCTGTAGAGCAGTAGGTCTTTTGTCTTTTTGATGCGTGTTTTGTACATATTAATATGACATGTATAAATGGAATATTTGTACGGTGTAATACACGACAAGAAAAAGGGTCTCGATTGAATTTGAGAGGCCCAAGGGTAATGAAAATGTTTATTATATTTACCGGAAATTGTTTCTTGTCAAATTGCGAATTTGGACCATTGATCGTTGCGAGTGGTTTTCTTAGAATGTGTGATTCAGATTCACAGTTTTAACGAACATGCTGGCCCGCTATTACGATAGCATTAAAAAGTTGTTGAAAATATTTCTCTACTTTTGCCCTTTATGCTGTTGTAGATAACTTTTCGCAATTTCAAGGAAACCAAAACAACAATTCCCTGGTATATACAATTTGTACCGTCTCCGGACTGTCTGCATTGAACAAGGATTTGTATTTAGGAAATAAGAGGTTGTGTGTGTATAAAGGAAGGGAGAGAGATCTGGACCATCTGGTCAACGTAATTTTTTATCATCAGTAAGTACATGGTGTAGATAGAACTAGACATATCATTGATGGAAATATAGTGCTGACGAAATGGAAGGTTCCTCTTTTCCTTTGTAAAATAATTTATGTGCATGTTTTGCTTTGCTTGGATCATTTGCTTTATTATTATAACAAATCATGATTATGTTGTTGGGCTGGTGTCTGTTGAGCTACACCAATAAGTCCAATGCCATGTTTAGCTTTTGATATTTTTTTTTAATTTTTTTTTAAATACAAGCGATTTTAAGAAGAGAAAATCGAATTTGAGACTACGGACACAGAAATAAATGTTCGTTAATCACTTGATCTACAAACTCCGTCGTTGTTTAATCGATTTCGAAATAAGCTTTTATTTGATATAAGACAAGACAGACTTTGATTGGTATTAGCTGGCTGGAGGGTGCTATTAATGTGGGTACACCCTTACACTTGCAGACCACATGAAAGCAATCATAAAATCAAAGGCGGTAAGCCAACCACTTGCCACTCAGGTGTACTGTGGAGGCCCCAGATTGGCAACATATCATATTCATCAATTGCTGTGATTTTTGGACTGTTTTGATGTGCCTTCACTTACTACAAACCAGAAAAACTTGTCGGTGTGTGTGATGATTCCTTTTCTTTTTCTTCAGATTTTCATTTTGAAATTAGAATATCTAAATTATACGTACTTCTTTTTCTTTGAAAAGAAAGAGAGAAAAGAGATACTCCTTAAATAAATACAAAAAGCAAAAAGCAAAATTTTTACTCGCATGTTTAACTGCTATTGACAAGAATGTACAAGCTCTTACTAAGAGCATATTTTTCATAAAATAAATAAAATGTCAAGGAATCACGGACTAAGTCATTCACATTGTCCTGTGCCTACCTCTAAAGATGAGCTCTGTTGTCCTGTGCACTTTGGGGTTTTTATTTTATTTGATTTTTCTAAATTTATTTAATCTTGTTTTTCTGAAGTTAAACATGTGTTCAAGTAAGTCCAAGTTTGGTGATTTAGATATTTGACCATTTTTTTTGTCATTGTCGTTATTTATAATTGTACGCCGTTTGGATCTGTAGACAAACATGGGCATGGCTGCTTCTGTTTGTGCTATTTATTTATTTAATTACAATTCACAGGATGGTGGTACTCCATCGTTGACTTAGGCGTCCATGGATCTATGACTTTACTGCCTCTCTAGAAGAAGGGCTTGATGTTTTACACTTTACAGCAGTGAACGCCTAAAGTTGCCGATAGTTCAGTATAATGCAGTCCATATATCACTGTTATGATTGCCAAATTTCATGGACTTTTGATCAGTGAAGTTTCCTGGAAGTCAGACCACTGACCAAACTCATACACAAACTTCAAAAACCGTATTTATCACTTGTTATTTTATGGATGGTTGTCCCTAGGGTTAGCATCTCATCCCAAAAATCCGATGGACCATACCGGATTCCATTCTCCATAACTAATGATATCAAAATTTGAGAATAATTTTATTTAATTATTTATATACGTGTCTAAAAAAATTTCTACGGAGATACGGTATTTGTATGTAATGAATATTTCTCGTAAAATCAAATTACATAATGCTAGATATAATTGTACAGAACCAGATATGCTCAGCCGAAATCATCACAAAGGTTATACTGTCATGGTTAAGATGAAAATAATGCAGCTGTTCTGTAATGCATCGATCGTAAGGCCTCGAGTGCATGGATAGTTACTTTGCAGGTTGTCTTAATTTGAAGTAGACAAGACAATGAGAAAATATAAATGTAAGGATTCGCCACGTTCCCTTGAAAGATCATGGCAAATTGTACACTGGAGTGCGGAACTTTTGGGAAGGCTTTTTCCAGCCGAACTTTGAGGGTCAAAATGATTAATGAGCTTAAGGCAAAGGGCCCACTACTCCTATCATGCCTAGCAGGGTCCAAAACAATACCATCAACAATGCCCTTTTAGCTCGATTATGAATTTTTAAAGTTCATGCAGATCACAAGGGCAAAAGCAGAAAGGGCAGTTAGTAGAACTAATTGGCGCCACAGCCTTTGCTCAGAGGAAGCAGAAGGCTTGTTATCACCAAAAATTAAAAACATGGGAAATGTACAAAAGCACGCAGAATCTATGCCACAGAACGAACTTCAGGACGAGTTCAGGAATTTCTGGGCAGCATCCAAACTCAGTTCTTCATAGACCTGGAACAGATAGAAGGAATTTTGCATTGTGTCAGCAATGTAAAACATAAACTAAACTAGGAAATAGGAATATTATTCCTTTGAAAACATATGGTACATACAAGTTTCTTATGAATTCGTTGAAATGCCTGGCAAAATCTCTCTGCTTCTGCTTCACCCACCTAAACAAACGAACACCAAATAGTTAGATTTCCTTCCATTGTACTTCCAGCCAATATTGTATTGGGACACCAACATACAACTATTCTTCAGTAGTTTTGTTTAATTTATTTCATCCTTTTGTAATAGAACGAAGGTTGAAAGGGAGTGTATCAAAAATTGGATAGGAGAGGGTGCTATGGTTACACATTGGAGTATTCGTAGAGCAAAATTGTCATCTAGACATGGCTAGGTAACTTGCATGGGGCTGCAATGTTGGTGGTTATACAGGTTCATGATGGTGGTGCTGGGCCTTGGGTGTGCACCTGCTGGCTGGGTAGTAGATGGGTACATATCATATGTTGTAGCTACTAGTAGTTCATGTGGGTATTACAGTTTCTGAGAAGAACAAAAAAAACAAAAAGATCTGTGCCAAAAATCAGCGACTTATGGTGGTGTCACCAAATTTTCTACCAGATGTCGCAGATACATTCATGACTATCCTACTCTGAAATGAAAACATCATAGAAATGTCGCTGAAATGCAGGAGTTTTGGTTGCATTGTGGGAAAAAAAACTAACTTCCCTTCTTGAGTATCGGAATAACACCCAAAGAGCTGATATATTGATAATGCCACCTTGCCGGTCATTTTGGAACTTTCTTTCTTACTGGGTCTACATTCCACTCACCGGTGAGGGTTGAATGGGAGAACCAGTCAACCTTGGCAAAACGTAGGCCAACCAACTAGCACAGAAACAACTCCAAACCCAAGGAGCACAGCTAGAAGGGCTAACTAATATGAGTTTTGGTTCAAAACCAAAATTCTTGCTTATGTGCCCAGGGCAGCTAACAATATAAGTTGTATCCTAAAGTCCTCCACAACACTCTGTGCTACATCCAAGCACTTCACAACTCCGATCAACACTCTGTGCTTAGCTCTAAACTCCTTTTGTATTATGAGTTGAGCCACACAATTATATCATGATTTGAGCAACTCAACTTGATGTCAAATCAGCAACTCTTAATCCTGTTACATTTACCTCAGCGTTGTGTGGCAGAAGAAATTTATAGAGGTTAGCAACGCAAATGCTAGTGTTTAGCTCTGGATGCATAATATGTTATAGTGTATAAGAGCAAAGTTCAACTAACAAAGGAGAAAAAGAAAGTCTTGAATGTAAATGGTAAGGTGACATTAGTCAATTGTCATGCTCTTTAGTTTCACTTTTGTTTAAGGCGAAGGTTTGATGTTTGTATGACTTAATGCTTTTTTCAAGCCAGATTGGGTTCAGATTTTTAGAATAAAAAACAAACAAAAGAAAAGAAAGACCTTATATCCAGAAGTAAGGTCAACGAAAATAATGAGCAAAAGGTACAAACCACATTTGGTCAGTGCAGGTAAGTGCAATCTTGAAACTACAAAAATTCACCCCAGACTTGTTTTATTATGAACATACAGGAAAATTAAGCGTTGTATCAATTCCCTTTTTGTTTCTTATGTGTTTATTTTAACTGCAGAAGTCTCTTTCACTTTATTTAAAAAACTTACACGAAAGGGAAAAGAACACAACTTAGTATTGCTCAACATTAAAACATTCAACAAAACAGATCCATTTTTCCGCGCCTAGATATTGAGAACAATTATTATTAATTTTTATCAAGGATTGGACTCAGAATGAAACGAAGGGTTAAAATGGAACAATTATATTTTTCATAGTTATGCTTTATCTAACATCATTATACACAAACAAAAATCACTACAACATAAACACATGCATTGTAAGCTCACAAACGCATTAATATGTTCATCTCTTCTTGTTTTGAATTGTCCAGAATCCTATTGCGTCAAAATATGATGCGACACTACAAATTTTTGTACATTAGATCATGTTGGATATTCATAATATGTAAAATACTATCCCAACATATCCAATGAAAATCAATGGCAAAGATGGGCATACCTTTCTCTCAGCAACCAACTTTAGCTTCTCCCAAAATGCACCTGTAAGTACACATCCAGATGAGTTGAAAAAATTTAACATTTACACTAGAAAACTGGTGGTACACACATAAAAACAACATCATGATGATGATGAAGAGGAGGAGAAGGAAACATCATACCATGAACTGATGACACGGAAAGAACAGAACTTTAGAAAACGTTTCATAATAATGCCAACTGGCTTATAAAAATGAGAACTCCTCGGGGTTGCACCAATTTAAAAAATTGAAAATCACAAAGAACAGGACACTATACAAAGATAGCTAAAGAAGACAAAAAGCAGTTCACTAATCAGGATATTTGTTATATATAAAAGAAAATGAAGATTCTACTTCGAAATATTCCTAAGTGAAACTTTTAAAAGATCACATATACAAAATGTAACATGCCAAATGACATGGTACAATGGGCAGTAGTGGCTCTGAAGGTTATGGAGCCGTCACACTAGTTCACCCCAAAGACAATAAGATGTACAGTTTGTGCTAGATAGAGAGCATATGTTAGACATACCATGTTGGTCAAGTCCTTGCTTCTCCACTTCTTTTTTATCTCCCTCATCCCATGCATCCTGCCATTCTTTCACCTGTTGAGAAAATTCAAATATGTCAACAAGCACCATATGTGACACAGTGAATGTGTGTACAATGGAAAATTTTGTTCAAAATGTTAGTATTACCTCTTCGTACTGGGCTGACTTAGAAGTTGATTCTTTAGATTGCTCTAATTCAGCCTGACATTATACAAAGTTGTCTAAGAATGGACTGATGTATATATAAGCAACCAAAAAACATTATAATTTATTGTAAAGAATGGCACTTCCACCTGCATAATTGGGTGGTGGTTCTGCCAAATGCATAAATTAACTAATTTAATTTGCTTCGAAAAATAACTTATGTAACTGCTTTAACGTTTCATCCCTCTAAATTGATTCATCCCTTAATCATTCTACACAGCGCCCTGGCCGCTTGTTCGGCATCTTCAATGACTCCAGGAACATATATGTGATGATGTTATACTCTGCTGACTTAGAAGTTAATTTTCTTACATCTCTTTTCCACCTTCTAAACCTGTATCTAGTCCTCTTCAATTGAAAATAGAGAAAAGGATAAAATTTCGTTCATGGAAAATAAAAATCAATATTTGCAAATGACCCAGATTATATATTTGTAACCATTTTGCCCAATGTCCAACAAGTTTTAACGACAGGCAGGATGCCATAAATTAAATATTAAACGACGAATTTCTAACTGATAGATTAAGAAACTCATCAAAAATCCATATTCTATGGAGCATCAAAATCACCAGATAAGAAGAATTGTTTATAAGAATAAAGAAGAAACCACGCAAAGCGAAGGCAAGGCAAAGGCAAAACAATCTCTTTTAGTGATGATGAATGAGAGAGGAGAGAGAGTTACATGGTAGTCGCGAGATCGGACAATTGGGAAGAGATCGAGAAGGCGTCGGAATTCAGCCTCGTCCATTTCGCAAACCTAGTTACTGTTGAAGTGCCGATTCCGCTCTCTAAATTCTCTAAATCCGAGCTTTCATTTTATTGAAAACTTTATGAGTTTGTATCAGTTGTAGCCAAGTATAAAATATCGAAAAAAATTAAATAAAAATCACATAAATGGTAAGAAATTCTAAGGAATTTTTATTGAAACTTTAGAAGAAAATTTATTTAATCAATTATCTATTAGTTTATTATTTAAAAAAATTAGAAAAAAAAAATGATTTGCATGATGAGTTTAACTCATTTAAGTTGATTATATAGCAAGCTGACAAATATTGCGAGTATATAAAATATGTAATAATTAATGAAATAAGATTAAACATATCATAATCATTTATTTATAATGATTTACTATAATATTTTATACTTTATACATTGTATGTGATACATAAATGACTTAGTACCACGTAGAGTTTCTATAAGGTTCAAATTTTTTAGGGAGACTAAATAAAGCCAAAATAGGTACAGTATTTATAAAGAATGACAAAATTAAAGTGTTTGGACAATAATGCCCATACATTTTGGATTTTCTAAGGAATCCTTCTACTCCTGCTAGCCGGATGAAACCAAAATGTTTCTTCTTTTCATATGTTGCTTCGTACTAGCCATATGGAGCCAAATAGTTTGGCGACTGTCCTGCTGGATGATCTCTTCACGTGGAAATAGGGTTGATGATGCTTAGCTTCACATGGTCTTCATGCTTCCATCTTATTGTCTATATTGTGTAGCTCTTCTTCTCCTAAGCTATTACAATATGCATTGTTGTTGTCTTCTATTGAAATTTGTTCTGTTATCTTATTATAGATTTCATCAAAAACTTTTGCGCCTATTGTGCTTATCCTAAATTCATATATGTCATCTGGTCTCCTTGATGTAGATTCTGAATAAATCTGGATAAACTTGGACTGGTGAAGGAGGGTCAGACGATCATCATTGAACAATTGTTGCTCAGCTATGATTGCTCATCTATATTTTTTAATGTCTTGCTTGATAGGAATCCCTGTTTTTGCTGATTCTGCTGAACGAAATAGTTCATTAAAAGAAATAATAATTCTACGTTGTGCTATGTCTGGGTAAATGTTATCCTCAAACCATTCTAGGGGTAAGCTGGTGAAATCTAATTTTACATTTTTCCAAAGAGGAATATAAAAACTGATGACTTCTTTAAATTTTGAGGAGAATGAATCTAAATGATCACTACTTTCAATATAAAGTTGACCTAAATAACCATATTATGCTAAAAATGCTAGAGTAACTGTGATTGTTTTTTGTTTATGCTCTAAATGTAGTTCTTTATATTCAATCATGTTAATACTAGCTAAGTGAATAATATAATGAGAACAACTTTTGGTAATAGTTTTGATGTCAGGGTGTGGATTATTTTTAAATTGAAAAGAAAAGTTTGGATATATATTTGAAGAGATGTATTTTGCTCATACTCTAATCTAATTATATGACTCTTGACATCTTATGGTAAAAATCTATACCTTTCTCTAGCTAGAGTTTGAAGAAAGTAGGGGTTTTTAGTTTTTCCTCCAAGGAAAAATTCTTTAGTTTTTTCTTGTAGAATTTGACATCTTAAATTAATGATTCTAAAACGCTTAGTATCATATTCTTTTTTTGCTCTGCATGTTTTTCCTGCAAAAAAGAAAGTTGTTGTTTTGCTCTTTCATAATCATAATTATATGCTAAAAACTGTTGCTCAAGGGCTCTAATAAGTTTTTCATGCCCTCTTCTAATGCTTTCAATATTAGTTCTAATGTTCCAAAAGTTGTCTAAAAGAACTTTTTTTTTAATCTGCTAATGATGCTTGAGTACGATATTTTAAAGCAGGATTTCTAACTTCTTGCACTAAAATTCCATTATAAAAATAAGTATTCATTACTCGTCTTGCTTGACTACTTATGCTTAATAGATTACTACCTTGTGATGGTGTACCACTATTTTTGCTGCCAGATGATGATGGTCCAAAATACTGCATACTTGTTAATGAATAATACGGGATAAGATATCTTCTAAAGTATTGTCCATATCTTTAATATGCTTAAATATCGGTCTAAATCCATATCCTGTCATAGAATCAACAAAATTGATCCATCTTCGGGACTGCTTGTTTATTAGTAGTAATTTTATTATAATGAGAAACAATATTCTAACAATCTGTTCTAATAGTAAATATTTCATTATGCAAAAATAATGAAAATGCTTCAAGGGAGTTAATAACTCCTAAAATTTCTAAGTCAGTAGCTGGAAGTCTAGCCTGTATATCAATTCTTTTTTGTTGGTTTTTTATTTGATTTGATTTTATTGTTATTTTAAAGATATGATTTTTTATTAGGGAATGCTAGTAACTTTCTCTCTAACCTTCTCTTTTGAACATTCTCCCTTTTTTGCTTGACATGTGTCATTCTTCTTACACTTAAAACAATGTCATTAATTTATTATACAAGCTAACTTTTGCTTTCCAAGTTTACCCTTATTAACTTTCTTACCATTCTTTTTTTTTTTAACGTCAATTTTTATTTATTTAAGAAAATGTCTGCTTTTTAAAAAAAAGGAGGAAATGTCCCCTTTTTTTAATGTCAAGTTTAGATCCTCTTTTTTAAAAAAGCAAATATTTTCTTAAAAAAAAGTAATTGACTTTTAAAAAAAATTTAATAAGATGGTAAGAAAGTTCTCAAATTTTTTTGAATAAATTGAATACATTTAATAAGGGTAAACTTGGAAAGCAAAAGTTAGCTTGTACAATATATTAATGACATTGTTGTAAGTATAAGGAGAATGACACATGTCAAGCAAAAAATGGAGAAGGTCCAAAGGAGAAGATTAGAGAGAAGGTTGCTAGCATTTCTCTTTTTATTTTTATATAAAAATACCATTTTGCCCTTGTATTTAACAGAAAAAGTTAACAAAATTGATGACATGATCATTTGTCCTAACGAAAGTGAAGTTAAAGGACAACGGGAACGATTTTGGAAATTATATTAGAATTTTCTATCTACAAGATGGTCATCCAAAAATCGAGATATTTTCATTTGAACACTGGGAATTCTATAGATTGAAAATTCTCAGTATTCAAATGAACCATGCGGCATTTGGGCATTAAGGAATTTCCATGTGGTTGTTAAAGATGTGCCCATTGCATATCGATGCCTTATTAAAGGAGATCATGAACATCATTACAACTAATTTTGTTATGAAATGGCAGTAGAATGATGGCAATCAAATAATCAATAAAATAGGTCATTAAAAACTAATATATATATATATATATATTTTTTTTTGGTCGATGTGAACATGAAACTACTTTAAGTTGAATGTTATGAGTGCCTTCTGAAATATATTTCTGGCATGAAGCTTTTTATTAATACAAATTTAGTTATATACCCAATCTTAGACATGGTCTTATAAAGAAACCATATACCATTTAAAAACTATAAACACATCCAAAAATCACAGCTGTCAATTTTTTTAAAATTAAATAGCTATTTTTTAGTTTATTTGTGTGTGTAAATACCTATATTGCCCTTGTACTATGGATTTGAGAGAGAAAAATCAAATTTGCCAAGATCTGCCAAAAAATAGATTTGTCCAGATCTGCCAAAAAAACCAAATCTGCCAAAAAAAATCAAATCTGCCAAGAAACCAAATCAGATTTTATTTTCTCCTTTCTTGCTGGTGTTTTTCGATGTTGGAGCAAGAGGAGCTTCCATTGAAGCTCAATCTCAGGTCCAGCTATATTCTTCATCTCTCATCTACAATTTTCAATATTTCACCTTCAATTTCTTGTTCTAAAATCGTGCTTATATTGATTTTTTTTTCGGATTGTTTGGAACCTTGAACGAACCTCGATCATATGCTTTTAGCTCTACTCCTCATCTTCAAGCTCTACTCCTCTTTCACCACGTCATTGTCGTCATCATCATCATCTTTATTGTTGTCATCGTCGTTTGGTTTAGACTTGAGATTTTTTATCTTTTGCTTTAATTATGTGTTTCTCTTCAGATTTTAGTTGATTTTCGAAATGTATTTTAAGCTTTGATGATTGATTTATCCATTGTTACTATTTCAGTTATGGATCTCATTTTTATTTAACAATGTACTTCTATGACAGAGTATTAACAATGTCCTTTTATGACATAATAGTATTAACAATATGGGCTCGGCTTGTTTTGAGTTGGTCTAGTTTGTTCTTTCTTATTTTCTTTGGTGGACAGGTATTAGAAATAACAACAAGACAAACATTAATCAACATGACAGTAAACTTGCAGTGTTATTACCTTATACTGGAACATACAGGGGTAGATATGCATTAATATAGGATATCATAGGAAATTAGCAGTGTTATTACCCTAGACTGAAACATTACATTGGTAGACATGCATTAGAAATAGGATGTCATAGGAAACTAATAGTGTTATTACCTTAGAAATAGGATGCCATAGGAAACTAATAGTGTTATTACCCTAGACTAGAACATTACACGGGGTAGACATGCATTAGAAATAGGATGTCATATGAAACTAGCAGTATTATTACCATAGACTGGAACATTACAACCATTAATCAACATGACAGTAAACTAGCAGTGTTATTACCCGAGATTGGAACATTATAGCCATTAATCAATATGACAGTAAACTAGCAATGTTATTACCCTAGACTAGAACATTACAAAATAGCAGTGTTATTTCCCTATACTGGAACATTACATGGGTAGACATGCATTAGAAATAGGATGTCATAGAAAACTAGCAGTGTTATTATCTTAAACTGGAACATTACATGAGTAAATATGAATTAGAAATAGGATATCATAGGAAACTAGTAGTGTTATTACCCTAGACTGGAACAATACATGGGTAGACATGCATTAGAAATAAGATGTCATTAGAAACTAACAGTGTTATTACCCTAAACTGGAACATTACAGCCATTAATCAACATGACAGTAAACTAGCAGTGTTATTACCATAGACTGGAACATTACAGCCATTAATCAACATGACAGTAAACTAGCAGTGTTATTACCATAGACTGGAACATTACAGCCATTAATCAACATGACAATAAATGTGTGGAACATTACAATCATTAATCAATATGACACGTTAATAAAACTATGGTTTTCAAGACATTTTGTTTGTAATGAATTGTTTGGGTTTTTTTTATAAGATTGAGCTGGGCTTGTTTTTGGTGCTATTTAAGTTTTTTTTGTTGGGCTTCTTTTAAGTTGATCAATGGCAGTCATGTAATTTATAAGAACTTCAACATCAATTTCTTATGTAGTAAATGAATTTTGAGTGTGTTTCTAAAGTGCATTCCATGTAGGGTTTTTTTTATAATTTCAGCCCATATTTTGGGTATATTAGTGAAGCTCCCTTTTATTAAAGGCATGACGTAGATAGAAGAACAAATACATAGAAAAATACATTAATAAAAAAAATCAATTGTAACCACAATTTCTCAACTATTCTCTCGTCCAATGTGCAATATATTTAGGACTTAAGTATGAATTATTTATGGTATTTAACTAAATTTGGAAAAATTATAATGATTGAAGAGGTTATAGAATAGTTATATTCAAGACTGATTCTCTCAAGATTGTTTCAACTTTTCGGTTGGCTTAAGTTATTGAGGAAGTTTACCTATGTTTGCTCTATTGTTATTGGAATGACTCCCTTTAGAGTCTGTTCTTTGTACTATTTATTTATATTGGTCTAATAAAATTCTATGGCCTTTTGAAAAAGGAAAAAACTTTGACTCTTTAAAACTGAATTTTCTTTCAAATTCCCTCAACTTTTTTTTCTTTTATAATTTTTTATTGTGAAGAGGAGCTCATTCTCAATTTTAAAGAGCTCCTCCTTAATTATAATTATGATTATTGAGCTAAATATCAGAATGTTAAAGAGTACCATCACTGTACAACTGTCCACCAACAAAAGAATCTAAAAATTGATTTCTCGGCACATCGGTTTTCTCATCTTCAATAGCCTACGGCCACATGTCTTTCTATGCATTGAATCTATGCCACCTCTCTACCGATCTCCCCAATGACGCAGTGGCACTCTTCCTTCGCGGACCATTTTTTTTAATTTTAAATTAACGATTAAAATTCGAACTTGAAAAACCTTTCAATATGATAAACAAAATAGCAGTAAATTAAATAATAAAAAATCCTAAACATTCGCTGCTATATAATTGCAATAATAAAAGTTTGGTTATTTATCATATATTTTAGACGTACAGATCACATGGAAACGCCTCCTCACTGAGCCAAACATGTAGATAATTATAATGGGCACATCTTTAACGACCACGCGGCCTTGCTTGAGTTATTTATCATATACCATGGAGTAGTCATCAACAGTTTGTTTAATCACCAACTTTTCTTATTTCGAAATGTCTTCCTTCTGACGAAAAGAAAAACAAAAAGGAATTTTATTGTTGTTCAACCTTCTCTCTTCCATTTCCATGTATTTATTTGGACACTCAAACCTATCATTCATCAATTGTTTCACTAAATTTTGTGCTACTGAAATGCTTTTTCCAATATGCATATGATTGATTGCTCCCCAGAATCAATTCCACCTATGTTATTTTGATTAAGCATATACCAAAATAAGGCCATTATGGCGTTAGTTGCCACAGACCTCTCCATTGGCAAATTTGTAAGCATTCTTGAGAGTGAAGCAGCATCCATAGCGGGCGTTCGTGATCAAGTTGATGAGATTAAGCGGGAGCTGGTGATCATGAAATCCTTCTTGGAGGATGCTGACGGAGGCAAGAAAGCACACACAGAAGTAGAGAAAGCGTGGGTTGCGAGCATTCGAGACTTGGCCAATGATGTCGAAAACATCATTGATGAATTCATGCATCACATGTACAAGCAACAAAGGGGCGGTCGATGTCCAAAGTGGCTCCTCAAAACCATTCACTTTCCAAAGAACCTTTGGTATATGGGTCAAATAGCCAAGAAGTTACAGAAAATTGCCGGAACGATTAGAGCTATTCCAGAGAGAAATGAGAGATATGGTGGTGCTGCAGCAGTAGAAGGGAAAAGTACTTCTGAGGATATTCGCAGATGGGTGCAGAACCAAGCGGAGTCTTCTCTTTACCATAAGGAGAATGAACTCGTCGGGATTGAAGATGATAAGAAAATGTTGATGGGATGGCTGATGAACAACGAGCAACACCAAATTGTTGTCTCCGTGGTCGGGATGGGAGGATCAGGGAAGACAACTCTAGTTGCAAGGACTTTCACCAACGAGGTAGTCAAGAAACATTTCGAATGTTACGCCTGGATTACTGTTTCCCAGTCTTACGTGATTGAAGACTTACTTAGAAGATTGATCAAAGAATTCCACAAAGCAAGGAGGGAAGAGGTCTCTGCAGACATGAATGCCATGTGCTATATCGAATTGATTGAGATTTTGGTTAACTACTTGGAGACTAAAAGGTACCTTGTTGTATTGGATGACGTGTGGGACATCCTTCTTTGGGAAAGAATAAGGCTTTCATTTCCAGATAAACAACTTGGAAGTCGAGTCATGCTTACAACTCGAAGAGAGGACATAGGATCGTACTCTTTTGGAGTTGAAAGCCATGTTCACAAGATTCAACCCCTGGAAAGGCGAGATGCTTGGGAGCTCTTCAGCATGAAAGCCTTCTCAAGTTATCATAACAAATCTTGTTCACCGGACTTCTGCCATTAGCTCGGAAACTTGTGGAAAAGTGTGAAGGTCTGCCTCTTGCAATCGTAGCCTTAAGTGGTCTCATGTCTTCTAAGAAGTCACTTACTGATTGGAGCAAAGTCTACAATAGCTTAAATTGGCATCTAACAAAAACAATTCTTTGTTAGAACCTATGAAGAGCATCTTGTTGCTTTGTTTCAAGGATTTGCCATATAGATTGAAGCAATGCTTTCTATATTGTTCCCTTTTCCCAGAAGATGAGGTGATCATAAATCAGAGGCTCATTAGATTGTGGATCGCCGAAGGATTTGTTGAACATGTCAAAGGGGTAACACCAGAAGAAGTTGCAAACAGCTGTGTTATGGAACTCATTTTTCGTAACATGCTACAGGAAAGGTATCGAGAATGCCAACAAGCATGTAAGATGCACGATCTTATGCGGGAGATTGCTATGTCTATAGCAGAAAAAGAAAAGTTTTGTGCCGTTCTTGATGGGAGTGAAACAATGGAAGAAACCGGGGCCCTCCGTTTGTCATTCAAACAACTAATGGAGAAATTGGACCATGCAAAGGTATGTCACGGCTTCGTTCTTTTCTTGTCTTTGCCACTGGCGTATCCTCATTCTCTTTCTCAAAGAAATTCCCTTTTGACCCTACATTGTTGAGGGTTCTAGATTTGGAGGGTGTCCCAATTGATCGTCTGTCAGATGAACTAACGTACTTGTTTAATTTAAAATATTTGAATTTGAGAAACACTCGAATTAAGGAGCTTCCAGAATCCATAAGACGGCTCCGCAACCTTCAGACCTTGGACCTCTTGAAGACAGATATAGAGGCACTTCCAATAGGGATTTCCAAGTTGATAAACCTGCGCCATCTTGTTATGTGCCATTCCAAAAGCGGTTCAAAGTTAGTTGGGGTAAAATTACCATCAAGTATTAGTAAGATGAAGAAATTGCAATCTTTAGGATGTATTGAATCAGAAGGAAATATTATTAGACTTATTGGAAGTATGACCCAGCTTACGGTCCTTGGCATTACAAATGTGAAAGAAAGAGACGAGAAGGACCTACGTGCCTCAATTCAAGAGATGAAGGTCCTTTCCTACTTGTATTTATCGGTAGCAGATGGAGAGGAATTTCTTCGAATTGATGCATTGTCTTCACCGTCATCCTACCTTGATGGACTTGACTTGATACGCAAACTGGAAAAAGTACCACATTGGTTTTGTTCACTCCAGTGTCTCACACATTTGTATCTGCGTGGGTCTAGACTTGAAGAAGATTTACTCCCTCATATTGAAGCATTGCCCTCTCTACTTTCGCTTTGCCTTAATGATTCCTATGTTGGGAAAGAGTTGTGTTTCAGTAGAGGCTTTGTGAAGCTTAGATATTTGGAATTGAGGAATCTCTCATTATTAAGCAAGATGACTATAGAAAAACGGGTGATGCCAAATCTGAAGTTCTTAGGCATTTATAGGTTCTTGGGATTAGAGACATTGCCACAGGGTATTGAGCACCTTACTAAACTACAAGGATACAAATTTGAATGTGTTTCAGAGAAATTTGCAGAGTCCATACGAGAAGGAGGTGTGGATCATGCAAGGATGCTACTCGTCGACGAGAGATGTAACAAATATACGTAAGTATCTTCTGTCGTTGCACTGACTTTCCTAAACTTCAAAATATAAATTATACATTGAAGTTCTGTTTGTTAATTACCATACTTTTGTCTTTTTAAATATTTTTCAGAAACAAGTCCAGCAATTGAAGATTCTACCCGGTTTGGGGTTGGAATAACCTGTTAACCACCTGCGTAGCCCAGGACTGATTTGAATAACTTGCAGTTGATATATATGTTTTGTGTGTTTTAATTTGCATGTAATAATATTCGAGTTTGCATCTGTCACTTCAGCAATTGGCAGCTGCTCTGTATCTCGACAACTTGAAGTTCTGTGTGTTTGTACTCTCTTTTATGTTAATTGTGTTTGTAATTTCAGATTGACTAATAATAATATAGAAGAGTCACTTAGTTTACAGCATCCCGCGTGGTTAAAAAAGTCCAAGAACATTTTAAACAGAGAGCTGCTATTTCCACTTCTCTGTCATATTTTTCCACCGACTTTATAAAATGACTTTTAACGACAAAAGAAAAACTCATCAGTTGACTCTCTCCTCAGAGCTCACCGATCAACCTATTATAAATTTAATATTATTATGTGCAATTGAACTAATCAAGTTCAAATAGATTCAACATGGTATGTCCAGAAAAATTATTAATCCCTCTATTGTGTTTCTTATCTTTTTTTCCTTTTTATGGATGTTCGTGAAGCAGCGTATTCAAAAGGATATGGGACTTGCTCCCAAGGCCAACAGGAGCGGAAAAACAAGAACAATTGATACTAATGTCTGTGGGCTAGTGCAATGTTGGAGTAAAACCACCCACGCACAAACAGATTGCGGAAAATGTGTTACAAGCTTCGTGAGCTATGCCATGAAAAAGGAGCTGTAATATGGTTAAGTACATTCAAAATCTTGAATGCCTTAAAAGTGAAACATTTAAAATTCCATAAAATGTGCACGGTTAATAAAAATGTTAAAAGAGAGACACTTCATTAAATGATGATAAAATAGTACATTCAAAATCCATTTAATTGAAATAAATAAAAAAGAAAAGAAAAAAAATAACATGTCTTCTAACCATCAAAAGTCCAAGCGTCTATATATGTAAAACATCTCTGGTCGAAATCCACCTCCACATCCTGCCAAATCTTATTTTTAAAAAAAAGGGAAAAAAAATTAGAGGAAAATTGCACATAGTAAGGCATGAACGACCATATGTAGAGGGAAAATTAATTACGTATGGATAGTTGAGCATAATTTTCTTTAATTTGCTACACCATATTTTATGATTGGAAACAAAATGGAAGCTCCCTTTACTCAATGTACATGAGTAGCGGAGCTAGGATTTCATGTTAGATGGGGCTCTTTATAAAAAATGATAAAAATAAAAAAATCACAAAGCTTTAAACAAAGAGGAAGAGAAAAAAAGGTTAAAACTTCAGGAGTTTATATTGCAAATATCATAAACTAACCTAGAAGATTTAAGGGAGATGAGTGGAAGGGAGATCAAGAAGGAAAAAAGAACCTAATATATTATTTTATTTTAAAGTAAATATCCTAAAACTAATCTAATATTATAAGAAATAAAAATGGAGTGAGGGCCTAGGACCACACGCCTTGTAACGAGGTTGTCTTCTTTGTCAAAAACAAAATGAGACCTTGTCCTTCCTATAAAATCTTAGGATCTTTCTCATCCATTCCACATGTTCTTGATCTCCTCTCCTGTTTTTTGGTCGAAAAATCTCCTCGCTCCTTTGTGGTGCTTTACTGCCTCTATTCTCCCTTGTTTAGCCGTTACAAAAACCTCTATTTTTCTCTTTCTCCAGCTTTATATGTCTAGATTTCTTCGGTTCGAGAAAATGCATGTTTTCGAAAAAGTTGTAACAGCTAAAGAAGGAGAAGAGAGGCAAGAAAGCAAATCAAGAGAGGGAGAGGAGATGATATGCACATGAAAAGGAGAGAGAATTGCTATAGATATTTATAGGGGGAAGACAAAATGTCACCTTTTGCTTTTTATATAAAGTATAAAATCTCCTTAAAATCCAGGTACAATGACACAAGGAGGTTTTATGGAAAATAATTAATTCAGAGATTTAATTTTGTTGCCAATTAATATTTATTAAGTAAATTTAGGTTTTAGCCATAAAAAAATTTTCACTTTTGGGAAAAGCCAAAGCTTTTTTAAAAAAGACAGAAAAACCTCTCAACTTTCAAATCAAAGACATGCAAGTGTAAATGATTTCTTAGGAAATCCAAAAATAAATAAGGGCAAATTTGTCCATTTTGGCTTCTTTTACAAAATTTCTCTCTCCTTTGGGTTTTTCCAAAGTCTCCCCAGGTTGCCTTGTAAACCATATTTACTGCCTTAAATCATCATTCATAGATGACTCCAAACCTGCAAACCTTGAAGTTATCAATATGACATGCATGATGAGTTGACATTATCTTCACGGAATTTAAATTTTCCTAATTCACTACACGATCACGATTACTTTTCCTTTAATTTTAGTAGCCTCGTTGTCACTTAAATAAGCTTATTTAAAGGACATTCTTGTTGGGCCCAATTGATGTTGTATTTCAATAATGTGAATAGTCTATTTTTAAAGTCATCATTCATAAGTTATCTATATAACAAAAATCACTAAAATCGGAAAACATTTAACAATTGATTTGAATGTAGTCATTTTAGTGTTTTTTTAGAAGCGTAACTTGAAAAATAGACAGTTTAAATTATTGAAATAGAATGCGAAATGGACCCCACAATAGACATTTAGAAGGAATCTCAAAAGCTCACATAATATGCCCAAATTGACCTATATTTTAAATAGTTATACGATTTGTCCAAATATTTTCAAATAAGATATATGAATAATGAATGCGGAATAGACCCCACAATGAGCAATCGAGAAGAATCTTAAAAAATGACGATATGCTCCACATTGACCTACTTTTCAAGTCATCATTCATATATTATTTATACAAAAAATCACTTAAATCAGAAAATATTTAACAATTAATTTGAATGTAGTCATTTTAGTGTTTTTTGGAAGAATAACTTGAAAAATAGACAGTTTAGATGATTTAAATAGAATGTGAAATGGGCCCCATAGTAGACATTTAGAAGGAATCTTAAAAGCTCACATGATGTTTCCAGAAGAAGTATTTTAGTTTTTAGTACAAAGATGATAAACTATTGAAGACAACTGAGAAACTACTACTGCTTTTAGAAAATGATTTTTTTTTGGTAGAAATGTCACTTGAACTTATACATCAGTTTCAATTTGTCACTTTAAAGAAAAATTTAAGATAAATGTCACCTTAATTTTTCAAAATCCATGATTTGTCATATGACTTTAACACTATTCATTTTCAAGGTATTTTTAAAATAAAAAATCATTATAAAAAATTGTATTTAAAAAAAATCTCATCTTTCCCTATCCCCTGTGCCCCTTCCCCCCATTCCCCCTTCCCTCTCACCCTTCTTCCTTCGCTCTCTACTATAGAACACGTACACTCCACACACAATTTTTGTGGGGGAGAAGAGGGGGGGTCATGTGCGATGTGTTTTGGGGACGGGCGGGGTGTTGGGGTGGGGGAGAAAGGGAGAGAGAGGTCTCTTCTCTTCTCTTCTCTTCTCTCTCTCTCTCTCTCTCTCTCTCTCTCTCCTCTCTCTCCTCTCTCTCTCTCTCTCTCTCTGTTTTCCTTGAAAATGGAAAGACTAAAATACCCTTAAAATGAACGGAAAATTGAATGGTGTTAAAAATCAAATGACAATTATGGGTTTTGAAAAATTAAGGTGACATTTATCTTTAAATTTTCTTTGAGGTGACAAATTGAAACTGAGGTATAAGTTTAGGTGATATTTTTACAAAAATCTCTTTTGAAAACTAAGCTAAACTGGTCCACAAGCAGAGAGGGTGAAAAATGTAAAATCAAGAGTTCATTCATCACCTCTCTATCAGATGAAATCCTTCCGTACAAATTCTAACAACACGAGATCACAAGTAAAATTAATTCCATTTAAACCATATTCTATAATGGGGAGGCATATTTGTACAAAACAATTCCTTTTCCCAACCCAAATCTGGTATATGTTTTAAAGAAAATCAGAAGCTATCCTGTAAAAATTTCTACCAATTAATTTCATCATTTGAACGAAAAATAGGAAATAAGACAATAATTATTTCCAATGCTCTTTAAGGTTCAATCTCATTCCCAAATTGGGGAGGTGAACAACTTGGATAGCTGCAGCTAACATTCTGCAGAAACCAACACTTGATCAGTAATGAATGGCATTTGGTATATACTGCCTCCGTGCTCTGTGGCTGGAAAATAGGACATGGAGGCGGAAGAAGTGTGAAATCTGCAACTTCTTGGGCCACGGAGCATTCATGAAGCCAGGTTGCTGATGCCAAAATAGACTGTTTTTTGTTGACAGGCATTTAAGGCGTAATCAACCACAAAATGGCCAAACTGTGATTTGAGACGAAGGCCATATCCAAGTCCAACTCCAGATCCTGGTTTACCTTGCCTCAAGGCTGGGTTTCCTGAAACTCCAAAATTGAATCGACAAGATAACCATGCAAAGAAACAAAATTAAGAAATCAGAACCACAATTACAATAGAAAAAGAAATTCTGACACGTATAACAAACAGAAGGTTAAGTATGATCAAGAAATAGCAGGAGCAAGATAATCACCCTAAGAAGTAGTAAGTTTGCACATGAATCTTGTACGAGGTTTTTCGTACAATTGTATCAATTTGCAGGTTGTGTGGGTTACTCAATTGTTGGGCCTAAAAAGTGATACATAAGTATTTCCAATCAGTAAAAGAAGTTACCATATGAAAGACACCCGACTTTGGTATGCTGGGTGAAGTGCTATGGCAGGCTAAAGTACTTAAATGTATTGTGATTTACAAGCGATTTGAGGGCAGGCTAAAATAAAGAAAGAGAAAGCTCAATGTGTGGAGTACTGTTTGAGGTACCAATCAATTAAAGAGAACCTGACATTTTCACATCGTTGCAAGTTAACCGTCTGTTAGATTTGTCTACATGGCAACATGGCCCCCATTTTAAGCCAACATGGCCACATGGACAGAGAAAAAAAGAGCTATTTGTTACCAGCTGGCCTTTACCTAAAAAAGCAAAAAAAACAATGGAAAAGAAAACATGTGGACATTACAAAATGTGAAAACTTCAGGGTTAAATTGGAATGACTGGAACATGCAAACCTAACAGGGTTAAATTGCAACAAAAATTTCACTACAGAAAATTCGTTCTTTACTCAATCTTGGCTTTCAATGTTTTTGTTGCAGTGCTTGAGTTCTGAAACAGCTATATTGTTGCAAGCTCACTGGAAATTAGAACTAGAGCAGGCATGTCCTGAATGCTAAAGGGAAAAACTGGCAGATTTGGCACAATAAATTGAATCCTTAAAGAGAAATAGACTTAAATCATCAACAGGACAGGACTACGGGTCAAGTAGAGAGAGGTATTGGATAAATAAGTAGCAAATCAGTACTCCAATGGCAGGGTTAACCGGGATGATGAATAAAAAAGGTTAGGAAACCCAGTCAGGGGTAGAGGAGAACTCTGATCAAGACCGTAACCGATAGGAGGATAGTCAACTGGAAAATATGAGAAATGAACAAGATAGGAAGTATTCTTGGAGTCAAAAAAAATATTTAGGCAATGCCAAAGGTGGATATTCCAACATTAGATCGAAATCACCTGAGGAGCAGGGTAAGGAAGTGCAGGAAGTTCTTTCAGTTGAATCTAATGGGGGTTGATCATAAAGTTTTACGCACATCCATATTCTTGGAAGGTAAGGCTGATCTGACAACTGATTCCTAGATTGCTAAGAAGGAAAACGAAATATAACCTGCAAGAGTTTGTAAAAATTTGTGCCTGAGATTTTCATAGGGGACTTCTGAAAACTTAGTAGGAGAATTCAATAACCTACAACAACTGAGTTCTGTCACTAAATATACCAGGCGAGATTCAAAGAACTTAACGTACTTATGGTGGTCCTGAATAAAGGGTTTAAGGAAGAAATCTGGAGTATGATGCAGATTTCTTCCCCCCCAACATTGTCAGTGACCATTCATTTAGTCAAAATGCAGAAGACTGTCTTGTAATCAATAGTCAAAAGAAGCTAAGGCTAAGGGATCTTCTCATTAGTTCTTTCTCAAGACCTATTCCAGCCTAAGTTCTTTGCCCAAAGTTTCCACAAATAACAGCACTAGTTCCAAGCCCAAGGTGACAGCAACAGGGGTATGTGCAAAATCAGTAGCTTTAGGTGTACTGTAACCACCTTACCTCCCAATAATCGATCTTATTCCGAAATGAAGGCTCGAAGGGAAAAGGCCTATGTTACAATTGTGATGAGGTATTTATACCAGGCCCCAAGATCAGCATCTTTATTTCTTAGTCATGGAAGAGGACATCAAAGATATAAATATCACAGCCTACATTATATTTCCTTTTCCTTATTGAAACACTGAAAAAGCGGACTTAATTAAATTTCTGAGCCTACAGGCTACAACCAAGTTAAAGAGTTCAAAATAACCAAGTGAAAGTTGAACTCACCAGGTACATGATGAGCAGACCCCAAATCAGTTCCACAGTCCAAGAAAACAGCGCCTTCCAGCATCTTGTTCTAAATACAATAAGCAACAGTGTAGGTAATGCTTGTGCTAGTTCATCTCAGATACAAAGTAGGAAAATTTACAAAAGAAAAAACGTAAGAAATAGGTAACCCATTTTTATTAGACAACGAAAACAAAAACAAAATAAGAAGTTCTGCAAGAATTCATAAGCAATTTATTGCAAAAGAATTGAGGAAACAGATAGATTTGTCACCAGATACTAGTAAGGCGAGTGATAAATCTAAATCTATACGAAGAGCTACAACTTGATGGTTGTAAAGTGTCTTGTTTCAGCCATAAGGAATTATTGAAAAGAAAAAATTATTGGTTTAGAACAATTAGTATTTGTTGATAAATGACCATGGAAGACAACTCAACTGATTCCAGAATGACTTCCCAGGCTAATAAAATAATGCAACAAATGTAATAGATTCTTAGAAACATATAAAGAGTGAAGGAATTACATACAAAAGGCAATGTCAATTCGGTATTTGCAACTAAGCACGATCTACCAGACCCCACTGCACCCTCACCATACCCTCGCACACTGCCAAGACCTCCAATTGCAAATGCTTGGTAAGGAGCCATGTCCCCTACAATGGAACCACCTGTCATTCTGTCCGAGAAAAATGTATGAGTAACACAGATAGAGGCAGGGTTATTTATCCATAAGTTATACAAAGCACAGAGATACACCAGATTGTGAATCTGACTCACAAACTGAAACTTAAGAAGTTTCTGAAGCAGGTTAGGCCATTCTTAAAGTTCAGCACAAACAATTGTTTGTCAAAGTTAATTCCAACCCTGTTATATGCTTCTTCATATTGTATAAGGTAACCTTAATTGTTTGCTTCTTCTTTTTTCCTTCTTTTTTTTTTTATTTATCATTAAAAAAAGAAAAAAAGAATAGTTCCTAGTTTTGAAACCTTGCAAAAATTTGAAATCACATAAACTCTTTTACAAAGTCCTTTTAACACTTGATATTGTGTCAGACTACTTTAGAGTCATGTCAAATGCTCCATGACCACTTGCTTCCCCCTTTCCATTGGAGGCTCTGCTTCCTATTAACACTATGTTCCCTTGCTCAATCAACTCTGTACAAAAGATCAGGGAACCAGCTCACCTCGTCAAGAGAAATGCTGGTCCAAGTTTGACTCCCTTTGATGCAACAAACTTAAACTTGTTGAAGATTAGCCACTTAGATAGGACTGGTATCCCTTGTTCTATCTGCAGACTGAACTGTATTCAAGACAAACTCCCTGTTAGCTTCATCGCTCACTTATCAAGTATACATTTAAGACCTCACATTATATCTATCACGATTTGAAGAAATCTTACATGAAAAAAACTGTGATCATTTGCCTTTGCATACCGAGATTCTTGCTTTAGAATTACCATGCTATCATGGGGACTTCCACTGCATAATAATCATCTTATGATTTAAAACATTAGTCAAGCAAACTGTTCGTAAAATGAAGTGCCAAAACATACATTACCTGCATGTGACAGGAAATCCATCTAGATCTCGGCTCATAGACTGGCCATTATCATTCAGTGGCCGGACATGCTGCATAGAACATATTAAATTAAAATCCACATAATTAGACGGGGAAGAAATTGTAGAAGAAAATAAATACCGAAGGGTGCTCATAGTGGAAAAAGTAATAAGGTACCTCGAACTTTATGCTAGTTGTGCTACTCCATTTGGAACTTGCAGGCTCATTCAAATCCATGCCTACTGATAATCGAGACAAATTTACACCTCCACTACCTGAACGTGAGAAATTGTCCATGGGAATTCCATGAACCCCTATCTCGGGTGAAATAGAATGCTGGATGTAAAAAATTATATATTAAGATACCAATACCATGAATTTCTACTAGAACCATACAAAAAATAAAAAAATTACTTCAAGGTAATAACTGGGTTAGGTTTATAGAGAAATTGGTTTGTAAAATAGACTACCATTACACTCTTTAATAATTTTTCACATTCTCCAAATTAAATAATAGCAACACAAAGGATAAATAAAAACCTGGACTATAAAAGACTGTTGAGCTAGCCATTCAGGTCTTGGTCTTCTATAAGCCATTAAAACATTAGAATCATACAGGCCCTTATCCCATGACACATCAAGCTTCTCACTTCCACCAAATAAGTTTGGATGTTTGATGCAAAGACTGCCATAATAAAAGCAGAATAGTTTTATTCAAGTAGTGGAAAACGATCAGAGCATAAGAAAAATTGGAAAACAATACTTTCATAATGGTACGTCCTTTCTATACCCAAATTGCATTTTCCATAAACTAGAATATGTCTATAAAACAAATCAAAATAAGGGGAAAACCCAGAACCTTAAACACCAAGAACCCAAACTTCAAATGATAAAATTATTAAATAAAGCAAACTCTCACCTCCCAATTATCAGAGAGAGAGGACTGCCACTGCCATTACTGTAATAAAGAGAGAGGAATCAATCACTATGGGAAACTTCTTGGGTAAATTTATAAATAAATAAAAAAAATGTCCTGAGATTGAAATAAAAAGAACCTCAAAGGAGGAAGCATCAATGAAGCACAAAGCTTGTGAGTGAAATCGACATTAACATCAATCTTCGCTGTTACAAAGAAAGAAGAGATCACATTAATAACAACAATGAAACAAAAATCCAGAACCAACCCATTAATCACACAAGAAAAAGAAAAATCATACAAATTAATCAGCATAAAAGTTAAATACTTTATGGGTTTATAGGCACTGTGGGTTTTTGTGGGTGAAATGAAGGATTGTCAAGTAAACTGAGCATCTCACCTTTGCCAGCATGGATGCTCTTCTGGGCTCCCATCCCATTACAATTAAGTTTCCTTAATCAGCCATTAAAATTTGAACGGAAATTGAGGACTGGCGCAGAGAGTGCTCATTTGCAAATTGCATGAGTGAAGAAGCTGCCCAAGGAGAGAGAGAGAGAGAGAGAGAGAGAGAGAGATTGTGAGTGTCTGTGGCCCTTTGTGTAATTCGCGCGACGAAGGTATTTCGGTGACGTCTCCTCTGGGGAAAGTAGCAAGTTCCTAGCTTCGATGTTTGTTATCCCTTTTGCTTCTTCATTGGTCTTTACTGCACGTGGGTACTAATCATCGCGCATTTTTCGTTTCTTTTTCTTTTTCCTTGTTGCTGCTAAGTACGGACTCAAGCTTATTTGGGATTGCTTCTAAATAAGCTAACAATCGCTTTTATGGAGAATTTAGCTCTCCATATACTTGTGAGTGCTTCTGGCAATCAAAAGCGTTTCTGACAGCGTTTGACAGAAAATATTAACTGAGAGCTCATTTAGGAGTGATTCTAGTCCTCCTAGAATCACTTATAGGGACATGCTTCTCAATATAATCCCTTGATTTGAAGCCATTTTGGGGGAAGTACATCTAATGTGCTTGTCAATAAAATCACTTCAAATCACTTGGCTCGTTTGGGGCTACTTCTCTATAAAGTACTTCTACTCCTCTATAAAGTACTTCTACTCATAAGTGCTTCTCACAAAAGCGCTTTTATTATAAAGATGTTGAAATTTTTATAAAAAATCTAAATGCTTTATGGAAAAGCACTTGGGAGTGTTTTCTGAAGAAGCACATAGCAGGTGTTTATCCAGAAAGCGCTTCCACGACCTAAGCACTTTTATTTATTTGATTTATTCATTTTTCTTTTAATGTAATGAATGTGAAATTAAAATTTGTTGACATATGTGGAAATTTGAAAATGTTTGTTTGCTACTTGAATAATTTGTGCCCCACAGACTCTTCAATTCAATTAATACAGTATTACGGAAATAAAAATGAAAAATACGGAAAACATGTGAAGAAGGTCTGTATTTATTATCTGAAAAGAAAAAAAAAATAGGTTTTTAGCATTTTCAATCTAGGTTTTGTTCTTTTAAAGAAAAATTAAAGGTTTTGAAGAGCCAATGTCAACTTGTGAATTTTGAAGAGAAAGAAAAGGGTTGTAACTTTGGTGACTAAGTTGACTAGATCAATTTCAGACCAAAAAAAAAAGTTGACTAGATCAAACCACCATCAAAACAGAAGAGGAAGAGAGAAGAATAAGTTGAAAGATTAAGAGAGAAGAAGAAGTCAATGTGAAACTTGAAGGGAGAGGAGAGGAGAGAGGGGAAGAGAAGAAGAAACTTGTTGATGCTCTTTTTGGGAGGTCAACTTAGAGAAAATGAGGTTGTCTTCAGCAGTGGAGAAGGTGAGGACTTTCAGTAAGGGAAGAGCCTGCATAAGACAAAGTAGGAGAAGCAATCGTTAAGCTTCGGACACCGGTGTGGTGCCGGCCAAAGGCTCTCTGATGCTTAAGTCAGCTAAGGGTGGTAACATTGGCAGAGTAACAGTAAAAGTGATAGAGAAGTGACCCTTTTTACTTGGGTAATGTTCCCTATTTATAGGGAAGTGAAAGTGAGTGGTTTGCACAAAGTTTCAATGTGGGACTTTGTGTAAGTCGCTGTGGTGGTGACATGTGTCTTGGAGATTAGGTTCGCAGTTTGGGAGATTCGGCAACCGGGAGCTTCGGCATGTGTCTGGCACCTTGGAAGAGTGTCTTCCTTCGGTAGTGGAGAAGGCGTGTCTGCCTTGGTGTTAGTCGTTTTGAGGCTAGATATGCTCGGTTGATTATGGTGTAAACAAAACTCAAAGAATGAAAGACAAGACAAACTAGAGTTGACATCGTTGTAGTGAAGTATTTTTTAGTTTTAAGTTTTAAGAAGTCAATCATATAACATAACTCATATGTTAGGGTTTTAAGTTTTGAAGTGTTTTTAATTCCGACTAGTTTACTATTAAATATATTTATTATACAACTTTATCCCATGAAGCATTGGCGGTTTAATGGTATGATGGTTTCAAGTTCATGAGGAGGTCAGGAGTTCAACACATGCCTCCACTTTTGAAATAATTACTAAGTTTTTCCATATTGGTTCAATTTGATTCAGTTTGGTTGAATTAATGGTATGAGGTTCTAGACCATGAACTGGACCGAAATAGGATGATTTGTTTCAGTTCTTGACCAAAAATGAAAAAAATAATATAAAAAATCGATTCGGTCCAATTTGGTCGATCCATCGGTTCATCAGTTTAGGAGTGAATTTAATTTTCATATATAGTGATGTTTTGGACAATTAATAGGACATATTGGTTTAAATTATGCCCCATAATATGATATAAGCTCTCTATCTTTTATACTTGACACACCCCATTCCATATCAAACCCCACCTCATCAAAAACTCCCTCCTCTGGCAGACACACCCCATCTGATTTGCAATAGACTCCATCGAAAACCCCAACCCCAATCACACACCCTATCCCATTTCAAACAGAGCCATCACAGCTAGCTAATCTCTCCATTTTTCACAAACCCATATGACCTCAAAATCCTCTGAAAAGCCAAGGTTTGATTTCAATTTTGATTTCTATATTTATGTTTCTGAGTGTTGATTAAGTCAAGGTTTGATTTCAATTTTGAAAAGCCAACGTTTGATTTCAATTTTGATTTCAACTTTGTGGATGTATAGTTAAAACCTGGTTTTACGAAAATAGATGTTACTTTCGGTGGGTTACCACTGAAATCGTTGCATTGTTTCAGTGGTAGTCGACTGAATTTGAACATGGTTTTATGAAAATAGATGTTACTTTCGATGGGTTACCACCGAAATCGTTACCTTGTTTTAGTGGTAGTCCATCGAATTTTGTTTCCATTTTTCAATGGCTATCTTCTGAATGTATTTCCATTTTTTAGTGGTAGCCACCGAATCTGTTTCAGTTTTTTAGTGGTTATTCAACAAATTTGTTTCCATTTTTCAGTGATAGGCTACTGAATTCGTTTCTTATTTCAGTGAATTCGTTTCTTGTTTTAGTGATCATCTACCGAATTCGTTATTGAGTTTGTACTTAATGTTGTTTTTTTTAATATGAAGAGGACTCACAAAGGTACTACTGAGGCTTCATCATCTCGACTTGATAAATAGTGTCCCACAGCCTCAACGAGGAGACATATAGCGAGTCCCTAAGACCACTTTGAGGATACTACAGAGGTTGAAGATGTAGCTGCTACTCATGATAGTAATGTTGACGCAGAGGTTGAAAATGTAGCTGCTACTCATGATAGTAATGTTGAGGTAGATGTTGAGTCTACTGAGCCATCTGGAGTAGGTCCTATTGATCCATCTTTACTTACAAGTTTTAAAACTCACATAGCAGCTGCAATTTGGAATAACCAGGTAAGTCGTTTTACTGTAACAATAGAATGCAGAATATAAGTCTGGTTCATGGTAATTAACCTAAATAATTTTTTTTTAAAATATTTGACTACGAATGTGAGCCCCTTAGGTGTGTGTCGAAGACATCTACCCTTTGTGAATGGAATTGGTGGGCTAATCTAAATAATGGTATATTCAAAGGGTACATTCAGAGTTCTGGATTAGAGCAACTTATTAGGTGTTCTTATCGCATGCTTAGAAGGATTAAAACCACATTATAACATGTGGCAATAATATGCCTCATATCAGGCATGATCATCCAACAAAAGAATGGTGGAGATCCATCACCAAAATAATTTAGTGCTCGCTCAATCTCGTTGTACCATTTGTGTCCCGAATACACTTCTTAAAAACAGAAGACATATCATGTAGTTGCTGCAACAAATCCTTGCGCACCCTATACTATTCATTATGACCAAATCTCATTGTCATAGCTTTGGCTCTATATACACAGTTACCATCTGGAAGAACTTTCGTCTGGTGAGTAATATATTTCCTAATACCCTCAAAGAATTTCTCTATATGCATATATGTATCGAACGCTGATTGTTTTTCGTGAGGCTTATAAAGCTAAAAATAAAACAATACATTAGTTATATGGTAATAACACATTGTAAAATACAACATTTTTAGTACATACCTTAAATATTTTTGGATTAGACAATATGGAACTAGAAGTAACCATGTTTCTTTTCTTTGGCATTGCAGTGGTACTCTTCTTTGGTTTTATTTTTAGTGAGGCTTTGCTTTGGTTTATTTTTAGGTGGAGCAGTGGAGGCCTCAGCAATCTCAATTGTAGATGGCAAACGACGAGTAGAAATGTCAAATTTTCACTGTCTCCCTTTGGTCTTCAACTTCTCTTTTGGTTTAGTAAGCGCAATAAAATTAAGGTTCATTAGCTCCTCCAGTGTCATGTAGACTTGTCTATTCTTTTCATCATCTTGTTATTCATACCACATATTGAATCTTTGTGATTGTGACTTTCTTGGTGAAGTTGTGACTTAACTACTGTTTCTTACATTGATGAGATCTAATTTCCTCTAATGTGAATGGATGACATCAAGTGGGATTGGTATACCACGATCTCTATACTTCGCAATTTCATGTGCACATGGTAATTGATGGGTTCGATGAATAGCACAACCACATGATAAAGCATCCACCCCATCTATCTCTAACTTGTTTGCAAATAAATTACAATGTTAACTATGTAGACCATATATGTACATAAAACAAGTAAACTGAATTTACCTTTTTGACTCGCACACAATTACATTCAAAGCCTTTATAGAAACAAAACCTACTAACTCACTCAACTCCAGATGCCTGAACCTATGTTGAATAAAACATCGACTCTTTTCAAAAGATGCCTTAATCTCTATGTGCTCCATCTCTAACAATGAGTGAATAGTTACCATGATTTTAGACAACAACAAAAAACTCAAAATAATTATCAAATAAAAAGTTGTGAATTGATCACTATAGTCAATTACACATTCTATTCCAACATTGTTGCCTTCAGTATGGGCGTCCCCTTGTTTTTGTTCCTTCAATGGGAGTAAGGTCAAAATAGCTTGCACTAAATTTGTGGTCGACAATAAGTTACTAAAAAATATATATATTTCGATCGTTGCCACTAAATTGTAGGTAAAAATTCGGTAATACACCACCGAACACTGTTCCATGTTAATGGCCAGTCAAATACAATCAAAATAGATGCAATGTTTCGATGACATCCCACTGAATTTACCTATTGCGCTCGTACTTGTGTGCTAAATGCAACTAGCTACCACCATGAAATCATATACTTGAAAAAGGCAAAAAAATAAACTTATACCTCATTCGAAGCCTCTCTAACTTCAATCTCACCCTTCATGAATAAATACAAGATATTGTTTCACTAATATAAGCGTATAAACCTCGTTAGGGTTGTAGAAATATGATGGTTTGAGAAAAAAGTCAAACTAAGGTTGCAGAAACATATTTGGGGTGTAGTAAGCAAATTTAATTTTTATTTTAAATGTTTTTTGTCCTTAATGGTAATTATGTACAAGGGTAAAATAGGTTATTCATATTTAAAATTAGTATGGGGTGCAAAGAGCAAATAATGGGGTGCCAATAAAATCACCCTATTCTAAATTGGGATGCAACAACGTTATAACATGCATCCATTGATATAGGGGGAGGGGGTTGGGGTTACAAAACATAGTATTTTATGATAAATGAAGAACTTTTTACAAAATGCATAAATATACCAACACATTATGTCACCAATTTTTTTGTTGAGGGAAAATTGCAAATGGTGAACAACTATCTAATTTTACCAATATTTAATAAGAACAAAGTTTTCATTATTTAAGTTTGACACATGCAAAATAATTATAATCCATTCTAATAATCATCATAAAAGAAATATCATTTAATTCAAATTATGAAGAAACATAATGTGGTATGTTAATTTAATTTTCGCACCTACACTCTCAGAAGGATCTCAAGTTGCCTATGTATCTTGTCAAAGGAATCAAGCCACTCGTAGGTTTTTATTTTCAGTGAATGAATGGCCCACTAAAATGAGGATTTGGCTATGAAAATTTATGAATTGAATATCGAGATTTTGTGGGTGAATTTGGTTTTGAATAAGCATGGATTCTATTTGAGATGCGGTTGTTTCAAGACCCACCCGCTGACATCCCCATTGGAAGTTGAAAGGAGTCTTGAGCATGTCTTATACTCATTGGGCATCGGGTCCGTTAGCTAGACTACCTTTACAACCATGCCCAAGGAACAACAAAAATGGTTGACTTCTACCAAAAATTGTAAAAAATTTCGCATGTAAAAATTCACAGCATGAATCTCAAATTCCTAAATCAACACAATATCAAACATCTCAACAATTCAACATAAATCACATAGGGTCTTAGGCCCTTTAAAGAAGTCACTACCTTTAAACATGGGCATATCAAAGCAGCAGTCTAGTTAAAACAAATTTTAAAGTGAAGTTCGAAAATATAAAGCAAATAAATTTCTACAACAACAGAAAAGAAGTCGGGAAGTGAGAGGAAGTGTATTCCTCAATGTGGCTCAGGTTGACCTCATAATCTACTACTTGGGCAAAATAAAAAACCAAAGTTTCTGAAGAAAATGCGAGATAAACTCCATGAGTTGAGCGAAAATAAAGTTTTAGAAACATTTTCTTGAAAACCCTTTGCTTTAAAAATATTTACCAACAATGGTCAGTTTATGATTAAATAAAAAATCATTCACGTAAAGATATCAAATAGAGTTATCAAGATATATAATTAAATATATCAATTTTTATAAAATAACAGAGCTCAAAAATAGAAACTTAAGATGAAAGTGGAGCATAGCATAGCATAGCAAAGCAAAGCAGAGTATGCTCGATGCGTGAAGCAAAAGCCCTCAGCCCCTAGCTAGACCCACCACCCTTTAGAGCATTTCCACCCATTTGTTATGGTAAAGGGTAAGGAGAGGCAAGGGCTGTTACTATTCATATAAATAGTGTCAGTCCTTGCAAAAGGCTTGTTTTGTTTTCACCTATTGCCATAGCAAAGGGCAAATATTATTCTCTTTAATTTTATTTCATTTTACTTAAACGATTAATTTGGATAAGATTTTCAGTTGCCACGTTTCAATATTTATTATAAAATTCACATCTAATATTTCGAATAAAATTTTTGAATAAGATTTTCAGATATAACTATTTATTTAACACATTGCATACATCAAAACAAACATAATTCATTACAAAAAACAAAGAAAGCATAATTCATTACAAAATATAACCAAAGCATAATTCAAAACAAAACACAAACAAAGCACAATTCAAACAAAGCATACATCAACACAAAGCATAATTAAAAGCTAAGCATTACACTTGACTTCATTCACCCTTATTGCCTCTCAGTGCCCATAAGTGCTCCATCAAGTCAACTTGATGTTGTTCATGACCACAACAAGATTGCATTTCTGTATAACGGCCAATCATATGGTTGTTGTAACGACCGTCCCTAATCAACTATTCGTGCTACAGTGGTTGCCAATTTTCTCCCATGGCCCGTTCATAAATTCTTGTCAATGCCGTGTTCATGGGATCATGTTCGAACACCTCTAGTTCTTCATAGTCATACTCATCCTCCACAATCATGTAATGGAGGATGATGCACGTCATCATAATGCTCTGAAGCACCTCTTCATCAAACATACAAGCAGCCCCCCTAATGATTTCCCACTGAGCTTGTAGGATACCAAAATACTTTTCCACATCTTTCCTATAACCCTCTTAATAGGCAACAAATGATATTTCCTTCTCCAATTGCGGATGCGTAATTGTTTTGGCGAATGTCGTCCACCTCAAGTAAATTCTATCTGCTAGGTAGTGCTCACTTGAGTAGACGGTATTGTTGATTTCTTAGCTTGAAGCTCTTGGTGAAAAACGCATTGTAGTGCAACAAAAAGCTCGAAATTTACCAAGCTTAAGTGGCAAGGGTTTCGACAAGAATGTCAAATTTAGATCATTCTCAGCAGGATATTTAGTTCTAACTGTACGAAGGCCCATAGTTGTTGCTAGACAAAAGAAAAACGAATATAATATAAAACTAACAAGGTTTGGAGGATATCCCATAAATAACAGCATGAAAATTAAAACGAAGCAAAAAAAAGGTCTAATTTGACTTATGATAAAAGGAACTAAGAGCATCTACAATGATGCTCTCTATTTTTTAGTGAAAATTTAGGAGTTCTTTATAAAATTTTAACTCCAATCATACTCTCTAATTTAGGGAGCCACAAATGCTATAATTCATTTTTAATTGCTCTGTCTATATAACAAAAATAATATTAAAAAATAGTTAGCATTAATTAAAGATTTAAAATACTCATAAAATAAAGTATCATTAAATTATACGGAGCCACTAGGAGTCCTTTATTTCTCCTCAAATTTAGGAGCTCCTAGAAGTCTCTCTATTTTAGGAGTTGGATAAGGAGCATGGTTGGAGTTGTATTTTTTCAATTCCTCCCTAAAATTTGTCAAATGAGGTGGTTTAGAGAGCCCATTGTGGATGCTCTAAGGAGTCAATTAACATTCAAAATTCCACATTTTCATATTTAATTGAAGCTTCAATACGATTAGTCTCTAGAATCATTTCTTTATTTGCGTCGATCATGGACTAATAAAACTCTTAATCCAACTCATTTTGTTTCTCTAGGGAAGCTTGATGTCGTTAATCTGACCCTCAAGAGAAAGCGTCTGAGTGTAATGATGTTGTCAGTTCTACGAGATAAAGGCTCGGCAAGTTCTTGCACCATAATATTTTGATTTAGGGTTGTCAATATCAAGCATCACATTTTTAGTAACTTTGGTTTTCATCACTTGTAATACTCCCAGATGAAGAATAATTTTTTTCAATTATTCTACCAACTCTGATCTTGGAGCATGCATCAGACATGGCTTGGTACTCTGCCTCAGTAGATGATTGACGTGGTCCTGCTTCTTTGATTTCTAAGAGATAAGGGCATCATCAAGAAACATACACCAGTAGGTAGTAAAGTTCTTGGTGTTTGGACAACCGGCCTAATTTGCGTCACTATAGGCTTGTAGCTGAAGTGAAGAACCTGTAAGGAAGAATAAGCCACAACTAGGTGTGCCAAGAATGTAGCGAATTAAGCGGCGAACGACAGATAGATGGAGATGCCTTGGGGCTTGCATGAACTTGCTGACGGTGTGAACAACATAAGAGATGTCTAGTCGGGTAATGGTTAGATAGATAAGACTACCAACCAGCTTCCGATAGATAGTAGGATCCTCAACAAGCTCACCTTCGTCACGTCGATATTTCACATTAAGTTCCGTAGGGGTGTCAACCGAAGTAGTGTTGGTGAGGCTGGCTCATTGAACCAGATCCTAACTGTACTTGTGTTGATGAAAGAAGATACCATAAGGCTGATGATGCACCTCTAAAACTAAAAAATAGGTGAGCTAGCCAAAGTCTTTCATGTGGAATGTAGAATGCAACAATGTCTGAACCACAGAGATTGCCTCTAAGTCAAACCCAGTGATGACGATATCATCCACATAAACAAAGAGGACAACGATATCCATGGATGTGAAGGAAACATGCATCTAATGCTTATGAAATGAACTTTAGTTACAACCCATACAACAAAAACATTCTAAATGGCGAATTCATTTTGTTTATACTAGTTGAGGTAAACCTTTTTTATTTTAAACCAAGTATCTTAGCTTAGTCTCTTTGAACACAAATAGAAAAGGGAAAAAAGGGAATAGATCTTTACCCTTGATGACCTTTTCTTGATTTCCCAAGAATGAACACTTTTGTTGGAAATGCCTTTTGTTTCTCTTGATTTTGACTCCTTCACCTTAAGGCTCCAAGAATGGAGTCATCTCCCTCACCACACCAAATGCTCCTAGAGATGAAGAGAATGCAATCAAGAAGTATGGATGCTAGTATACTTATTGATTGGACCAATTTTTGGTTTATGGAATATGAGATACAAAGATGATCACTCATCAACCAATTTTTGGTTTTCTCCAACACTTAGATTATATAGGACAACACAAAAGGCAATTGAGTGGGTATTTAGAGCTCCATTTGGTCCATGGGTCATGTCATCTTATGCCACTTATCCCTTTGGACATGATGGAGATGCTGGAGGTGATATAGATACTGGAGATACTAGAGATGCTGGAGAGGTTGATCCTGATGCAAAGGTGGATGTTTTCAGGATAGGTGAAGCTGAGTGTCAATACTTCGTGAATGAAATAAACCTTATTCACTACAATTCTGGACAGGAGCTGAATGATGGAATTGAAGCTTTACTCATGCAGGAAAATGCACGGTTTGCATGAAACTTACAATGCCCCACTGATCGCTAAATTTACTTTCATGTACTCTATTGGAAATGGTGATGAATGAATTGAACTCCCCATCAATGAGATGGATTGGGTGGACTTTGTGCAGCTTGTACGCCATATTTACGCCTTCGATGTGCTTCCTGAGATAGATGATGTTAATGTCCAAGTGTTTAAGGTAGATGATTTTAATGGTGGGATAGGCCACTTCCTTGGACCTGTGTGAGTTTTTTACCATAATGACATCCCTAGTTTAGAGGAGAAGGTTACAAGAATGATCAAGCCACATTATCCTAAAAGTGAGTTTCAGGTCAAGTATTACAGTTATGAAGACTTAGACGACGACTCTAACAACAATGATTCTTGTAACATTGTTTAGCTGGATGTATTCACGTTGGGTTGGGAGAAAGTCGTAATGGAATTAGACGTGTTAAGGGTAAAGCCTTGCAATCATCCTCAATGTCAGTAGGTAGCAAAACTCCATGAAAGACAGATAATAGTCCAGAGTTTTGTAAACTTTGGTGTAAATTTTCTAGCATGTTGGTTTGCTCTCTTTGGCATCTGGTTCTGTATTGTGTGCACTGCTAGTTTTGGTTATGTTTTTATCTTGTTGCTCTTGTCTTTTTTATAGTTATGCTTGGCCACTCTTATCTTTTTTACAGTTGTGTTTGGCTGGATGTTGCCAGCTGTGCTTGGTGCTCTTCTAATGTCTGCTTTATATTACTTTTATGATTTGTCGCCTTATTTTGTTGTAGTTAAGAATTCTATAGGTGACATGTATGGTTTGGAGTTGAAAAAGTAGGGGAAATTAAAAAAGAATGCGGATATCGTACATTTTATATGATTGCACTATGAATCGAGTGCTCTTCTCTTAAGCATAGTTATTATAATGCCTTTTGCACAAAAATTTGTCTCCCTTGGTAGTATAGAGAATGTATGCGACACCAAAAAAAAAATGGTGATGATGTTGCATTGTTGTGGGTGTGCTGGTCCGGATCGAGATCACCCCATTAGCTAGATCAAACCTCATTTACAATGTCATAGGGTGCAATTAATTCATGAGTCTATTGTGTGGCTCGAAAGCCGGCATTATTGATACCCGAGTCATGTTTGATTCAACAAAATTCTTACCGGTGTTGAATTTGGATTATTCAATTCTCCTTGCGTCTTTTTTGAATATTTTAGTCAAAAATCGGAGTGATGAGAAAGGAAAGTTGTACAAAAATTATTCTCCAATTTCCAAAATAAAATATAATCATGATCAACCTCGCATATAGGCATTTGGCCATTGCACAAGCTATATAATTAAGTAACCCAAACAAAGAGATAAAATAAAATAAAAACCAAACAAATCCAAAGGATTTTCAGCTTAAAATCTCTCTACCATGGCAAAACTCCCAACACGATTGTTCCCTTGAAATTTCAAACAACAAAGCATCACAACCTCACCAAATTCTCTCTTACCCCAGATATTAAGTAACATCATTGAACCTAAGTAGGTCAAGAAGAATGTTTTATAGGATCGATTGGGGTTTTGGGAATTGATGAATTGATTGGTTGTCAAGTGGGAAAAAAATCAATATGACTACCTAAATTTATCTTGGCTCCCTTTTACTAATTATGATGACAAAAGAAAATTGAAATTCCACCGGTTGTGGGATTCCATGCAACTTGGCTTTTTTTTTGGGCGTGTGGATATGCGAGGCGTGCTAGCATGACAGTTTCAGCGGGTCGAGGGCCCACTTCCTCTGGGACCCAATGCCCCCGATTTTGAAAATCTTTGGCTTTTGAACACTTGTAACTGAATGATTTGTTGAAATGTGTGTTTTAAATGCTTCATTCTCGTGAATATTAATAGAGGATATGTTTATATGAATATGACTAAGGAGAATAGGATTAAGAAATGAGAAGTTAATTATGGTACAACGTAGAGAATAAAAAATTAAAATATCCATAAAATCATTATATTAGACAAAAACATTTATCTAGTTTGTCAAATAAAACTTAATCCTCTCCATATCTCAACTACTAATTACTGGCATCAAACTGAAAGTACAATACTAGTTAAAGAGTTGTCAACTGGGAACTCAAAGAGTAGAAGGGGATTTGATTCAAGTTATGTCTTTGGCTAGCTGTGAGACGCTTTGGAAAGGTGTTCGAGTTGAGAGTACTTGAAGTTTGTTCAAATTGGTTGTTTGTTCTTAAGATGAACGTTACATGATATTATTTATGTATTAACATATTCGTTGTGTCATCCACATAAAGAAATGTGTATAAATTTTTTCATCAAGAAGGGCGGTGAAATCGAAAAGGTTGATGAAGAAGATGTTGAAGATGAGCATGGATTGGACAACATTGAATCTTCTAGTGTAAGGTCATATTCTGAACTAAAAGGGAGATCTCATGCTGAGAGGGAGCTAGAATTAGATGCTGGAGGTGATATAGATACTGGAGATGTTGGAAATGCTAGAGGTGATTTAGATACTAGAGATGTTGGAGATGCTGGAGAGGTTGATCCTGATACAAAGGTAAATGTTTTCAGGGTAGGTAAAGCTGAGCATCAATACTTCGTGAACGAAATAAATCTTATTCACTACAATTTTGAACAGGAGTTGAAGGATGGAATTGAAGTTTTACTCCTACAGGAAAATGCACGGTTGCATTGGACTTACAATACTCCATTGATCGCAAAATTTACTTTCATGTACTCTGTTGTAAATGGTGATGAATGGATTGAACTCTCCATTGATGAGGTGGACTTTGTGCAGCATGTATACCATATTTACGCCTTCGATGTACTTCTTGAGATAGATGATGTTGATATCCAAGTGTTTAAGATAGATGATTTTAATGGTAGGATAGACCACTTCCTTGGACCTGTGTGAGTTTTTTACCATAATGACATCCCTAGTTTGGAGAAGAAGGTTACAAGAATGATCAGGCCACATTATCCTAAAAGTGAGTTCCAGGTCATGTATTACAGTTATTAAGACTTAGACGACGGCTCTAACAACAATAATCCTCAGTGTCAGTAGGTAGCAAAACTCCATAAAAGACAAGTAATAGTCTAGAGTTTCGTAAACTTTGTTGTAAATTGTTTGGCATGTTGATTTGCTCTCTTTGGCCTCTGGTTCTGTATTGTGTGCACTGCTAGTTTTGGTTATGTCTTTATCTTGTTGCTCTTGTATTTTTTTCTAGTTATGCTTGGCTGCTTTTGTCTTTTTTACAGTTGTGTTTGACTGGATGTTGTCGGTTGTGCTTGGTGCTCTTCTAATGTCTGCTCTTAAGAATATTTATTATAATGCTTATATCGTACATTTTATATGATTGCACTATGAACCGAGTGCTATTCTCTTAAGCATAGTTATTATAATGCATTTTGCACAAAAATTTGTCTCCCTTGGTAGTATAGAGAATGTATGCGACACCAAAAAAAAATTGTGATGATGTCGCATTGTTGTGGGTGTGTTGGTCTGGATCTAGATCAACCCCATTAGCTAGATCAAATCCCATTTACAATGTCATTAGGTGCAATTAATTCATGAGTCTATTGTGTGGCCCAAAAGTCGGCCTTTTTGATACTCAAGTCATGTTTGATTCAACAAAATTCTTACCGGTGTAGGATTTGGATTGTTCAATTCTTCTTACGTCTTTTTTGAATATTTTAGGAAAAAATCTGAGTGATTAGAAAGGAAAGTTGTACAAAAATTATTCCATAATTTCCAAAATAAAATACAATCACGATCATCCCCACATATCGGCATTTGGCCATTGCCCGAGCTATATAATTAACTCAAACAAAGATATAAAATATAAAAAAAACAAACAAATCCAAATAATTTTCAGCTTAAAGCCTCTCGGCCATGGCAAAACTCCCAACATAGTTGTTCCCTTGAATTTGGTTATCGTTTGATCGTAGATCAAATATCGCACTTAATCGTTATCGGGGTTCGACATGTTCGGACCATTGGATCAACTCCAATTTAAAATATGTTGATCTAGGCATCCCTAAGATAGTGTAGGAATTCGCGGATCGTGAATCGAAGCCCCGGATTTCCCGATTCAATAACTTAAAGTTTGCGATTAAACGATAACCATTCGATCGTACGATCGCGAGCAATCTGACCATTCAATCCAGACCAAACTTGCAGGACATGTATTGTAAACTTTGTGGAACCCATAGGAATTTCTAGATCGAAAATCAGAGATCATGGGCCCCGTTGACCCAATTTGGAAATTAGAGACATTCCTAAAGTCAAACTACGTGTTTTGGAACATCTCATTCCTTGTACACTTACTTGAAACCTTGGGAACTAGGATTTTAATTTAAAGTTTCCGTTTGAAGCGTTTTATATTAATCTCGTACTTGTGTTCTGAAATAGGTACTCCAACCATGCGTACGCAGTAGGCGAGACTCTCTCAAGGTCAATCAGCATGGGACTATTTGTGGGTGGACATTGTTTTCAAATAATAAGCATTGTTTTATGATAGAAAACTATGCATGATGATTTAATGAGTTTATTATTTTTATTCATTGTTGGACTTGATATTTCTATATATTTTTGAAATATGTTTGGGTTTTGGCATATTGCAAGTATCTTAAGGTTATATATAATATTTTCGAGAATTGCTATGTATGTTTGGTTATGTGTGGGGTACGTGAGGTGTGGACGTGGGATTTTGGAAAGAATTGAGATTGTAATATGTATGTTTGAAGTGCTATACGCACTACCCTATGTACCTTCCCGGATCTTTGAAATTTGAGATATTTGGATATGTTGGAACCCGGATACTCTTGACGGGGTGTTTCGTAGACCCTTAGTGTCACGACCCGATTCGAAAATAAGGAATATTCTCGGATCATGGCGTAAGTCAGACCATAGTCATAAGAATAAAATCCTACAACCATGATAATATGATAAATAGAGCCACAATTAATACAAATTTACTTAACAACATAAAATCAGAGTCGCAATAGCTCGTAGTTAAATACACACTAAGATTTTTATTAAACAGTTGACCACTTACAATTATTAACTACACAAATCAACAACAAAAGCCTAATAGCTTGGTTGAAACCCGCTCCATCAAACTTCGCCATGAATCCTGCACAATCTATTGGGGTATGAGCATTCTAATGCCTAGTAGAGCACCGTCAAACCCCTTAAGGTCAACTAACAGTTAATCAAAATGTCATGCATCAAACAACACAAGATATATAAATTATGCAACCATACCAGATAAATAAATTTGCATATACGGTGATGCCATGAACTCACTTAATTCTAATCCCACTAATTCATACCTTAGTGCAACAAGCATGCATGTCTCATACCATGCGTTTTACCACTGCAGCTCCGAATACCCTAAAATATGAACTAGCTCTCATCCGTCCCTTAACCCAGTTTTCTTTTGTTTATGAATTTCTCAACTTTTAGTTTTCATTAGAGGCCTTGCTCCCATCATCTCAATATATTCAAGCCCTGCTCCCGTCACCTGAATGTATTCCATATTTTTTTACTTAGATATATCTAAGGCATTCTCCCACTCCTTAAATATACGTTAAATGACACACACATCCATAACACCACTATATTTATTATGCATATGTAATGCAACGCAAACATCATTTATCTCTGCTAAATTATAATACAGATAGTAACAATAATATTTTAGATTTAATCACATGAATAATAATATTCACCCAATGTCAAATAATATCTACGAAGAAACATCAAATAATATTCACCGAGCAAAGCAACAATAATATTCATATTTATAGCATTATATATAAGCACCAGGATTAAAAGTGATATGGCCCAATCATCGGGAATCAAGAACCCTACCTTGTGTCCAGTAAGCTTAACCTTGTGCGGGTTCGTCCTTGAAAGTATGCAAAGTAGAACACCTAATTGAGATAATTTACTGATTAAAATTCACTAGAAATAAGGAAACACGTTTCTGTGTCTTACTGGCACATGTAGACCTAAAACCCCATAATACGCTTGATAAGTTGTTCGACCCGATTGATACTCCCTCAACCTCACGCCCAAGTAAGCATAGAACCAACCGTCAAGGAAAAACTAATATATTCCCCTCCTATAATAGTTCTACTCTTTGGGATGTTTAAAATCAGGTGGTTAGGCTCTAAACTCATAAAGAAAATTTAAAACAAAAACTTCAGTTTTACTAAACATTTGGGTTGGAATACGTTTACTTTGAAAATTCACTAAATATTGAGTTTAAATCAAAATAAGGTAAAACTCATATCACAACTAGACATAGAAACATTAAAAATGTCAAAATTTGATAAAAAGTAGGGTTAAGGAAGCATGTCAAAATAGACTAGGCTGTAGAATGTTCTTTTTTCAGGTTTGTACACTTGTTCTGAAAAATAAATTTCAGTTTACAACCAAACCAAATAAAACTTTCCATATTTGAAGAAGATACGTGAAAGTAAAACATATTGAAATTTCATGAAAATCCAAGTTCAGGAAGTTTTCAAACACGTATTCAAAATAGGGCATGCAGTAGAATCAGAACAATTCCAACAACATAGTCTCTACTTTGAAATTTCACAAAAAAACTCAATTTAAATTCAAATGGCACAAAACCAACTTTGAAATAACCCTTGAGATATCAATTTTGATCTAACAAAATTCCATAATGAAATTGGTACAAAATCACATCGAAATAATCTAGAACTTCACATAAACATACTTTGAAAGAGATATATGCCATTGAGGCATTCTAATCAACACTTGATTTACAACTAGTACCAACACTTCATTCCTTCAAAGAATCATTTACTTGAGATGATAGTGGCTAATTTGATCAATTGAATGACAAGTAACAAGCCATTTGAGAGAAAGTACACATTTATAACAAGAAATTCAATATAATAAATGAACAAGTTTTGTTCATACCAATTTTTAAAGAGTTATAATGGTTGCATTATGTTGACCTTTGGATATGTTATAAAGAGGAGAATTTGGAGTAACTATCATGAAGAAACCATAGTGTTTTGAGCTTTCAAAAGAAGTGTTCTGGATTGAAAATGAGGGAAGTAACTTGGGTCGAAGACTATAAACAAGTTCCACTTTAAACATCCAAGGTGGCTATAGAAGTCCGATCAACCTAAATTTTTGATATGTTATAATAGATAGAATTTTGAACAACTTTGATGAAGGAACCAAAGTCATTTGAGTACAGGAAATCATAGAAACATATTGAAACCGAGCATTCTACTGCGAAATCAGGAAATGGTAAACATATTGTGATCATACCAACGTTTCGGAGCCTGTGCTAGTCGGATATAACTAAAATTGGAGAATGAGATATGAATCACGTAAATAAACAACTTTTATGAAGGAAGTTTCCTCGTTTGAGTTTTCGAAATTTGAGTTCTAGGCTACTCCAAGGAAGTGACGAATTTTGAATTTTTTGAAGAGGAACAAAAGAAGAATGAGGATGAAAATAAGGTGAATGAGGAAGAAAGTGATGATATAATGAATAAGGATGAAGAGAATAAATTCATGATTGAACAATCTTAGGCTAGGTGGCAAATTTGAAAGCTTGAGGCAAGATGGGAAAATTGGGAAAAATGGGAGGAGGGTGGTTTGATGCCGTCCATATTTTAGAATATTTTTTTTGTTGGCCTACAAGGGTATTTTGGTAATTTTTCACACATAGAGGTATTTTGGTCATTTTTGTCCAACTTGAAATTAAACACACTTATTTTAATAATCATTCTCCACCATAATATTATTTTTCACTGAAATATGAAAATTCACTTTGAATTTTTTGGGGTATTATGCTTAGCGGGCTAGTCTGCGCGTGTAGGACTTGTCACATGTGTATGAGTATTGAGGATTCTGATGTATGTGCTGGTGAGCTTAGTCCCAATTGGACGGCTCGTTCCCTAGTCACATGGTCAATTGAGAATTCTTCCATGTGGACTAGTCAAACAATCCCCCGGTTGGATTGTTTCCTTGGTACAAACTAGGTGGTATCTTATATATATATATATATATATATAGTTATGTCATATTATATAAACTTATATATATAGCTATTCTTCCTTTATTATTTATCGGTGAGGATGCTTCCTCGCTCGCCGTGCCGACGGGCACGCATTTCGAGAGATTTATTTTGGTATAATAATGAAAAGTTTGGATGGGTTGATTAATAAAGTTTCATTAGGGTTTTCGGATTTAGATATGGTTTTGACCAAACTTTATATATATATATATATATATATATATGGATGTGACGGTTTTGAATGCATATGGTTTTCGGCATCGTTTTTGTTTCTCTAAACGGTGGGGTTATATTATGTTGGTTTCAATTGAACTAAACTTTGTTTTTGTCTACTCATACTTTTCTATTTTGCGGCCCCCAGCTAGTAGTTGACTGAACTAAGCAACAGAGCCGGGTTGCGAGCTTCCGAATCTCGAGCTTTCGTAGGAGTCTTTTATTCTTTTCTCTCTGTTGAACTTCCTTTTCATTTGTAAACTAAATTCTTAGATTGCTTTGTTATCGCCCGTACTAGGGTATGATTTGTGAGGCCGGAGGCCTTTGTTGTAAACTGTTTAATCGTTTTCTAAAGCATGTTGCTTGTTGGGATATTAAACTATGTTTTTAATAGGTTGAGGAATTTGGTAAATGTCCTTTTTCAATGAAGACTCTGTCGAAATTTCGGCAGAAAGTCTCGTTCTTTAGTAAGTGGGCCCGGGGTCGGGTTGATGCCGGAAATACCAAAGGATTCGTCCCTTATTCCGAGGGATTTGGGGCGTGTCCTGTCAATTTCAAACAATTTCTTACTGGCCCTGTACAATGTAAACATTAAAAATATATATATATATATATATACACATTTAACTTATTAGAGGATAAAGTTCTTGAAAGAAAATTGGAAAGAACAAAGTAAGAACAAAAGCATATTATGGACTACTCTTTTACTTAATTTTTTCTAAGATTAGGAGAGGGAGAGAGAAAAAAAAGTCTGTAACAAGAATGAAAAAGCAGGGGAAGGAATCATGTTTTGGAATGATTACCCAACTCCCAACATAAAAATGGTTAGCTGTAAAATTAATATGTTCAATTAAACTTACCAAAATCTTTAATAGAAAAACTAAATTAAACAAAATTAAACTTACCCAGAATTTCTTTGATAAGAAACCAAACAAAGACATAATGGAGAACAAGAGAATCAATATGACAGGGAAGTAGGTATGCACTTGGCTTTGTCTGGCCATTCAATTAGAGTCAGGCTTGGGTTTCTTTAAGCTCTAGAGTGATAAGTGTCGCTTTAGAGAAAGAGAAAGGTGAATGGATGAGAGGGATAGAACTTGTGAACACGTTTTAGGCCAAAACCATAAAAGAACATGTCTTAGGTTTTAAGAAAGAGGAGCCTCTTCCAGCAAAAAATTTCGCTATCTTTTCCACCAATTTTTATTTATTTAATAAATTAATATAATTTTGACAACACGCGTTGTGCGTTGTAGAACTTAAAACTACTACAACACACAAGGCCGCGTTGTGAAAATAGCTCTACGCTATATTTTGACAACACGCTATACACGCACATTGTTATAAATTGTATAATACAATGTGCTGCTTCTGTGGGTTGTTAAAAAAACTGTTCCACAACGCATATGAATGCATGTTGTTGATTACATGTTGTCATAAGGTATTTTTCTCGTAGTGTTAGAATGTGCAACAATATCGAAATATTTCACTGCAAATTAAAGATCTTTTCTTTTAATAATAGATAGTATCTTAATGTCACGGTTACCTAAGCCAAATAGAATATGTTTAGAGAACCCATTTAATTGGAATTACAACGCAATTCGATCATTTTCTTTTCTCAATGTTCTTGATTACATTAATAGGGTACGGAATTTATGTCAAATGCTTAACGTGATCGTTCTCAATTTAAGCTTAATTAGAAACTCTTGTATCAATTAAGCTCATAACTCTGACCGGAGATTCCCGAATCACGTCTTAGAACATTCTCTTCCTTTACTAGAAGTTGAGATCCCTTGTTGATGCTCACAAGCCTCTACAAACTTATCGAGAACCTCGACGATATCTTAAGTCAACTAAGGATCGAGCCTAGCCATATGACACAATCAAAGATCAACGACCCATCCATAAGACTACCATGGTGCCTCAAGTCTAAGGACTAACCTTGTGTTATTACAACCATAGAAATCTTGTTTGACATGTAAGTAAAAGTTTTATACAAGATTTCTTGTTTGATCGCATTTAGTGAACTCACTCTCTAGCAAGCATCCACATGATTATCTCAGTGTCTCATACACTAGTGACCTGAGACAAGTCATCCTCCCAGTTGAGCAGATATAGTGTGTATTGGTCCTTACGGTTCGTCAATGCCCAATTGATCGTCCTATCATTGGGAAACGTGTAGGGTGTGTGCTATAGGGAAAGGTCTCGTTGCATCTAACTTTTCTATACCACTTTTCTCATCTCACATGCTATGGACTTCTTCATAAGTGTGTAGTTATTAGGAAGACTATTACATGAATCAAGGTAATTTCCCTTATAGATTAACTTGAATAGTTAATTAATTGAAATATCCATAAAAGATTTTATCTCATGATTGGCTTTTTTGGGCATATTTCCAACAAGTGAATGCTCAAAATCAATATGTAAATGCCTAGTGCTAAAAAAATAAAATATTATCATAGTTTGTTTTAGTTTAGGCAGTTTCCATATATGTCAAACCAAATCACACCAAATCAATTACGGTTTCGTTTGAACCAAAGATTACACCTTTTTAATGTTGAAACCAAACCAAACCAATGGATAAGTTTAGTTTGACCGATTTGAATTGTTCCGCTAGTTTGATGCCTAGCTTTGCATGCTTTAGCTCAACATGTCTTAAGCTAGAGATACATAATACAAGTCAACATGTTCCCCTTTTACTTTTAGGCCCCGTTTGGTTCACATAAATGAATTTGTGGGAAATTAATCTCCTTGTAGTTTTCCATGGAAGGGAAATCGAAGATTCCTTTCCTATGTTTGGCAATGCTCGGAAAATAACTAAAAAATATCATTTTATTTCCTTTCCCATGTTTGTTTAGTATAGGGATTCGAAATAAATTTTGTTTAGTTTTCCTATTATATCCCTAAGTCATAAATCATATTAAAAAGTATAGTTAATGGTGGTAAATTGGTCATAAAGAGTTGTAGTTAATGTTTCCTTTGGTTTCCCATGAGGAGGGAAAATGAAACCCAAGGTGGATGGAGGGTTTCATTTTTCTCCTATTTTCCCATGAGCCATGAAACTATTTCTCAAGTTTGGACTTACCAAACATGAGAAAGCAAATAATTTCTCATTTCCCCTATTTTCCCATGTTCTTAAAGAATTAATAAACTCTTAATCGATAATATGGCTTTTGGAGTTTAGTTAACAATAATTTTAATATAGCCCCTACAACTAATTGACAATAAATAACATCTTATATGCTAAATTAAAGTGTGCAACAATATGAAAACATTTCAATGCAAATTAAAGATCTACTAAAATCAACTTTTCAAATATTACTATTCAAATCTTCGTGTAAGTCTCATATTTCTTTAGATAATAAAGAACACCTTAGCAAATTAAGAATCTACTAAAACCAATTCCTAAGACTTTCTGAACTATACAAGTCTACGCATAAGTCTCATATTTTATTTTCTTTTGATAGAATTCAAAAGTTTATTTTTTTCCAACAAATAATATCCATTTGTTCATCATTTTACATTTTTATTTCTTGGCATGGTGCCCCATAACTTACCAAATTGGGGTGAGGGCTGTGCTCTCACGCCCCTCCTTGCGCGTTGCTGTCACCTCCGTCCACAAAATGGGTGCAGAAAAGGCAAAACTCCTCAGAAATAGGAACCGGTGATCACCGTTAATAGCCGGTAATCATCCGCCGTCAAGAGCCCATCGGGAGGCGCCGCACCTCCAATCCGCGCACAGCACTTACCGGCTGTTTACGGTAAATAACTAACAACTAATAACATGGCCACACCTGAATATTAATCATCACACAAACAAGCGAGAGATATTAAAATATACAAAGACAAATAATAATAATAATAATAATAATAATAATAAAATAATAATAATAAGGAAGGAAAAAAAAACATTACCGTACGCTACGCAGCGAGAAATGAAAATGAGAACCAATTTAGGGAGAGAAAGTTCAAACATTAGAAGCGTTTTATAAATTTTTTGTAGAGAGAGAAAGGGCAGTGATTGGTGGAGAGAGAAAGTTTGATATGTTTTTGTGTTTGTTGGGGCTTTGAGATTGTCTCCGTCCCGTTTCTCTATTCTTCTTCCCCTCCGAAGCCAAAAGCCCTTCCTTATTCTTCTCAGCTTGAGAGAGAAAAAGAGTAAAAACCTAGAATTTTTTTATGTTTTTCTAGAGAAAGTTGGCGTAATTTTCTCGGATTTCTAGAAGCTGAGGATCAGAGCTAGGGTTTCGATTCTGAATATTCAGGCTTTGGTCGTGCAAGGTGAGGTTGGGATTGTGGGGTGGATCGAAATGTTGATTAGGAATGCGAATTCGTGGGAATTCTAGTTCCGATCTTGAAACTAGGGCTCGAATTGAAGGCTCAAAGCAATGGATGTGGACTCGTCGTCGATGGTGCCGGAGACCGATCACGATCCAGCCGTGCCGAACCACAGCACGACGTCGTCTCAGGCCGCAGTTGAAGGGGAACAACAGCTAGGTGAGCAGTCGCAACCTGGAACTGGATCTCCAGCGCAGCAGCCTCAGCAGGCGGCGGCGGCGGCGGCTCCACAGGCGCAGCAGACTCCAGTGGCCGGGCCGCGGCATGCCCCGACGTACTCGGTGGTCAATGCAATCTTAGAGAAGAAAGAGGACGGCCCAGGGCCAAGGTGTGGCCATACGTTGACTGCGGTGGCCGCCGTGGGCGAGGAGGGCACCCCTGGGTGCATTGGCCCCAGGCTGATTTTGTTTGGTGGTGCCACCGCTCTTGAGGGCAATTCGGCGGCTTCCGGGACTCCATCTTCAGCTGGAAGTGCGGGCATAAGTATGTTATTTTCTTTGATTACTTTGGTATCTCCGTGGTTTGAGCTTCTAGGTTTAGCTGCGTTGAAACCCTAGTAGTAATGGTTTGGTGGTGGTATAAGTAATTTATCAATCTAGCTTTGTTAATTTCTGATTGAGGTTTTTTCTTCTTCTCTGTTAAAAGACCTTGTTATGTTCAGTTTCTTTAATCTGGGGCTGCATTTATGTGCCTGCTCGCATATTGTTAATGGTACAAGCAAGCTAATTTGCCGTCTTTCAATTCAGGAAAGAAAAAAGTACTTTTCATTAAAGTGAAATATGGGTCCTTGGCAGGTTTTGAAGCTATGGTGATTCAGGCTGTTTTTTATTATCTTGCAAAATAATAATGAAACGCTTGGTGGTTTAAAGCCTCTATTTAATCTTGGCTCAGTTTTATTCATTTCCGATAAATTCATTTTGTGTGATGCAAATTTTCTATTGTCATTTCCTTGAAGTGATTTGAGTGGTTGGGTAGTTTTGTTGTAGCCCAACTAATATGCATGTAGTTTTCTTCTTTTTGTTATTGTTTCAGAAACCTCACTCGTACAATTCTTTTTAACTTAAAGTGATCAAGTAGCATGTATGTAATGTCGTTGGAGCTTCAAATCAGTCAGTGCATTTTGTTTTCAACTATGGTGTTGAAATTCTTGATTCATTTTTCATTGAATTCTACTATGTTTGCAGTTAATATTCGAATCTTCCTCGACCCAATTGTTTTTTTGTGTGAGGATCCCAAGTTTTGGTTCTTTTGGTTCTTTCTGTTATACTCTGCTCAAAGTGACCAGGATTTTAGGCCCAATCCATATCTTCACTAATGCCTGTGCTTGTAATGAGCTGAAAAGACTAATGAACATTGATTCATTTATTTTAATTATCTTAAAGGAAGAAACTTTCTTGTGGAGTCTTGTGGTGATAGTATTTCATGTCTTGCTCATGACCATTGTGGTTTACTTTCAGGACTAGCTGGTGCCACAGCCGATGTGCATTGTTATGACGTGCTAACAAATAAATGGTCTAGGTAAGCCTAGGAACAAGTACTCCTTGTCTTAGCAGCATGTGGCTATCCGTACTTTGTTATTTACCCTTTGTGCTTACAATGATATTATTTTCAGGATCACGCCCTTTGGAGAACCACCCACCCCAAGAGCTGCACATGTAGCAACTGCTGTTGGAACTATGGTTGTTATTCAGGTTAGCACACTATGTTTTATCCCACAAGTTATGATTCCTAAGTCAAAGCTGTATTAACATTTTACTATGCATTTCGTAATTACATTCTTACTGGAATCTTTGATATCAATACAGGGTGGAATTGGTCCTGCTGGCTTGTCTGCTGAGGATCTTCATGTTCTTGACCTCACGCAGCAACGGCCTCGATGGCACAGGTTAAACTTTTTAATGGTTTGCTGTCATCTTCTTATGAAATTTATTATGTTATTTTTAACGAAGTGGAGCTAATTTTCTTATAGGGTTGTTGTTCAAGGCCCTGGACCAGGGCCACGCTATGGACATGTGATGGCATTAGTGGGGCAAAGATATCTCATGGCAATTGGTGGGAATGATGGTGAGTCAGTTGAAGGGTCATCTTACTAATCTTTCGTGCATTGAATTAAAACAAAAAGAATCTGCATGATTAGGTTTTTATTGATCTTAAGGGAAATTGGTGTGTGCTTTCCAGGAAAGCGGCCTTTAGCAGATGTTTGGGCCCTTGACACAGCTGCCAAGCCTTATGAATGGCGTAAGTTGGAACCGGAGGGGGAGGGTCCACCACCATGCATGTATGTCTATCTCTCCCTTTCTAACGTTCATCACTCAATATCATATTATCACATATGACTTTTTTGGTATTTATATAATCACATGCTTGGATTTCCAAATGAACATGTATTCTTTACACGACTTTTGGACATTGGCTTCCTACTTAAAGTCTCTTTTCCCATTTATTTTGGTCCTTTTATATGCCAGTGGACTTGTACTGTTAGGGCCTGTTTGTTACAAGGGCTTGGCTTGGGCTGGATTGCCCAAAATTTAATCCCATATTTGTTTCACATGGTTCTAATCTTAAATGGCATTACCAATACTGGCTCCACCAAAAACACCTCCTTAGGTGTTCTTATGGAAGTCTGGGGAGAGGAGGGACAAATTGTCCCGAGCCCTTCACTAGTGACATCACAGTGCCCCTCTCCCTCTACCAGCAACGTTGCCTGCAAACCAGCCACAACCAACAACAATCAAGAGCCAGCAGACCCACCCACTACCACTGCTTTCTCTCTCCTCCAGCCACATCCCAGATTCACCATGTCCGCCATAGCCACTGCATCATCGTCCCAATAAGCCATAACCCGTTCAAAATTCAAAGAAAAAAACACCACACAAACCCATTGCATCATCGTCCCAATCTTCCCCCACCCCAGCAACATTGATGTGCCCCTCTCCCTCAACTCCTTTTCTCTACCGCTCTCTGCAAATCCACAAAAAAAAAAAAAAAAAAAAAAAAAAAACAAAAAAAAAAAAAAAAATTCAATTTTTTCTAAGAAAAGAACAAAACAGGAGTTTTTGGGGGTTTGGGGAAGGGATGCTTTGAGATGATGTTGAATTTGAGGGTACAAAAGGGGAGTGGCAGCTTGGGTTCTTTGCTGGGCAGAGGAGGAGATGAAGTTTATTTATTTTAATCTTATTTTATCATATTTTTTGTGTTTTTCTTATCTTTTTTTTTTCTTTTAATTAGTTTTTAATGTTTTATTATATTTTTTTCATAAAAAAAAGTTTAATTCATATTTTAGTCAATGTAAATTTAGTCCCAGTCCAATCATATATCAAACACGTGATAAGTGTTGTCCAACTTAGACCAAGCCATGCCAATCCAAGACAATCCATAAGCATAGTCCATGCCAAGACAGTCCAGCATAACAAACGAGGCCTTAGAAGCATATATTTCGTGGTCTCGTGTTTCTAAACTGGGTAATGTTTGGGGATTGTTTTTTGTTTTATCGGTGATTGAATATCTAGTAATGAGTGTGCTGATTATTTGATATTTGATATTTTAGTTGTCAGAGAAGTTGAATTATTATTTTTTCTAGACATGATGATAGTAGGTTCATTAGGATTTTCTTTTTTTGGGTGGATACCATGCGGAAAAAGTCACTTGCCCTCCTAGGCACCCTCTATTATTGGGCCTTAGGCTCGTGACCCCAGAAATTGCTGGTAATTGTCTCATTCTATGTTCTTTTTACTGGGGCTGTTACCTTTAGTGTGCAGAAAGAGTCTGCTGAACACTCACTTTCCAGACATCACTTGCAGTTTGTTGAATGAGCCTCATTTCTCACCGATTTGATACATGTTTCATTTGGGCTCTGATATCTAATTTATATTTTCACCTGGACAAAGAGTAATTATTCTATGTAAATCTACCACTGAGAATGTTGAGTTTGAGAATTTTGCCTTGTCCATTATAATTTCCTTTTGTATCAAGACCTTAATTTCAACCCTTTGTCATTCTCTCATTTTCTTGTTTTATGATGTTACTTTGTTATAGATCTAAAGGGTCCCATTCTCAATTCTCTCTTTCCATTTGGGTTTATTTATTTTTATTGAAGAGTCTTTTTCCTTGTCGTTTAGATCCAATAATTGCCGTTTAGATCCAATATTGTGAAGTCAATATGTAATCTTAATGTTTACTTTTGACCAGGTATGCAACTGCTAGTGCAAGGTCTGATGGTCTTCTCCTCCTTTGCGGAGGGAGGGATGCAAACAGTGTGGTGAGTCAAATACTGTACAATTTTTTAGTGGTTTGTTTTTGTGGATACATGAATATGATAGTAGCATTTCATGTGATTTTATTTTATTTTCATATTGATTGCTGGGGTGGCTCCATTGTCCATTGGCACTTTGTCTTCTTTGTTACATTCTGTCATTGCAAACTGTGTCAAGGATGAGGCCCATGAGGGTATCTTGTCTGAATGGGCCAAGGAATTGGATAAGTTAATAGCACATTTTGCAATATAACTGTGGAACATTAACCCTTTGCTTGTATATCCAATCTTTCTAACTGAAAACTGAAGTCACCCCTTACATATTAGTAGCAGAAGGACTTGTAATATGAATGCAGTCTTATTCTGATGTATGGGAAAGATGGGGTAGGGGTTTGAAATTTTTTGCATGGATTACTTATTTCTATTTGGCTTTAAAGTTTGTTTTCCTAGCTTGTGTCTGAATGTTTATTTGATTCCTTTCCTCTTTAAATTTTGCAAACCACGGTGTCTCTAATATTAGTAACAGCTTTGTAGTGCGAAGGGCTAAGTTTCTTTTGGTTCTTTTGCTTGCAGCCATTGGCAAGTGCATATGGCCTTGCCAAACATAGGGATGGCCGTTGGGAATGGGCAATTGCTCCTGGTGTCTCACCCTCTCCCAGATATCAACATGCAGCAGTGGGTTTTGGCATCCAATTTACTTGTTCCTGTTTTAGTGCTTTCCTTATAATATTTTAAAGTAGCATACTTTTGTTTCTAGGTCTTTGTTAATGCACGGCTGCATGTTTCCGGAGGGGCTCTTGGTGGTGGCCGAATGGTTGAAGATTCATCAAGCGTTGCAGGTACTTGATTATGGGTTTTGCAAGCTTTTTAGATTTTGTTATGTGGAACATAGGTAGTTTAGATATACATGTCAACTGTGGTTGTCGGGGCAAAAGGTTTCATTTAATACTGATGCTCATGATGGAGGGGAAGTAGGTTATCTTAAGTGATCCCTGGCGGACCTTGTGGGCCCTTAGCTGAGAATGGGACCGATGTTGATTAAATTATTGCTACTTCATATCATAAAATCACAATGCAGAAGAGAGTGCATTTGCAAACGCATACTAATACACATGTATGTATTGTTAATTTCAATATACTAGAAGTTGATTAAATATGTGTTACAGAATGAATTTAATTGTCTGGACTCAAGATTGTGGGATCCTCTTTGAGAGTTGCTGAACGCTTAATAGATAAAATTTTTCCAGTAGTTTTGGTTGATGCTGGTTGATGTATTCTTGTTTTGCCCTCCCTCACTGCCTAGGATAACTGTGCTGTGCCTTGTTTTTGCTGTGATATGCTTTGAGCGCATATTTGTGGTCTTATTATCTTTATTGTAGGTTTGTATGTCTGAAGTAGCAATGACTCAAATAAGAATGATTTGGCTTTTATTCCACTTCAAATAATTGGTCCTTACCACATCATTGCATACAATTTTGGAAATTGATTTAGTTTCTATGAGAAACAGATAGATTGGTAGCTTTGTTTAAGTTCTGTTGCTGTTTATTGGTGTTAAAAATTCCCAGTTTCCAATAGATTCACCATTATAATTATCGTACAAATTCCTATGTTTCTATTGTCCAGTGTTGGATACTGCAGCTGGAGTTTGGTGCGATACAAAATCAGTTGTTACTAGTCCAAGGACAGGTAGATACAGTGCTGATGCAGCTGGTGGAGATGCTGCAGTTGAGTTGACAAGGCGTTGCAGGCATGCTGCTGCAGCGGTTGGTGATTTGATCTTTATATATGGTGGTCTACGTGGCGGTAAGAGATAAATGTGCTATTTCAACAGTTTGGCTGCATATTTTTCCAGTTTCATTAAGTTAGGATGTGAATCTATCAACCAGTAAATTGTTGTAGATCACATAATGGATTAAATAATTTCAGTATGAACACCACGTTTCACTTTGTGATGATATGTAGCTTGTTAATTCTTTGCCACTAAAAGTTTTAAGTTCAAGAATAGACATGTTTAGAGGAGAATAGATGTTGTTTTGTATCTTGAGGTTAAGATTTCAGATACATAGTTGTCTTTTCTGATACATTATTGATTCTTTCAAAATTCAGCCAAGTTTTCAATGATTGGCTTACTAGCATTCAAATTGTTTCTCTGTTTTTTATGTTGACTTTGTCTTTCTGTGGATGAGTTAACTAGGATAAAAAGGACATGTAAGGATACTGTAGGTGTAGCAATTTAGTCTTTGGTGGAGTATTTTAGAGCCGTGGTTTTGATGTTTCTTTCAAAGGTTTTATATTATGGATTGTGGAGTTCACCTAGCAATTTTATCTTTCCAAGCTTATATAGTATCAAATGATAATATTCAAGCATACTAATTGTTTTGTTTACGCAATAGGGGTGTTGCTTGATGACCTACTTGTGGCGGAAGATTTGGCTGCTGCTGAAACAACATCTGCAGCTTCGCATGCTGCAGCTGCAGCTGCTCAATCTGTACAAGGTCGTTTGCCTGGAAGGTATGGGTTTATTGATGACAGAACGAGGCAGACAATGCCTGAAGCAACCCCTGATGGTGCTGTTGTGCTGGGAAATCCAGTTGCCCCCCCTGTAAATGGTGACATGTATACTGATATAAGCACTGAGAATGCCTTGCTCCAAGGATCCCGGTAAGCTAGTCATTACGTGTACATTTTGATTGCAGGGTTTGAAGTCACTGAATTGTACTTCTTGGTACTGTTAAAAATATACCGGATGCTGTTTACTGTGTAGGAGAATGAGCAAAGGTGTAGAGTATTTGGTTGAAGCATCAGCAGCAGAAGCTGAGGCAATCAGTGCCACCTTGGCTGCTGCCAAGGCACGGCAGGTTAATGGAGAAGTTGAACTACCCGATAGAGATCGTGGTTCAGAGGCTACCCCGAGTGGGAAGCAGATATCTACCTTGATCAAGCCTGATTCTGCTGGATCAAATAACATTCCTTCAGCTGGAGTGCGACTGCATCATAGAGCTGTCAGTATTAGATTTTGATCACTACTCTGAATGTTATCTAAAGTCTATGCTGGCAAGAACTTTAAACCTATATGGTTCAGTCCTTAATGTTTCCTCACATGCTTTGTCAGGTTGTTGTAGCTGCAGAGACTGGTGGAGCTTTAGGTGGCATGGTGAGGCAGCTCTCAATTGATCAATTTGAAAATGAAGGCAGACGGGTTAGCTATGGGACTCCAGAGAGTGCAACTGCAGCAAGGAAATTGTTAGATAGGCAGATGTCCATTAATAGTGTTCCCAAAAAGGTTTACACCTTATTTGATATGCTTTTGCATCCCTAAATTTCCATATTTTTATTTTTGGATCTTGTAAGGTTAATGTGCATGTTCAACTTTTGAGAAATAAATTTTGCTGACTCTTCCTAATCCACTTCCTATTATGCCAATTATATTCTATAGAAAAATGAAAGAACAAGTGAGGGCCTGAGTGGAATCTCAAATTGCATTCAATAGTGCAAATGACTAATTGTTCTTTCCTAAAAATTAAGCATTGTTGTTTTTGACACCCCCCAACCCTTGGTGTTTCAGTGAATCATTTCATCCTGCATATAAAATCTATTGGGTTTCCTTATTAATGCATTTCCTCTTTTATTATCAGGTAATAGCACATCTTTTAAAGCCTCGTGGGTGGAAGCCTCCAGTTCGCAGGCAATTTTTCTTAGATTGCAATGAAATAGCAGATCTTTGTGACAGTGCTGAGAGGATATTCTCCAGTGAACCAAGCGTCTTACAGCTTAGGGCTCCTATCAAGATATTTGGTGATTTACATGGGCAATTTGGTGATCTCATGCGCCTTTTTGATGAGTATGGTTCACCTTCCACTGCTGGGGATATTGCGTAAGTTTCTTTATTAATACGATATTAAGTAACTTAGTTCATATGGTTCTATATTCAAAGATTTTATTCATGCGGGCACTTAATTCTACCTGAATTACATATGATAAGGGGTCTGTCAGTTTGAAATGTGGGCACTTGATTATATGTGCACTCCCATGATATTACGTTGATTATTACATATCTTAATTTTTTAACAATCTAGCTAACTTGTATTATTTTTTGAATGGTTAATATATTTATCAATTGAAAAGGCCAATGACTAGTTTTATCTAATGAATAGTCCTTTCAGTTTGAAGTTTTTGGTTTGTAATATGAAGTTTATGTTTACATATCTTATGTATAAAGATTATGGGATTATAGTATGGAATTCCTGATGTTCCTTTATATATAGGACCTTACATGGCAAGACAGCTAAACATGGCAGAAAAGATCTTCATACTTTATATATATATATATATATTTTTGTTCTGATTTACTTGGCACAAACTCAGAATTGACCGAACCAGAAAGTTATATGAGACTAGGAAAAAATTATTTAATAACTAACCTAAGCACCCAATTCCTAAGAAGATGGTATGACAAGAACACATACATAAAATTTCCAGTTAAGCCCTAGTATGAAATTTTTGGTTTTTACCAGTCAGGAACATTTTGGTTAAATTACTGTCAGTAAACGTGCATCTTTTGAAATTGTAATGCAAGGTGGATTCTATAATTGACTGTGCAGGTCTTTTGGGTTTCCATCTTGTATATGCAGGGCTATTTATTTTTTAGTTGTATTTTGTTGTGTGTTTAGCAGTTAATTCGCATGCATAATATTTTTACCTTTTTTACATCTTGTATTTATAGATTTATAAATATTTCATTATTATTGGTGATTTCTGTGCATAAATGATTCAGCTCATGCTTTGTGCGTTATACTATTGACAAGTCTACAATACGTAGTATTATGTTTCTTGCAATGATGCTGATTTTATATGGACAAAAATCAGATATATCGACTATCTCTTCTTAGGAGATTATGTTGACCGAGGCCAACATAGCTTGGAAACCATTACACTTCTGCTAGCTTTGAAGGTAAGATTTGGCGTCACTGTTATTCTGTATCAATCTTTTATCACATGATGCTTATCTCTCTTCCGTGGTGGTTGTATAATTATTTCTGTATACTAATGTCCATTCTCTTTTAAAAAATGCCAAAATTGCAGGTTGAGTATGCCCATAATGTACATTTAATTCGTGGCAACCATGAAGCTGCAGATATTAATGCTCTTTTTGGCTTCCGGATCGAATGTATCGAGCGGATGGTACTGTGTTAGATTATATGATATCTGGTACTTATATATAATATAAAATTTATGAAGCTTACTGACTGAATGACTTACTGAACAGGGTGAGAGAGATGGAATTTGGGCATGGCATCGTATAAATCGTTTGTTTAATTGGCTTCCACTAGCAGCTCTCATCGAAAAGAAAATTATTTGTATGCATGGTGGTATTGGTCGGTCTATAAATCATGTGGAACAGATTGAAAATCTCCAGCGTCCTATTACAATGGAAGCTGGCTCAATCGTGCTTATGGATCTATTATGGTCAGTGCATGTCTGTATTTGTCCGCTTTGTGTGACTTTCATTACTTTAATATCTCTTAATTGGTCAATGACATTGTATCATTCTCTTTAGGTCTGACCCAACAGAAAATGACAGTGTAGAAGGCTTGCGACCAAATGCAAGGGGTCCGGGTTTGGTTACTTTTGGGGTGAGTACTTTTTATTTGTTTTCGTATTCCTTATTTCACATTACCTATGATGTTTCAGAAATCTATAGGCATCTAAATAAGTAGAGGTGTTCCTTATTTCGTATTCCTTTTGTTAATACTGTACTGTGCTATTTTTGGCTGTTAACGTTGGCAAAATTAGTTAGTAGTCCAAAATGAGATCTGTAATTGTTGATACAGATGGCATTAAGATGATCTACCAACAAATTTGCATAGCATGTTAAACATAGCAGTCTGATGATATTATGTTGCAAGGATCTAGAGATATAGATTGATGATTGGATATGTTGATATAAAGGATGAATTTTTTTCTTCAAGAATGAAGGTTGAAATAGATAGTCGGATTGGACATTGTCAGTATTTTCTCAGCTGGTGCTTCTGTTTTTCATTTGAGATGGATGTTAACAGCACCGTATCGTTTTAGCCACCTATTTTGAATTTTATTGCATAGATTATGTGGATATGCTAAAAGCAAGCAATACAAGAAGTGGTTTTATATTCAACTCTGAAGTTTAATCAGTCATCAGTGTTTTTTGTATTTTTAGTTGCACTATATTTTGTTTGGTACATAACTCGCTAATTTGTTTCAGTCAGATAGTTTGATCGGTTGCATATTCCTTTAGTTGAGATTCCTTTCGTATAACAAGTGATATGCTCATAAATAGCTTTTGTAGTTTTTGTTTTGTGGTTTTGGCACTTGAGATTCCTTTCCCATGTATGGCAAGTACACTTTGGAGCAGAATGACTTCTTCCATAGGTATGCAAAAATCAAAACCTATAAAATGGAGGTTTTTGCATCCCTAAGGAAGAGGTGGGTTCCCATTCCTATTCCTTGGCTTTTGAATTATTATAATGATAACTATACCCTTGTGTTATAGTCTCAAAATTGAAATTCCTCTGTGTCTTGAGAACACCATTATACTCCCATCATTTCCAAACATTGGAATGGGAATGTTTTATTCCAATGGTTTCTAAAATGGGAGTTTCACTAAAACACCCAAAATGGGAGTTGAAATTATAAAAAAACCCAACACCCAAAACACTTTATAAATACACCCAAAACCCATCATTACACACACTCAAAACCCATTTATAAACACACCCAAAAAATATACAATTGTTGATTTTGGGGTTGATTTTGGGTGTGTTTCTATGTTTAAATAGTGCTTGGGTTTTTTTATAAATACATGTCTAGGATTGGGTTTATTTACAAATTTGTATTCTAAAATTTCCATTCAGGGAGGCGTATGAGACTCCTAGAATCCCTTTTCGCTAAGCAAAAGGAGCCTTTAAGTAATTGAATTGTTCTTCCTCTTTTGCAATTGGTTCACTATTGACGGTCTAGATTGAAAATGTAGTCAAATGATGCTTGCCATGTAATTCATCTTCTATGACGTCCATGAGGCTTGTCTACTTTACTCGGGTTTATGTTCTATGAGTTTTTATGTTCTAAAGTATCTGGAATGTAAAATTTGTAACTTTAATCGGTATCTTAAATATCCATTTGTGTTGTATGTCATCTAAAAAGGTTTGATGTTGCAGCCTGATCGTGTCATGGAGTTCTGCAATAACAATGATCTTCAGTTGATTGTACGTGCACATGAATGTGTAATGGATGGCTTTGAGCGTTTTGCCCAGGGACATTTGATTACTCTATTCTCTGCTACCAACTACTGTGGTATGAACCTGACCCCTTTATTATTTATGCAGCTTTTAGCGCCTCACATGACTAAACATCTCATATTTGGCTCTTACCACTTTGAACAGGTACGGCCAATAATGCAGGGGCAATCCTAGTTCTGGGTAGGGATCTTGTGGTCGTTCCAAAGCTCATTCATCCTTTACCACCAGCAATTTCATCACCAGAAACATCACCGGAACGCCATATTGAAGATACATGGATGCAGGTACGGATGTTTATTCATTAATTTTATTTTGAAATTTATAGTTATAACTTGAAAAGTCCTTGAATGAGGACCTTATTACTCTCTCTCTCTCTCTCTCTCTCTGTAATATATATATCTGTGTGTGTGTGTGTGTGTTCTTTTCACTGGAGTCTTTTTCATTCCTCCCTCTTGGGTGGCTCTTTTGGTTATTATCTTGGTGGTAATCTTTGTTTGATTTGATTTGTTATGAGACCAGGAGCTGAATGCGAACAGACCTCCAACACCAACTAGAGGCCGCCCACAAGTAGCTAATGATCGGGGTTCCCTTGCTTGGATATAATTGATTATTCCAAATTGCTTCGTTATATTCATTCTGGCCTTGTTCTTCCACATGGGATTTCTAGTGCTGTATAGAGCATGATGTCATATACAAGAAATTCCCTCGTTCTTTCACATGGGGTTTCTCGTGCTGTATAGAGCATGATGCCATATACAAGAAGTTCCAAACTTGTGATCTTTTTTCCAGATTAACAAGTTTGCAGGCTCTCAGAAATTTTGGTTTTCGCTTCACAATTGGTAGGCCATGAGATGATGAGAAGATACAAGTTGAAGAAGCAGGTTGCCGTCGGCGGGTAGGTTTTACTTTTGTATGATGTGCTAAAAGTTACAGTTCGGGTCAACCCACCCTTTGTAAATTGAGCCACAAGCAGGTAGAAATCAGTCTTCGTTCTTCGTATGGATTGGTAGTGCTGCTGAGTATTCTTCTGATTAATTTATATATTATTTTTTATTCCTCGTTTTAGGCGTATTATTAATTTCTCTGTTGAGAGAGGACACAGGGGGTCTATTTGTGATGTGGTGAGATATATAAAGATGTTTAGAATCTTTGTGAGCGTCCAATGTATCATAGAGAGGTGTTTGCTTTGTGTAATATTTCATCACTGTTTTGTACAATGTAACATTGTGTGAAGATAAGTAACCTTTTTCGTTTTTGATCTGATACATGCAATATGTCAAGTTTTGGTCGAAAAATTGTGTATATTATCTTGTTTTCTCGTGCAAATAACTAAACAAGATATGATGCTTGACCTTGGTTTTATTTTTTCCTTCTTTTTGTGGTTTCCATTGCCTTCGAAGTTGGGCATGGCCAAAACACCTGAGCAATATAACTAACCAGTGATCTTGATGTTTTTTAGCATGAATCTTTTAAGTCGTTTATACAAAATGCATGGACCCATATTCGAAGTCTTTTTTGTTTATAAGCGACTTTGGGTACTGGTTGTTTTGTTTTTTGTTTATAAGCGACTTTGGGTACCGATCACTTGAGCTACAAGCAACCCCTAATCTTAATCTTATAGTTTACTGACAGTACGGATCACGACTTTTTCACCTTTCTTTCATTCACCCAACACCCACCACTCTTTTCAGCCACTAATTTTAATCGAGTTTACACCAACACTCCTTGAGATTTCTTGTGTTTTCACAAAATTCCCTCAGGTCTCAAAAATTACATGAACACCTTCTGAGGTTTCAGTTTACTTTCACAAAATCTCTTTTCATTGATTGTTCAAAAATTGATGATTTCATTGAAAAAAAAACTTCTGTAAATGACAAAATTAACCTCAATGAAGTATATGCAATCTAATTTCAAAGGCCAACTTTGTCATTTGGAGAATTCTTTTGTATAAAATCAGCAATTTTAAACTAAATTCAATGAAAAGAGGTTTTACTCTCTTCAACACATCATTAAACTAAACTCAAAACCAAAAACTGTCGAGCAAAACTGAGAGCATTTTATTCAATATTTGCACCCTTTATTCTGATTCCTTTCCTGTCAAAAGAACAACAGTCTAAAATCAAATCTAATGCAAATTCAGTATAATAATTCATCCTTTTTCCTAAGCCTTAATTAAACACCCCACAAATCTACCATCCATACGTCAAAATTACGAACTTGCTCATAACAAATAACAAATAAATACAAGAATAATGCTACTCTTACCACATTTGTATACCACATTCTCATACCACCTTATGTGGCAGCTGAGGTGGACAGCCACATCAATTAAAATGATTTAATATTTTCTTTTCTTTTATGGTTTATTCCAGTATTTGTTTTTCTAATTCCCTTAATTAAAATGCACTTCATTGATTTAATTGATGTGACATATAAAATGGACATGCCATATCATGTGGTATAGAAATGTGGGATAAAAATGTGGTAAGTGTAGCATTACTCTAAATACAAACTTGATAATTGGCTACTTATCAAATCTAGTCATAAGTGAATGGATACGTGCAATCTAATAGATTAGTTGACTAAGAGTGTTGGTAGATTGGATAGCTGTCCAAGAAAAAAAAAGAGAAAAAAGAAGAAGGGATTTTTATCCAAAAATTCACTTTGTATAATTTCTCCTTGAAGTAAAAGCACAATAGCGAAAAGGATGCAAGCACAGCTACTAGAATGACTAATTCAAACACTTATATATGATTATATAAACATAACAAGTACCTGGATTGTCTCTCCTGGGGAGAGTTGTTATACCTGGTGATTGATATTTTGTCTCTGTTTCAACGTCGGCGGCAGTAGCGACGTTGGTGGTAGTTGTAGGGATGTGGTGCTTTTCTCTACTCTATGCCGACCAAAGAACTATGCTTGGTCATAGGAGGTTTTCTTTGTTCGGTTATGAGTTGAAGTGGAGCGCTTCTCAAGGGTTCTTTTATTGTTGATTATGTGGTGACGCTGGATTGTGTCTCTCCTCAGGAGAGTTGTGATACCTGGTCATTGATATTTTGTTTTTGTTTCAACGATGGCAGCAACATTGACGCTGGTGGTAGTTGTTGGGATGCGGTGCTATTCTTTACTCTGTGTTGACCAAAGAACTATGCTTGGTCATAGGAGGTTTTCTTTGTCCGATTCTGAGCTGAATTCTAGTGCTTCTCCAGGATCATTTTACTATTGTTTATGTGTTCTTCCTGCGTATTCTCTCATAGTTTCTGCTATGGTATGACTTAAAATTTGTGTGGGTGTCAAAGGACTATGATTTTGCTCATAGAATGCTTTTTTTGACAGTTGGGATGTTCTGCGATCCTCTCATGTGGGTCTACTGTGTTCATCTATAGTTGCAGTTCTTGCCCGAGGTCTATGTGTTAGTTTTCGTTTTTGATTTGTTCAATTATTGTAATGGTCCAAAATGATTTGAATCAGACTCTCTTATTAGTTTATGACATGTGTGGTACTCTTTCCTCCGCTGGGGTTTGTCCCATGAGGTTGTCCTATGAAGGTTTTAACGAGACCACTGTATCATATCGTTCTTTGTACGTCTTTGGTTCTATGAATAAATTCTTTTTTTTTATTTTTTATTTTATTTTTAAAAAGCACATAACAAGTACCTTATAATTAATGCACTAACTCTGTCATTTCCATAATTGAAATAAAGATTGAGGGCTTGTTGTATATATATATACAAATGGTTGAATTCTTTTCTTTAAACCCATAAACCACCTGTAGTCCAGGTAATTAAATCCATGAACTACCTTAGTCTAGGTACTAAACCCACAAGCCACCTCTAGTATATGGAACAAGCCACCTCTCTCTAACCATATACTTATGAAATAATATTGAAAAGAATTTCTAGTAGACATAGCTGTTTTTTGGCGTTTCTCCAGTATTTGGTGGACCTATGGAAATCTACCCTTTGACAAATCTATTGTCTCAAATCATGGTTGGTTGCCTCATCTTGTGAGGCTGCTTTTTTAGGTGTTGTAGCATGATCCACTACTTATTGGTGTGTTGTGGCCCTAAAGAAGATTAGTGGTAGTTGGTTTTACTTTTGTCGGCGTTGTTTTAACATTTTAGTTTTCGTTTAGTTTGTTCAATAAAGTCCATAAACTCTATGAGTTGTCTGTGTTGTTTTTCTTTCATAATTCCATAAAATTTGTTAAGTTTGATGGGTTTCGTAGTCAGGAGAGTCATGTCGGTTAGCCGCCAGTTTTGTCCTTGATGTAATGGATTAGATTCAAGGCAACTATTGCGGTAGCTAGAGAGGGGGTTTATAAAAGTTAGTTTTTGGGAGCTGTTTGTGCACACTTCTCAAGTGAGAATATTCGCGTGTAGATCCTTCACCTTTTGAGATTCATTCTCTCTTCCTTGGTTCCTGCAAAAAAAACAGGAGTAAAAGACCATACCCGGGAGGTGTTAGCCAAAGGCCCTCCGATGCTTAAGTTAGTTCGATTTAATATTTGAGAAGCAATAGCTAAAAATGGTACAAAGTTTTCTCCCACGGGGAGAGTTGGGTGATAGGAGCCATGTGTGGTGGCACTTGGCTGTCTGGGAGAGAAGAAAGTGAGAGAGGCTGGCGGCTAGGGATGCCGTCGGCTAGAGAGAGAGGTTTTGGGGGGATTTTTGCTAGGTTTTGGAATTACCTCATGTGTTGAATGTGACCATGTATTTATAGGGCTCTAGCCATCTAGGGTTTTTCAAATAATATGTCCTTATTTGGAAGGAATATATTCTTTCCCCTAAATAGAGAGATTGAGTCAATTAGAGATTTGATTGGAATAAAATCACTAATTGATGATAATATCCTAAATTCATCCACCTTAACTAGTATTGAATAATTTTTTTTATTTATACTCATGCTAATTTTCTTTGAGTACTTACATCATACAACACACAAAACTTAGGTGGATGATAGAGTTTTTGGTGATTTACGGTTGCACTCAGCCTTTTGGGCTAAGTTGCCTACGTACCATGCAAAGGGATCCAACCATACGTAATTCTCCCTTTGATTTTTAGGGGAAGAAAGGAAAAAAATGGATTTGTGGCCGCATCTAGTGGCAAGACTAGACTATATACGTATCCCTTTTGAGGGATCAAGCCGCCGTAGTTCCTCTGCTTAGGCTGCCCTTTCAGGTTTTCAGCCCACAAATTTTATTTTTTAAGCTCTAACTTTCTTTCAGGTTTTTTGCCCAATGAGCATTTTTATTTACCCTAGCTTTTGCTTGAACTACCCTTTCAGGTTTTCAATCCAACGGTTTTCTTTTTTCTCTTCCCCTAACTTTTGCTTAAACCGTCAAGCATAAAACTTCTTGGCTAATTTCCCATTCACGCAAGGATAAATGCATTTGCCTTCGGAGTTTGACAACTCATAGACACCCTTGGAGAAATCCTTAGTAATGACCTAGGACCGCTCTCATTTGGGCTCAAACTTACCATGCATTTTCTTGATAATGACAAAGGGTCTTCGAATAGTTAAAACCAAATCTCCAATTGAGAAAGATCTGAACTTAACTTTTCTATAGAATGCCCCTGCAACCTGAGCTTGATATATTTCCAGCCTTTATTGAATTTCCAGTCTTTTCTCATATAGAACTTCCAGTTCTACGAATCTCATATTTTTGTTTTCGTTAGGGTTTGTCAGCTGTACCAAAATTAATTTCTTGGAGATCATCAATTGTGGCTTGACCTCCCTCCTTCATTTGTGGTGAAGCTGGTTGGACTATGTAAATGAATTCCTCGATATCTGGAGGGTTATCATCTTGGTCCACTGTTTCTTTGAAAGAGGGGCAGTTGACTTGGACAAGGTCATCCTTTATTTTCACCTCTTCGACTGTTTTGATCACTACTCTATCTTAACTCTTAACCTTCCATTTCCTTTTATTATGGACATTCTCTTGTTGAGAATTGTAAGGGTTCTCCAAGCGTTGAAAGACTGAGATGCGGGATGGTTGTCTACCCCTTAGACGTTTGAACACAGAGATGCGAAAGCAGCCTTGTATTCTTCTTATCTTGTCTAAACATAGCTTGTTCCATATTAGTGAGCACTTCGGGCTCAGAAGCTTCTGATTGTGGCCTTGGAAGAGACACTTTAAGCATGCTACTATCATTTTAAACTGTGAGGCCAACATTGCTTTTCTTTGCTTTACAGCCTTGGAGTTTTATCTTTAATAGAGTAGATGTTGTTTTTGGCAATGATGCCTTTTTGTGGACTAACTTACTCTGGCCATTGTTTTTGCCAAAAGTAGTTGAAATGACCAAACTGGCCCCTGAGATAGACTGATTGATCTTTTGTATGAGATGAGTGTAACTTGTTGTCACCAGTGACTCCATTGTTTGTTTCAACGACCCTATTTCCTTTTCACTAGGCTCTTTTTTCAAGTTTTGACAATTATCTTTGGCTTGGGAGTCTTTGAAATCAGGACTTGTTCACCTTTTGAGGACGATGCACCACGAGGTGTTAGCTTCACAAGAATTACCCTTGAGGGTTTGGGTGCTTCTGCCTTCTGTGATTTTCTTGCTTTGACAGTTGCTCCTTTATTCTCCTTATCAACCTTTGATGGTTGTGTAAATGAGAGATCAGGTGGATCATAAAACTTCGCATTAGAGTAATTTACCTCTTCGCCTCTGAACGGGTCCATGTCGGCTGAAACGTTCTTGATTTCCCCATCCACCAAGCATTTAAAGCATTGGTGAAGTGTAGAAGGGATTGTGCCATATGTATGGAGCCATGGGCCTCCTAGCAAGACGTTGTATAAAGTGTCTGCATCGATCACATAGAATAGGGAGTCTGAATATAGGTCCCCTATTTCCGTTTGCAGTGCAATAGAATACATGGCTTTTTGCCCAAGTTGGTTGAACCCTTGAATAGTCAGCATAGAGGGAGACAACTGTTGGGCACTCATCCTTATAGCATAGAGCGTCTTTAAAGGGATAAGATTCACGGCCAAACCACAATCTAACAAGATTCGATTAATGGTTGTGCCTCCAACTTCGCCAGTGACGTAGAAAGGTCAGTTATAGAATTTGGACCCAAGTAAAAAGTCATCTTCACCAAAAGTAATTGTTGCCAGACACAATGCACAAAACTTCGAGACTTCAGTTGTGTACATCCGCTGATTTGAAACATGACTTGTATAGATCCGGACTCATTAAAGCCATTACAAGTGCTTTGCTAAGCTCTCTTGACATTTGTAAAGTGTCATAGACACTTAAAGGAGCGGGGATGTGCTTAAGATGAGCCAAAATATCATACTTAACTGCATATGATTGTGATGACTCCTTTGTTTTACCGGTATTAGGCTTAGGGTCCTTTGTTTTTTAAGAGGACAGTGGAATTTCCCCTACAACAGTCTTTTTTGACGAGGAGACCTTAATCTCTTTCTCATTTGCCTTCTTCTTGACTTTAGAGGAATCAGTTTCCTCATTTTGTTGCACTTTATCAGCAAATGAGACTTCTACCATAGCAGAGGTTAATCTCATCAACCTCTGTGTCAACCTCATATTCCTCCATAGAAACCATGTTGCATTGAATAATTTCTTTCTTAACTTCATATTCACTTGAGAAGAACTCAACTGGCAAAAACTCAGTGAAAATTATCATTTCAATAGATGATATTGTCTTTTAATTGGTAATTATATTCCCAAATAAAGATAATATCCCTATTTTTAGTATCAATTATTGACCAAATAAATGGGCTCAATTAATTGACCTAGTAGATATTCTTCTTGTTCACACAGCACCTTATGATTGGAATCCGGATTATTTGCCCTAAACCCTAGTCTTTTTGTTCATTTGATCTAATAAACTTTTGTTATTTTTTATATATAAAAAACACACAAACACAACTGGAGTCAATTGAAATTTTTTGTTTTATATATGCCTAATTTTTTTGTTTTGGACTAACAATTCAACATTTTTAGCCTATATAATCTAAACCCTTAAACCAAACTCTGTTTTGTTAGTTTTCTATTTAAACATGTTTTCTCTAGTTATATATGTATATACACCTTTGCCTAAGCTGATGCTAAGTGCAAATGTGTTCAGTTTTGCTGTTATGTACACCTTTGCCATCAATTGATAAATAAGAAGCATGGAGAAAGGCTTTGTTGGTTCACCTATCATTCCTTATATTGTATTCGTTGTATTACATTTCTATAGTTTTGGAGTTCGTTTGTTATTGTTTGTACATAAGAATACTACATTTATAGGTGAAGATTCTAGAGTTTTGTACTGTTCTTGAATGTAAATTATGTAACACTTCTTGATTGAGAGTTTTGTACTGTTCTTGAATGTTCTTATTTGATTTTAGTAAAATATATTTTTCCACATGAAAGTGGAATACATTGCCCGAAAAAAGAAGCACAAATGTACTTCTAATCTAAACGGCTGCTCATGACACCAAGTATACCAAATTATGACCGAATTGATTGACATAACTAGATTTGTGCAAGACTGAAAGAAGAAAAATAAAATATGGCCTAGTCCAGTACATAAAAAATTAACAGAATATAAAATCTAGAGAACTGTTGATCAGGCCATTGTGAACACAGCTTGACGTCAAGTACCAAACAACAAATCACCTACCTACCCAGTAGCGATCCACAAGCTATTATTCATCAGTTGTACTCCTTTCCACAAATGTTTCATTAACCTGATTTTCTTTAGTAGATGTACTGCATAAATACAACCGAATCCAAAACACATAAGAAAAAGAAGAAATTTAAAAATTTAAAATTGCAGGAAGAGGTAGAAAATACAAACACATACCTATTAAGTAATGGACATTTCCTTTTATTATGTTGGCCAACCTTACCACACAAGGAACACCGTCTAGATTTTCCTTTTATTTTTTCTTTCCAAGATTTTAATCGTTTTCCACAGCCTTTCGCTCTAACGTGGAGAGGATCTACAAAATTTTGTTTTTCAGTATTGCCTATGTAGCAGTTGTTCACACCAGATGGTTCACCAACCAAACTCAACTTCATATTTTTAATTTGATCAATAAGTCCTACGAACGACTTTTCTACAAGTTGCGTCCCTTCTTCTAATACTGCAGCGCCATCAATCAACTTTGATGCAAGTTGAAACAAACTTGTGTGTCTCAATATTAGGGAGTTATTTGCACCATCTTGTACTTTGAACTTTTCACTGCCAATTCTTGAAAACTTTGTCCATCTACGCATAATATACTCCTTTGGCAATTGCATAATTTGTTTCACTCGAAAAAATGCTAACATATGCTTGCACGAAATACCTTCAAAATCAAATAACCTACAACTGCACTTCAGTAGATTTGATGTTTTATCATGCACAAGGGTTCGTACTCTAGAGTTTGCATCGAACTTTTGGATTTTGTAAATCCAAGTTTCATCTTCACTTGTGACATTCACCATGTAACTATTACTTTCCAAAAGCTCTTTTTGAAATTTGTAAAAGTATTTCTTAGTGTAGATAAACCATTTGGTTCTCCATCGGCATCCCTAATTTAATATTAGGTTTCTCGTTCAAATACCCATGGTCTGCAACCAATTCTTCATGTCTCAAATGAGCTAATACCCTATTAAAACGAGTCACAAAATTCATCAAAGAGTTGCTTTTGGTACAATAACGCTTGAAGAATGCATGCATGGATTCTGCTCTTTGACTGCTAGACATCCCTGCAGAAAAGTATTGCTTGACATAGGCAGGAACCCATGTACCACGTAATTTATACATTTCTTCGAACCACTCCTTACTACTTGGTTGACTTATCTCCAAAGCTTCATACTAACTCTTTTCAAATTCTTCTACAGTCTAGATTCCCATATGGCTGTCTTGAAAAGTGCATAGTAATTATGATGAGCAAAATAACCCATCTTTTCTTGAAATTTGTTCAAAATATGCCACACGCAATATCTGTGGAATGTGTTTGGTAAAACTTGAGCTGTAGCCTTAGTCATTGCTTGATCTTGATCAGTGATTATAACTGTAGGGGCAACTTTCATTGCTTCTAACCATGTTTCTAATAGCCAAACAAATGAGTCAAAAGTCTCATTACTCAAAAATCCACAACCAAAAATGGTAGTTTGCCCGTGGTGGTTAACACCAACAAGAGGAGAAAATATCATTGCATAACAATTTGTATTGTAGGTTGTATCAAATACAACCACATCACCAAAATGTGTGTAAGTTTTCCTTGCAACAGAGTCAACACAGAAACATCTAGTCATCTTATCATCCTAGCAGAACTCGTTAAACCAATTCTATATATTCTACAAATTTTGGCATAATTAATTTTAAAATTAGAAAATAATGGAATTAATAAGTAATAAAACTAGTTAACAATAATGCTAAGTTGGAGAAAATATTTAAGACGATTGATAAAATTACGAATATTTGTGAAATTTTTACTTCCAATGAAAAAAGCATTTGAGTGGCCCTCCTGGCAATATTGATCCAGCCGTTGCTGTTGTGTTTGATGAATTGAATGGAACCTTCAACTTTTCAGAGTCGACAGAAACTCATATTTTTGAAGGCCACTAAGAATCCATTCCCAACCCCCCTCCTTTCACACTGAGGATTGCATGGATTTTCACGTTGAAACTTACAGCTCCAGTTCTGCTCTTTTCTGCATCAATGGCTTTCGCTATCTGGTTGCTGACAACCGTGGGAGAAGCAACCACGAAGACCGGCACCAGCTTGGTCTCCTCTGGCTGCTGCACAAAAGGGTCGATGAACGCGCCTCCAAGAAACGCATTCTTGTAAAAGACCTCGGCGTCGAGCTTGCGATAAATTAGCCTGCCGCTGCCATAAGGATTTGTGAAGAAGAAAGTGATGTTCCAGTGAGCAGTTATTTTAGGGTTTGTAGCAGAAACGTCGATGCTGAAGGGGTCAGCAGAAAATGAGCCCAGTTGGACGCTTGGGGTGGAGAACCCTTTTGGAGATAAACTGCCGGAGAAAACAAAACATATAATCATGAAAATAACAAGACACAATGAATGCGGTTAGATTATCTGCATCCTGAGACTTAACCCTTCCGGTCTTTTTTGGTGACGATGACTAAAGCAGAGGTGCTTCCTCATCAACTTCACCTACACCTGCACCCACCTTTTGGTCTGCCGATTTTCCTCCTTCAGTCTTCTTGACTGCTATACACATGGTTACAGTTTAGGGTTTAGAGTTTAGGGTATGTTTGCTTGCTAAGAATGAATGCAGGAGGGAGGAGATTATGAATATAAAGAAAAGCTAGCTACGCCCTCGTTTCTGGTTTTTGGTGGTGGTGTTGATTTGTCTTTTAAATAGTGACCAAGGGAGTAGTTTGTTTATAATTCTAAGTCCTAAATACGATAGATAACCACCGAATTATTTGTTGTATGGAATACGTATTGTCACACAACTTTCTAAATCCCAGAAGGAAAAGAACTTACGATCGAATACGTACGTACGCACATATTACTTGTAGATGAACATTGAATTCTCCCTCTCTCTCTCTCTCTCTCTCTTTTTTTGTTTTTTTTTGGTTCTGTATGGAATACAAGTTCCTATAATGTTTAAACTCTGGTTTGTCAGATTACCCAATCCCCGAGATTGAATCCGCAGATGAAAGCGGCCTCTCCTTCCAATTCTAATCTATATTGGTTTAGCTTTGGCTAAAAGTCACTTTTGGTTCCTGTAGTTTGGCACTTAAACCACTTTTGACTATGTAGTTTCGTATTTGTAGCAATTCAAGGACAAGTTAGTATTCCTGTCAATTTCTTTAACGGTGCAAGGGTCAATTTCGTCAATCCAAAAGCCTTGAGCATAGAAGCTCGTTTGAAACTCCCCTAATTTCATATTAGAGGAAATTGGTAATTTGGATTTAGGGTTCTTCAAAAATTGAGATTAGTAGTTGAATTTCGAGCCCGAATATGAAATTGGAAGAATTTCAAACAAGCTTTTACACTCAAGGGTTTTTTGTTGATCAAATTGCCCCTTGCATCATTAAAGAAATTGACAAGAATACTAGCATGTCCTTGAATTGCTACAAATACAAAACTACAATGGCAAAATTAACGGAATTGAAACTATAAAGTCAAAAGTGGTTGAAGTGCCAAATTACAGGGACTAAAAGTGACTTTTGGCCTTTAACTTTTGACTCTTTCCACTCTCACCAGTGGATAAAATGCAAATATTGACTTCAACAGCATTCATAAATTGACTATAAGATGCAAATAAGACATGGCTTAACTAAATTGACTATATCTAGAGCAGTTTGAACCCCTCCTTGTAGTTTAGATTAGGTTAAAGTGAAATATCGCTTTTATAAAAATACAAAAAGGATTAAGAAATATAATAAGAATAGGAACAGTTTCATACCATTATCACAATTATTAAGTCCTTCAGGCATGGTTGCACAAATCTTCAAATCTGAAGAATTGCTTAAGACTTAATCTACATCAAGTTTGTGGTTTGAAGAGAGCATATGTGTGCGTGAGTATATTTTGAAACGAAACAAGGAGGAAATTGGTAACAGGCGTGTATATATACTTGGTTTAATTCTTTCATCTTTTTCAAATTGGTAAAAGATTGGAATGTTCCAACAGACGCCTCTACGTTGGACACTTTCCCACTATATAGGTTGTTCGTTTGATCTCCTTGTTTGGGACCATAAACTCACAATTCACAAGAATCAATCTCTTTTTTTTTTATGACCTTCCCATATTAAGGTCCTGCCTGACAAGATTTAGATCTACTATACGGGGTATCAAAACATTATACTCATCATATATCTCACATTTGACACAATGTTAATCCTGTTTACAAACAAAGATTCATAGGGATGTCATCCTACATCCTGGGCTTTCGAATTTCTAATCCCCGAAAGCTTGGTTAATCGTCGAAACCGCAACCTATTATGACCCTACCAGGCCAAAACCAAGCAATTCAACCTCGTTTTACTGGCCTTTGAACATAAGATTTGTTAGGGTCTTCAGTCTTGAGCTTTGGAGGTCGAATTTCTCCTTTCTTGGCCTGCAAATGAACACATATAATTGTATATTGAGCAACTATCATTTTCTTTTAAATATTTGAATGACACGACAATACAGGTCAGTTGTTGCTCATAACAGAGTAGCTGAATGAGCACATCTCACCTTCTTTCCACCCTTCATAAAATCCCTCCAACTTGAAACCTGATCATTAAGTGAAAAGGGAAATGAAAAAGAGTGAGGAAATTGAACTTACATATATGATCAATGGATTTGGAAATTAAAATTCTAAAACTGGAATTGTAGACATAATTTGTCATTCAACCTAACGACATATTACGCAAATCAAATTAATAACTGTAAAGAACCACATGTCAAGCAATATGAGAGTTGATTGGAAAACTGTGTCCAGAGTAAAGATTTCCGAAAATTTTGGAAGAAATATAGCTGCAATCATAGACTTGACGGGCAAAAATGAGTTCAGAGCTGGAAACATGGACATCTCCCCATGATATACATGCATCTTATGCCCTGTAATATGAAAGTTCAATATTACCTTTGAAGAAGGAAATAAAATACTTTGCAGCCTTTGGAAAATAAAAATATCAAGATACAACATATATTTCAATGGAGATGCCCTTCAAAAATTCAGTGGGCACTGGGTAATAACAAGAGGTACAGGTTAGGTTCTCACAGATCCTGACAAGAGAATGGCATCCAATAATATATAGAACGTGAGATGGTTTGAAGTCCCCAAGTTCTTGGATATTTAAATGCTTCCTGAGGGCTTACTAGTATAGATAACCATAAAAGTTCACAATTCAAATAAGACCTAACCATCAGCACCCATTTGGCCCATGACAACCACAAACTAGCCATTGTCAATTTGATTAAACTTGGCTTCATTGTGGACAACTGAACATGTATCTATAGCACGTCCAAAATATCTATATTAACTGCTCATATCTCCTCCGTTCCTCATTCTTTTATTTTATTTGGTTGGCATTTAAATGTATGAGACAGGCAGTTGAATCAACTGTTTCAGTTATATTAAGCAGGCAAGATCCCCTACATTGACTAGATTTTGTTGAACCAAAAAGCTTATGAATAGAATAAATTTTGAGTTCTACATAGTACATGCATAACCTGGGAATAACAGGGGCAACTCCCCTTTACCTTAGACCTTTAATCATGAGAACAACCAAACACATCCAACAGATAACAACATTTAGCTACAATCTTGTAAACTTTAAAGCATAAACATAGAATTAAAAACCATGTCTAAAGGAACTGATGACAATAACTACCTCATATTGTAAATTCAAGCCCAACTGCACACATTTTATGTTGCCATACATAGAAAACAGCAAAAAGATAGAAACAAACCCTTTGTTCTCTTGTTCCTTCCCACTGTTCCTCATGCTCCCTTTTTCTTTTCCACATCTCTTTGGTTTCTTCTTCATCTTTTTTCAATCTACCTTCCTCTTCTGATATCTAATTGGCAATGAAGACAAAGAAAACTATTACATGGAACTTTAAATACGCAAAGCTCAATGAATCAGAGGAAAAAAAAAAACTACATTTTCAGCATACCCTCATTTGCATTTTTCTCCTTCGCCATTCTTGTTCTGTTAATATTTCTCGAACCTTCATTTTCAGTTCTTGCTGGAACTCTTCTGACTGTTCATACTGTTGTTCATATTTCCCCTGTATCATATAACAAAGAGGCACAATGTTTACTCGGTTGCTTCCCAAGCCAGGAATTGGGAAAGGCCAACAAAAACTAACTACTTGAATTATGGACCCCCATCTCCAAAACTCTCCCCATTCCCTTCCTCACAACAGGGGAAATATCAAAAGAAATATAAAAGGAATATTACATAAATCAGTAAACAAAGAAGGATAGAGAAAGAACCATAACTAAAAAGCTACATGAATAGTATGCAAAGTAAAAATGAACCTGAATAGTATTTTCAATATCCTATGCTATCAAAGAAATATAAAGAGTAAGACAACCTGACTTATGAATCTTTATTTATTTATATAAGTAACAGGAATTTTCATCAAGAAGAAAAGAGTAAAAAGATAGTGAACACGGTCCACTTCCGTAAAAAAATAAACACGAAACCTGGAACAACAAAACTCTATCATAAGAGGAATACAACAACCCAAAACCAGAATTTCCAAAGAACTATAAAACAACTGCTTTTTAGGGTGCTGATTTTCCCACTCCCCTTTTGTCCACTAATACTCCCCTTTGTTTTTTTAATACTTTTTACTCTAACATACAAGGGAGTGTAAGTGGACAAAAGAGGAGTGGGACCATACAATTTCCAACAAAAGGAGTGTAAGTGGACAAAAGAAGAGTGGGAAAATCAGCTCCCATAAAATAACATAAATTTTATCTCTTTCCAACAAAAATCATGTGATAGGGGTTATTAGCTGAAAGTTCAGTAAACAGCCATTTATCTAGGGCATTCTTCATGGGGCACTTTACCATCAGCAATAAGGTATAGAAACCCCCACCATCACTAATTTACCAATTTTGTAATTTCTTTTGGGCAATATTAATTCTATAAGTCAAATCTACCTAATTAATTATAAAGATTTATCAGGCAAAAGAAAAAGGATCTAAATCTGTAAATTATGCCACCAGATTGGTCATAACAAGAAACAGATATATGCAACATATGCAAGCGAAAAAGATATCGGGGATCTGAAAGTACCTCGTCAACCAATGATTTAATTTTAGAAGCTGTATCTTTCTTCAACTGCTTCTTCCTTTTTGCTCTAAGTTCATCTGCAGTCCATAATAAGAAATTATAATTGCTTTTCCCCCTCCACTAGCACAAACCCCACCCAAAGAACAAATAACTTAATAATTAAGAATGAAAGATGCGAGAAGGATAAATGGATTATACATTACTTCAGGATAGCACAAAATAATTTATCCACACCTATATTCTTGCATGTAATATATGGCCAAATGAGTAGCAAGAAAATTACAGATCTGTAATTTGAATGCTTCATACTTATCTAATCTAACCAAACCACATTTTGAGATTTGTTAACGCTTTTGGATTTATTAAGAGCCCAATGTAGATAGGAAAATCTAGCCACAAAAACAAACAAAAAAGAAATAGACTTTAGTACTGACCTTTGGCTGCATTGACTTGGCTAATAATATAATCCCTTTCCTGTTGATCGAGTAAGAGCTGTTGCGCTTTTGCCAATGCTGCCAACAAAGCAACAACCAAAGGTTAATTTAAGCAAACATTTCAATATAGAAATACAAATATCCAGTCATATATGTATTACAGATAATTTGCATCCATACTCTGTACAAAACCAAAACATTAGGAAGCACCACACTGTCAACAGCTGCCTACCAACAAGGGAAAGACAATGCATCTAATGTGATGTCATCTTGTACATGTTCAAAGTAAAAAACACAATACTAACACAAATGACACATTCAAGATCATTATTTTTTTCTATTTTCTTTTTGGAGAAATAAAGAGTGTACTGATAAAAGTCAAAAGGTACAAAAAACTTCTGCCTAGCTGTAAACAAGATATCCACAATCTAGGCAAAACTATATGATAATTCTATTAAATCGAGCATACAACTACAAACATCTCTCTAAACACAGAATACAGAAGTCAACTTAGCTCCCAGTTGCAACCAATGCCCAATGGGTACCCATTGCCCATCCCTAACTAAAGGTAACAAAGCTGCCCTACTATGAACTAGAGTAATGAATATATAGACGATACTTTAGAATTTAAAGATCAAGACTGGTACTACAGAATTCACAGATACTTCAGTCTACGTATAAGCTTACTGAAGCTATCCAAAATCATGTCCATTCATGTATGTTTCCAGTAACATGTGTTAGTTCAGGGTTGAACTCATGTCAAAACACATTAAAATCATCAGATTTAATTTCAAAGGAAAACTATATATTTATATTTATATACCAAATGTATGTTCAGTAAAATACTTGAAATAAAATGAAAACTGTTAAAAACGTATTTAAACCCAACACACGGTATAAAACATAGATTTAAGCACCTCCAAATGCCTCCTTAGCCTGTGGATGCTTGCACTTATCGGGGTGAACCATTAAAGATAACTGTAAGCAATTCAAATAAATATGTGTCAACCAATGACTGAATCATACGTAAGAAATCACCAAGAAAATGGTCATACCAAATTTAAGTTGAAGGGGGGAATTACCTTACGATACTGCTTTTTGACATCTTCTGGGGATGCATCAAAGGGTAAGTTAAGATACTCAAAAGGATTTAACTTGAAGCACGAGAGGATCCTACATTTTTGCCAATGCCGAGAAAAAGTTAATTAGATACTTGTGACATACCTACAAAATGTTTCTTTGCATTGTGTGATAAACTGATAGCGACAGATATATTACATTTTATTTGCAAAAGCTCAAAATTCATTCAAAGAGAGAGAAGACTAAGTTGAGTGGGTAATGTCCAGTTGTGTCCTTTATGGACAATGCTGTTTAGGGAGACCCAAGTTGAGTTGGGCAATTCCATAATCTTGTGCTGCATTACCATGTGCAAAGCCAAAGTTTTTTGGAGGGAGGAAAAGGGGGCTTGGTGCAAGGTAGATTTGCTGTACTGGCAATATTTTGGTCTGTTTGGATGGAGAGAAGCAAGAGACTTTTTAAAGATGCTAAAGGGGAGTGGATTTTTCATGGGACAGAGTTTGCTTCTGGGAATCCTTGTGGGCTTCACAACCCCAGAAAACAAAGCATCCTCTTCTCTCTAACAATTTGAACATTTATCTAACAATACGCTAGACAAAACGCTCAGCTAGCTTGACCTATTTCAATCTATCCGTTATATAGCATTCCGCAATGCATACATGCACATTCTTCTAATCTAGTCCAAAAATAATGCACAAGTACACACATATACTTCGAAAAAATTCCAACAACACATGTTCAATCATATTAAACGCATTACAGTGCAAACCGCGGCTCCATAAATCTTGTCAAAGTATGTATGAAAAATAAAAAGAAATCTGAAATGCAGTACACCTCATTAACAACTCTAATTCCCAGCCAAACCCATAGGTAGGCAATACATATTGCAACCTATTCGATTTCAATCAGGGCAATACATATTGCAGCGCGTGAATTTCAATCAGGGTTCCATTAATTGCCCACAAATATAAATAACCCCATCGCCAGAACCCTAGTTACCAATTAAACTGTAACCATAACCACATCGTTTGGTAACAAACCCAGATTATAAGTCATATTCAATAACATACACACATATAACATATATGTACATGCACACATAGAGAGAGAGAGAGAGAAAAACCTGAGGACTTGGTTGTCCCTCTCAACTTCACTAACTTCAGCGAAGAAGTTCTTGAGAAGCAAATCGTCGTCCATGGATGTCTCACCCCCCTACGAATTTCGATCTGGATCGAGCGTACCCAATCGCGGCACGGTATCGATCTGGAACGAAAGATTTAACGACTCAGTTCCACAGGAGAGAACACTACCTGATAGACGACGTCGCTGCTACAGAACAGTACCTGACCTTTGACAGCAGACGAGCAATCGAGGGCACATGAGGAGAGTGCTACACGTTTGATTTTTTTTGGACGAATAGATTCGAAGAGGTGGGACGGGTGATAAATGGATGCAAACGGCTCTAGTCCGTTGGATCTAATCCAACGGATGAAAAGAAATCCAATCTTACAGTAGAAACGGGTAAAATAAAACCCGTATTTCTAATGAACACCCGACTAAAACTTGAACAAAACGTAGCGATGCCTTCACTCCTTGTCTCCAACCTGTGAAACAACTCCTCTTCTTCCAAACCAAGTACACCATGGATGATCGCCGAGATCCAATCCTCCCTCTCACATTCGCCTTTCTCTCTCTTTCTTTCTCAAATCTTGAGGCCCATCAAGAAAAATATTCCACCTTCCCAGCAATTCTTCGCTCAAAGAATCTACAGTAGCAACCTTCAATCTGCTACCTCCTCAATTTCATCCTGGTGTGTCTTGATTGGTAGCCTAGAGAGGTAAATATGCAATTTTTTTTTCTTTCTAAATCAGCGAAATTGGTGTACTGAAATCTGGGATTGTTAATATAAATTAGGCTTTCTATTTTTTTCCCTTTTTTTCCTTTTTTTTCTTTTTAAAAAAAAATTTTAATATTGAGTTTTAGGTTACAATATCTGCCTGTGATTGATGCTGGTTTTCAGTTTTCTAGTTTCTAGTTAGACAAACCATTTGCAGAGAAGGAGAGGATTATATATTAATTCTGCACTAATTGGCTGCTGAATTTTTCATTGATGAAGCAAATGTTATGAACGCTTATTTTGTTATGTTTTGAAGGCTTATGCATGTGTTATGTTCTGAAGGCTTTTAAGAAAATGAAATGGTGAATAGGCCAGAAAATTTATTTGTTCATGGGTTTGCTAATACAGGTATTTGGTTTTTGTTTAACTTAAGTATTACTAATACGTAAAAACTTGATATTGTTCAACTAGCTGGCCCGTGTTTGTAGTCATAAAGCATGTATATGCTTATAGGTCTAGCCACACCACATTGATTTATTGTTTCTGTTAGAGCAACTCCACCCATTTGCCCTTAGCCATGGCAAGGGGGGGAGCTAGGGCAGCCACTATTCACGTGAATAGTGGTTGCCCTTGCAAAATCTGAATTTTGTGTTTCCACCCGTTGCCCTTTGCTAAGGGCAGTTACTATTCATTATTTTATTTTATTCACAATTTTTTTTACCTCAATAATTAATTTGGATAATATTTTCGGATAAGATTTTCAGGTTCCTACGTGTCAATACTATTCATATCTCATAATCGGATAAAATTTTCAATTTCAAATTTCAGATAAATTATAAAAAAAAAGGCTGGTATTTATAGAAAAAAATTCATTAATTTTTGGGTATTTTTTAAAAAAATTTTCGATTTTTTTCCAGTATTTTATTGCAAAAAAATTGGCTGCCGTTGGATTGGAGGAAAAAATCAGATCGGAGAGCCCAGACGACGCCACGTGGCAACAGGAAAAAAAATCAAATCAGCGAAGTACTGTAGCGGGGGTACTGTAGCAGTACTGTAGCGTTACTGTAGCAGATACTGTAGCGCTACAGTAACCCCCCTCGTTTTGGACCTCGGGTAAGACTTGCCTTCGGGCCAGCCCGAGGAGGTGGGTCCCACACCCCCCCCGGGCCTGGGCTGCTCCGCTGGAAAGCCATTTTTTTTTCCCCCCTAGCCTTGGGCTGGGCTGCAACGGTGGAACCACTCTTAGAAGAGTGTTTGGTCTTTATATATATATATATATATATATATATATATATATAGAGAGAGAGAGAGAGAGAGAGAGAGAGAGAGAGAGAGAGAGAGAGAGAGAGAGAGAGAGAGAGAGCGAGAGAGAGAGAGAGAGAAGGGATCTAGAACCAGAGAGACAAGTTAACTGTGATAGTAATGAAGCAGAGATAATAAAATATGCGAAAATAATGCATAAATGAAAATAATGAATAAATAAAGATATGTGTAATTGAAAACATAGATCTTACAGAAAATCTTGATTGAAAGATTTTATTTATGCATAGCACTCATATCTTATAAGTGTTCTTTAGAGTGATGGTTCTGAGAGAACTTTGAAACTAGAAAACTGAAAATTACAACTTGTTTACAACTGAAGCAAAAGCTTCTATTTAAAGAGCTGAATCAGAGAGGGTCAGCAACATTGGATGCTTAGAATTTTACTATTGAGGCACGGGTCTTCTACTTTTGCTTTAACTGAAGCATTATTCTTACTTTTGATTTTTACTTCTTTTTTATCATGATGACTTGTCGGGGAATATCGACTGTAGTGCTTTTGATTGATATCATGATGACTTGTCGGGTACTTTTGACTGATGGTGCTGTTACTTTGGTGACTAATCTTCACTAAGATCGTATGGGTCTTGACTGTCTGGATAATTTGACCACCAGAATTTCTGGGTGGAATGAGGCTGACTAGTGGAGGATTCAACCAAGTCAAAAGGATTCCACCCAGAAACTTGACCTATTTCAATCTATCCATTATATAGCATTCCGCAATGTGTACATCCACATTCTTCTAATCTAGTCCAAAAATAATGCACAAGTACACACATGTACTTCGAAAAAATTCCAACACACGTTCAATCATATTAAACACGTTACAGTGCAAACCGCAACTCCATAAATTTTGTCAAAGTATGTATGAAAAATAAAAAGAAATTTGAATGCAGTACACCTCATTGATAGCTCTAATTCCCAGCCAAACCCATAGGCAATACATGTTGCAGCGATGTGAATTTCAATTAGGGTTCCATTAATTCCCCACAAATATAAAATTCCACCAAGTTAAAAGGATTCCACCAAGAAATTCTGGTGGTTAGATTATCTAGATAGTCAAGACTCATATGATCTTAGTGAAGATTAGTCACCAAAGCAACAACACCATCAGTCAAAAGCACCCGACAAGTCATCATGATATCAGTCAAAAGCACTACAGTCAATATTCCCTGACAAGTCATCATGATAACAAAGAAGTAAAAGTCAAAAGTAAGAATAATGCTTTAGTTAAAGCAAAAGCAGATGACCTGTGCCTTAATAGTAAAATTCTAAGCATCCAATGTTGCTGACACTCTCTGATTCGGCTCTTTAAATAGAAACTTTGGCTTCAGTTGTTGTTGATACGAAAAAATGGTTTGACACTTTTCTCGCCCAACTTAGTGATGTTGGGCCTTTGGTATGCTTTGGGCCTCGGTAGAACGCGTGATCTACAAGATAACAAACGCTCGGTAAGACCAAAGGCACCGATGTGGTACCGACCAAAGGCTCTACGGATTTAGTAAACTTGAACTGATAGATCAATAGGTAGTATGTCGTAAGTTCTGAGTACCTCCATTTTGGGATAGTAGTGCTCTTTTATAGGCCTTGGGAGGTGTGCTTTTTGTTTAGAATTTAGATGTGGAACTTTAGACGTTGATTGTGGGTCTACCACGTGTCCTGGAAAGGGCGTTGCCCTAATTGATGAATTGGTAGGCATGATGCCGAAGGCTACCATGGTTAGGTTCAGTTTTGTCAACGTGTCTGGTCCTCATAGGCCGTTCATTTTGGTATAAACAGGAGTCTCGAGAGTTCTCAGGTGGGGACTTGACATGCTCTTCGGGAATTAAAATGCCGTCCTACCATTCGGAAATTTAGCGGGTGGAGGAGCTTAATCCTTGCCCTTCCGTGCATCTTTATTTGGAAGCAGACGTCTGGGTACTCCAAAGGTCGCTTCTATGAGGAGTGATGAGATAGAAAGACGCTTCGTCTTCTGCGCCCCGCGTGTTGTCAGAATATAAGAACAATGAATGACACGTGGCGTGTCCATTCATGCGAAGAGGCGCCATTAATGCGCCGTTTGGTTTTTCGAAGCGTATCTTTGCAACTCCTCGCCTTATAAATAGAAGTGACTTCGGAAGAGAAACTCACTTTGCATTTGTGAGAGAAGCGAGAGCTCTGTTGAGGCGATTTCCGGTGAGAGCTAACGGCAACCAAGGCGATTTCTAAGCAGCTAATTGGCATTCAAGGCAATTTCCGGCGCGAGCTAACGGCAACTAGGGCGATTCTTGAAGAGTACAATCGGCAAGTTAATCCGCTTCCCTGCATACAAAGCACGAGATAAGGTACTGTTCGGCACTCTTTTCAAGCTTGTACTTTGTGTACGTCCTTCCTTGGCATGAGCTAGACTGAACTTTAAGTAGGGTTCCGTTCGATAGTCTAGTTGCCATGGGTGGCGATGTAGAACTCGGTAGGCTAGTTCTTCTACATGGCCCTTAGTTTTATTTTTCTGTGTTTTGTAGATGTTCGATAGCGAGTCACTGTTCGAGAGTGAGCCCAATGCGTTCGATGGGGAGTCATCGGACGATCAGCGGGGTACGAGTAGTGAGGCCGTGAGCCTCGATGCTAAGGGCGGAAAAGATACCGATGTTGAAATACTCGGTGAAGGCCCAAGCTCTGTTCCTACCCACGACATTGGGAAGGGACTAATGACAAAGCAGCCAGTACCGTTGGTTGTGGTATATCGCGACGGTAGTCATGCAGGCTTGGGTCAGCATGGCGAGTTCCAGATGGGGGGTACTCGGGTGCCAGAGGAGCACACCAGCCATCGGTAAAGATGAGGATTCCGGGTCCTACCGAATCCCTCAGCAACCCGAAGGATGGCGAGGTCGTCTTTTTTACAGACGTTCTGCTTCAGGGGGTTCAGTTACCATTGCAGCCTGTCGTGCATAAGATCCTTGCCCAAATTGGGTATGCTCCAGGCCAATACAATCCCAACTTCTGGGTGGCTTTGATGGGGGTGATCGCTGCATTCGGTATTGCCGGAGAAGGTGAGCCTTGGAAATGAAGCATGTTAAGGCGGCGACCCGTCCGATAAGGCTCTGAATGTCATTTTGTGTCTTCGGCACCTTCATGTCAATTATGGCCTTGATTTTTTCGGGATTTGCCTCGGTCTCTCTCTAACTGATCATGAAGCCTAGAAACTTACCGGAAGATACGCCGAAGGCGCACTTTGTTGGGTTTAGCCTCATTCGGTAGTCCTTAAGTATACCAAATATAAGGGCCAAGTTGTGTAGGTACTCTTCTGCCGTCCGGCTTTTTACCAACATATTGTCGACGTATACCTCCATGATGCTACCGATATGTTCGGCAAAAATTCGATTAAAGAGCCTTTGATATGTTGCCCTCGCATTCTTCAAGCCGAACGGCATGACGTTGTAGCAATACAAACCCTGGTCAATGATGAATGTCGTATGCTCGCTATCGGTAGGGTTCATGAATATCTGATTATACCCGGAGTATGCGTCCATGAAGCTGAGTAATTCATGACCGGCGGTAGCGTCAACGAGTTGGTCGATTTGGGGCAACGGGAAGCTATCCTTCGGACATGCTTTGTTCAGGTCAGTATAGTCCTGGCACATTCGCCACCCATTTTTCGCCTTTCGTACCGTTACCGAGTTTGTAAGCTAGACAGGGTACGTAGCTTCCCTGATAAAGCCGATGATGACTTTTAGCTTCCCTGATACCGCATTTCGCATGACTTCGTACCGTTCGGCATCATACGAACGGTGCTTTTGTCTTACAGGTTTATAGGCGAGGGAGATGCTGACCTTATGGCTAATGACCTCCGGGGAAATGTTTGGCATGTCATCATAAGACCATGCGAACAACTCCGAATGATGCCGTAAGAACTCGATGAATTGCGCTCGGAGAGGTGGGGTGAGTGCGGTGCCAATTTTGACGCACCAATTAGGTTGCTCTTCGCTTAGCGCCACCGTTTCCAGCTCTTCCGTAGGCTGTGTTTGTGGCGTTGGGTTTTCTTCCCATGGGTCGTCAATGGGTCTATTACCGTTCGATGCCCCTTGGACAGACATGGCCTTCCTGGGAGGTTTAGAGGCTACTGATTTCAACGTCGTTGCATAGCACGTCCGTGCACTGAGTTGGTCTCCTCGGACAGCGCCAGTGCCATTGCAAGTCGGGAACTTCATCAACAACATATGGGGGGACAAGTGCGCTTTGATTTCGGTGAGTGTTGTTCGTCCAACTATGACGTTATATGTCGTTGGGCAGTCAACGATGAGAAATTGGTCATAGGTTATTGTTTTTCGAGGGGCAACGCCGAAGGCGATGGGCAGACTTACACTGCCGACTGGCTGGACTAGGTCCCCAGAGAAACTAAGCAAGGGTGTTATCTGCCGAATAACCTGGCTATCTGCTATTCCCATGCCTCTGAAAGCATCGGCAAAAATTACATTTACTGAACTTCCGGTGTCTATCAGTACCTGCCCTACATCGTAGTCGACAATTTTAGCTCGAATGATCATCGGGTCATCGTGGGGGGTTGAGGACTCCTTCCTCTTCACAAAATGTGATGGGCTCCCACCCTACCTTCGGAACCTTCTGGTGTCGGTTGACTTCTATGTCGAAAACTTGAGGGTAGTGAGCGGGTCGTACATATTGCTTCATCGAGTGGTTACTCGTACTTGCTAGGGTGGGCCCTCCGCTGATGGTGCTGATAATATTTATCTGTCGATTCGCGTTCGGGATCTGCGCTTGCGGAGGTCTGGCAATGTACTGATCCAGTTTTCCCTCCCGGATCAATCGTTTGACGATTTTCCTCAGGCTTATGCAATCCTCCGTATTATGGCTGTTGTGCTGGTGGTACCGACAGAATTTGCCGGTATCTCGATTGTCATGACTTGATTTTTTTTGTTTTGCATCGCAAGCTAGGGTTCCTCCTTTGAAGCATGACTTGTAATTTGACTTGCACTTTTTCTTCATTTTTTGTAGTTGTAAAGCAACTATGTCGTTTGGCAATGGGGGTTGATCATCGAGTTCACAAGTACCTTTGTACCTGTGGGGTGGTTTTAAGGTGTACAAGAAAAGATTCGTGTCTAATATGCATCATATCACAACCGGAGCTCACTTCCAGAAGTGGCGCAGTACCTATGTTGCTCCCATACCTGATGACGCGGGCTAGCGACGCTTTTGACTTACGAAGTGCCTTGCGTGGATCCGAACAATCCAAATGCCAAAATTATCACATTTCGTCCCTTCTACTTCTACTTCTACTTAGGCTTCACATTCCCGTTGTCGAAGCTCTTCAAGAAGTTGTTTTGTGCCATGGAGTGTGCTCCAAGCTAATGTACTCCAAATGAGTACCGGGGCGATCATTGGTTTTGATAATATGAATTGCTTCTTCAAGCTGGATTTGACGGTGCAGAGTTCTTTTACTTCTTCGAGGTGAGGCGTTACGATAAGTACGCCTAGGATCGTGTATGCAATGCAAAGTTGTTTGATAGTCTTAGCCAAGGAGATCACGTATGGCATGCTGATGTGTTAGAGGTCAGTGGAAGGTGGGAAGGCGAGGTTGGCGACAGTCTACTTGTTCTCCTCACCTACTATGATGGTATGTCATGCTATATTGATTTGCTTCAATTTTATTCAAATTCTTTGATGTGTGACTCGCTGACTTCCATTTTCTGTTTGCAGAGAATTATATCAGCAAGAAATTGGATTTCGAGCCGGACATGCTAAGGTCTGCTAGGCCTTGAACATCCCCGCGATGTTTCACGTATAGCACTAGTTGTTAAGTGAGTATTGGAAGAAGGCTAGTGGTCTGCCTCCTAGTAAGGATGTTGGGAGATAAAAGTAATAAAGTCCAGACTCGGATGATCAGCCTTTCGAATGGGAAGAGTCCTCGACCGAACTCCCTATAAGGAGGAATGCTGACGCTAGGTCGTCCAAAGATGAAGCTGCAACTTCGCAAGTAAGGAATGTGTCTCCACTGAGAAAGAAGCTAAGATTTCCTTCGGCTGTGATCAAGTCTTATTCGAAAGATGAAGCTGCAACTTCGCAAGTAAGGAGGATACATTTATTTTATTTTATTTTTTTAAAACAACATCGTGACATGCTTCCTGATTCCATAATAGGAGCCTTTAGTTTCGCCTTTTAGACCTTTTCTCTTGGGGCTCATCACTTGAGCTCCCAAAGATCACACCGTTAGCTTGAGCATAACTTGTGTCGTGATCTCGTTGCTTGCGTTTACATAGGAGATCTAGGGCCTCCAATTGCTTTTGCATGTCTTGAGAGTAAAAATCTACCATCTTTTATAGCTTTTGATTCTTTTCCTACAATATTTCAAGCTGATGTCGATTCGCCTCTACTGTGTTTGTCGTCTCCCTCTTTAAACTCCTTATAACACGTTGACAATCTTCAACCAAACTCCGCTCTGCCACCAACTGAGCTCTTAGCACTTGCACCTCATGGGATTTCACAATGAGGCGATGCCCTACACTTGCGACAAATGCCACACTTTGCACGCTCAGTGCCATGACATCACTCACCACCCGATTATCATTCATTGTCCCCAGCACGCGCACATTCCTGGGAATCACCAAACTCCTTACAACTCCTATGGCAACATTGTTGTCAAGGAGTAATGAGTCGTTTACGGTCATTGATCCTCGTGAGGAAGCAAAGTAGGGCATCCACACTAGTGCATCCCCTTTCCCCCATGTTTGTGTTGGGGGAGCTAGATTTAGATCGAGAGAAAATGAGAATGAAGATGCCATTTTATTTATGAGTTTAAGGAGAATGGGAAAGAAGAAAATTGGCAGAGCTAGGCGTTTTGTTTTATGAGTTGTGATTTTTTTTTCTCCCTTTGTTTTCTTTTAAAGAAAAGAAAGAGCTCTATATTTTTAAATTTAATTAATATATTTGTAAAAATAAAATAAAAATAAAAAATAGAAAAGAGTAGAGAGAAGAGAGAAGAGAGAAGGAAAAGACAAAGTTGTGTATATAAACATTATAAATGTCAAACGATGTAGCATATAATTACAAAGTTGTCCATGGCATGGTGGATAAGGTGTTGGAGAGGAATGAAAGTGGCAGGGTTCGAAACTCCTAGTATGTATGCTAAAGTCTCCATTTCCTTACATTTTTTAGCAGGTTGGTAGGCATTACAAGAAATCAAGGAGGCATGGGGAAAAAAATTAGAAACAGGTGTTATAATAGACGACTATAAAAGGAAACAATGGGAGAAAAAATCACAACTCAAAAAACAAAACATATGCTAATTTTCTTCCTTCCCATTCTCCTCAAACTCAGAAATAAAATGGCCTCTTCATTCTCATTTTCTCTTGATCTAAACCTAGCTCCCCTAACACATACATGGGGCCTAGGGGCTACAGCAATGTGGATGCCCTACTTTGCTTCCTCATGAGGATCAGTGACCGTAAACGACTCATTACTCTTTGACAACGATGTTTCAATTGGAGTTGCAAGGAGTTTGGTGATTTCCAAGGATGTGCGCATGCTGGGGATGAGAAATGATAATCGGGTGGTGAGTGATGTCATGGTACTGAGTGTGCAAAGTGCAGCATCTGCCGCAAGTGTGAGGCACTAACAGGACTAGCCCCAAATTTCCTCGAAAATCGGAACGAATCCCGCCTTAATACTGACATCACCCTGATGCCGGGCCCACTTACTAAAGAATCGAGACTTCTACCAAAATTTTGGCAGAGTCTCCCTTGTAAATTGAACATTTCCCAAACTTCAACCTGCTCAAAATTCACAGTTTAACAATCTCAACCAGCAGCATGCTTTAAAGCAAATAAACAACTTACAACAAAGGCCTCCAGCCTCACAAATCAAACCCTATGCAGGCGATAACAGAGCATGTCTAAGAATTTCAGTTACAACAAGAACAAAGTTCAACTGGAATAAAATGAAGAAAGAGTTCCTACGAAGGCTCAAGATTCGGGAGCACACGATTCAGCTCAGCTGCGGAGCTCAGTCAATTATTGGCTGGGGAGCGCAAAATAGAAAATTGTGAGTGGACAAAAATAAAGTTTAGTTCAGTAAAAACCAACATAATATAACCCCCACCATTAGAAAACCATGCAAGAAATCCAAATGCATCCCAAAACCCTCATAATCAAGAATATAAACATATACCAAATCAATTTAAGTACCGGATGCCAAGTCCGAAATCCATAAAGAAACTTTACAAACCCACCATCACAAACTTAAACATACCACAACTAAACTCTCGAAAGCGTACCCAATAGCACGACTGGCGAGGAAGTATCCTCACCTAGAAACAAGAATGAATGAGTAGTTATATATACATAATAATATATAATATAATATAATATATATCATATAATATAACCAACACCTATTTGTACCGGGGAAACAATCCAACCGAGGGATTGTTTGACTAGTCCACATGGCAGAGCAATTCCTCAATTCACCATGTGGCTAGGGAACGAGCCGTCCAAATGGGGGACTAACTCTCAACTAGCACGCACAGCCGAGACTCTCAAAGCTTGTACGCCTGAAAACCAGTCCTACGTGCGCAAACTACCCAATCAAGGGTCTACAGCAACATCCCGTCAAGGATGTCCCGGGTCCGACAAATTCAAGTATCTCAAGTTTCCGTATCCAAGTTCCAAATCCGGGGAGGTACATAGGGTAATGCTTATAGCACTCCAAACTGACATTTTATACTCAAACATTTCCACAATCTCAACTCAACAACCCAAGTACCCCACACATAGATAATAGGTAGAAATTCTCAAATTCCATACATACATACTCAAGATACTCAAATATGTCAAAACCCAAAATATAATGCCAAAGCTTTAGAAGAACATCAAAATCGTCAATCAAAATATAATAAATCCAATATACATTTAAAACAATATGCAATATTTTTACATCAATGAAACCATGCTTAAGATTTGAAAACAAAGTCCATTCACAAGTAGTCCCACACTGCTTGACCCTGAGAGGGTCCCGCCTGCTGCGTATGCATGGTCGGAGTACCTATTCCAAAATACGAATATGAGATTAACACAAAATGTTTCGAAAGGGAACTTTAAATTAAAATCCTAGTTTCCCGGGTTTCTAGTGCGGGCACGAGGAACGAGACAAACTGAAAATTCCTAAGGGTTCCACAAGGTTTAGGATACACATCCTATAAGTTTGGTCCGAAACGGGCGGTTAGATCGCTTATGATCGCACGATTGGACGATTAACGTAAAACTTAAACATTAAGTTATTGAATCGGAACATCCGGGAATTCACAATCCGCGAACTCCTACAAGATCCGATTCCGATCGACGATCAAACGATAACCAAATTGAAATCCGAGAATACCGTTACGCTCGAAACACCACAAGGATCATTTTAGGACATTAAGACAGGCCGACATTGTTCCCACGCGCCGACAGCGCATGGGTGCCCAAAGAAATTTTCGGCGGCCAGAAAAACTCCAAACCGCCGGCCAAGACTTCCAAGTTAGGTAAATCATATGCAATGGAGCAACTTTTGTTCTTGGACTTACCCCAAAAAGTCGACGGAAGTGGCCGGAATCAGAGGCCGAAACCAGCCAAAACTCCCATCTCTTGGAAACGTTTCAAAACTCGGAAATTAATCCTAAATACAGCAACCAGCAGCTAGAGCATGTTGAAAGGATAGAAATGCATACTAAGTTTGAAGAATTTGGTTGCCGGAATCACTCGAACGAGCTTCTTCAAGTTATGGGTAAAACCGGTGACTCTTCTGCAATTTCCAGCTACCACGGGCAGTGGTGGCTGCGGTGAAGGGTTGGGATAGGAAGAGGGAAGTGAACTTGACCCTTTGGTACCAATATCAAGAACTTCAAAGAAAGAGAGTAACCAAAGGGGGGCTGTTTCTGTGCGCAGGGAGAGAGAGAGAGAGAGAGAGAGAGAGAGAGAGAGAGAGAGAGAGAGAGAGAGAGAGTTTTCAGGTTTTTATTAAACCAACTTCAAAGAAATTATGGTTGTGCCACTAAACTTGTTTTGATCGTAACTCCTTCGTTTCAACTCCGAATCGAGCCCACTACGTGTCTACGGACTCATCTCAGTCACAGCCCCAAACATTTCCCGGTTAATAAAATGATCGAAATACTCATAGCCCAAGGGTAATTTCGTAAATTCATATTTAATTGAATTAAATACTTTAAATAAGGAATTTAATTTGGAGTCGGGGTGTTACAGGCACCGCCTTATTGTGAAATCCCATGAGGTGCAAGTGCTAAGAGCTCAGTTGGTAACAAAGTGAAGATGGTAAAGACGGCGGAGGCGAATCAACATCAGCTCGAAATATTGTAGGAAGAGAATCAAAAGTTATAAAAGATGGTAAATGTTTACTCTCAAGACATGCAAAAGCAGCTGGAGGCCCTGGATCGACCGGGTAAACGAAAGCAATGAGATCACGGCACAAGTTATGCTCAAGCTAAGGGTGTGATCTTTAGGAGCTTAAGTGATGATCCCCAAGAAGCTGTGCATGAAAACCCAAGAGAAGAGGTCTAGAGGGCCAAACTAAAGGCTCCTATTGTGGAATCAGGAAGCACGCTAAGATGTTGTTTTTTAATAATAATAATAATAATAATAATAATGTAGTCCTTTTTTTTTTTTTTTTTTTTTTTTTAATAAATATTTTCCTCTTTTTATTTTTTATTTTTATTTTAACGAGACAAATTAATGTGCTAATCATCCACCTATGAATACCTGCAAGTGTACGAATCTATTGGAAATTAGGAATGAGTAAACATATTATTAACCAAGTAACCTATTTAATATGACCCCGAACCCGACACGAAATGTTTATTAAATGGATCGGGTTTGGGTTGAGCATTCTTGACATGTTTATTATCCCGACCCGACAAGACATGACCTATTGCCACACCTACCTACGTCTCCCTTAGGACATTTGGCGATTGCCTACATCTCCCTTAAGACGTTTTGGCAGGTGGACTACGTCTCCCTTTAGACGTTTTGGCGATGGACTACGTCTCTCTTAGGATGTTTTGGCAGTTGCCTACGTCTCTCTTAGGACGTTTTTGCAACCCTCATGATGTTTTGGCAATTGCCTACGTCTCTCTTAGGACGTTTTGGCGGTGGCCTATGTCTCTCTTAGAACGTTTTGGTAGTTGTTCTGCGTCTCTTTTAGGACACTTTTAGACAGGGACCTGTTTGACATGCGTCTCCCTTAAGACGCTTCATTGTAGTTGTCCTACCTCTCCTTTAGGATGCTTTTGGATGGTATCCTACGTCTCCCTTAGGACATCTTGGATATCTTCTTGTGTCTCCCTTAGGACGCTTTGGATCTTCTCTTGAACACTTCTTTTGAAAAACTCAAAATTTCTTCGAAGTGGAGTAGACTTAGTCATTTGCTTGCCAATGTATTGTGATCCCGTTGTTAATGACCATCAACTGTGGGTAGCTAAACCGATAGATGATGTTTCTCCAGATGAATCGTTCCACGTTGGCTTCTTTAGTAGATGATAAAGCTTCAGCCTCGATTTATTTAGTAAAGCAGTCTGTGGCAACGATCATCATGTCCTTCTTGGCAGGTGCCGGCAGTAGGGGGAATAATCCTTATTTGGTTAGAATTATTCTTACCCAAAAAGATGATATGAATTACTCCAAGAAATTTGATGGAAATTGGTTCCTTGAATTTAGGGAGGTATTCCTATCTTAAATCAAAGATAATTTCCCTAATTAAATAGGATTTAATTGGTGTTATTAGTTGACTTAAGGGATATTCCTTTTTCACGTATCGTCTCTTTATTGGCCGGCGAAATATATGTTCCCACATAGTGCATTTCATGTGTGAAGTTGAAACAAAACTTATACTTCTGTTAATGGTACTCATTAACTTTTAGTTTCATTGTACTTTTAAAATTACACATATCCATGAAGAGTTTGAAAGCTAAGTGTTGTCATTGAAGAAAATGTATGATAATCATGATTTTGTAATATGGGTTTCTTTTGTTCTATATCTGAGTTTGTCATGGGCAGCTGGGCTCATGGGTTTTTCCTTCTTTCTTTTTTGTTTTATGTGTGTGGGTGTGTTTATACACTTGAACATGATGGGTAGAGAGAGATGGTACAAACATGTGGCAGATTAAGTACAAAATCAATCTTTCTCCTTCTCTATGTTTCTTTTTTTGGATAGGAAAAACAAAAATGTAAAAGAATTGTACCCCTTGGACTTTTTTATTGGAATAAATGAATTTGATATAGCTAAACTAAACAGAGCCTTTGATATTTATTTATTTTTATTTAGTGAGATTCCCGCTTTGTTTAATTTCCATAGCCACTGAATTGAAGTGTTGGGATGAGGTTGTGGAAGGAGGCAATGTGTAATTTGAACCAATGGGCGATGGACTTCGATTGCAATTTGAAGAACATGAAGGAGTTGATAGCTATGGCTAAGGAGGTTGGGATGTGATTCGGCTTGGTCCTGAGCTTGAAATTACTAGTTATGGCTGCGAAGACCATTTCCTCGAGCTTGATACTGTTAATCATGCGTAAGTTCTTTGCATTTCAACTAGTTTTCAAAGTTCAGTTTTGAAAAAGATAAAAATGGTATACATGTTAACGCTTTTTGTTGACAATACATCATCTTTTGGCCTCATTTGTGGATTAATTATGTATAAAAAAAATTAACTTACAAGGAAATTTGTAAGTTATTGTTAATGGCAATCTTGAATGATGATTGAGAAGTGTTTGAACAAAAATATTATCATGATACGCCCAAAGTTGTGGCTTGAGATGTATTATTTTGAATATGATCCCCATATTAGTGTGGATATGTTATGATTCCCATATTGCGCCAGTGTATTGTTCTTCAATTGTATATTTATTGTACATATGTTGCCATCTTAGTGCGCTTGTATTGCCATCATACTGCTTGAGTATTGCTATAGTAGTGCCCATGTATCGCCTTTTTTTTCAAGTACGTGCTGGAACTAAATTATAAAGGGAGTATGGAGTTTTTGTGTTGCCACTCTATTGCCTTGGTGTTGCCACTCTATTGCCTTGGTATTGCCATTCTATTGCCATCATATCATTTTTATTTTTATCACTTTTATTTTTCAAGTGTATTCAAATGTAATTATAGTGGGAGTATGAAGTTTTTGTATTATCATCGTATTGGCTCCCTATTGCCCTGATATTCTAACTGTATTGTCATCGTATCACCTTTGTTTTGAAATTATAGTGGGATTAGGGACACGTAAGATGAACTCAAATATGTGGAATTATAATTTTAGACCTTTAATATTGAAGCCGCTATCGTAAGGAACATGTAGCATTTTCCGGTGTATTTTTCTGATTTTTCATTAATTATTTACGAATTTTTTAAGATAGGAAAAAAAAAGGAGGGAAGAAAGCCGACATGTGGCGCTACCATATAAAGACACATGTCACGAATACTTACACCTCGCCAGTAAGCAGCTGCCACATGTCAATCAACTATTTAACATCCCGTCCTGAAATTTAATTTAATTTTTAAAATTCTAAAGTGAAAGGACAACTTTAACCTTAGGTTTCTTGATGGTTTAGAGTTGACATTTTGCTCGGGGCTAGTTTTGAAAATTTTCTTGGTTCCATTGCATAGTGCTCGAGCTCACAAATTCTTAGACACGTGTTGGGCATAAATAAGAGTTGAACAAAGATGTTTTGGTCAACAGAAGTGTAGTGGTGTTAGGATTTTGGCTCGTCAAATATGTCCTAGTTGGTTTAGGATTGTTTTAGGAAAATTAGAGGTATACCAATTCTTGTCCTAGAGGGATTAGGAAAGAATTTCAGTTTTCCTTATTCAATTTAGGTTTGGATTTCTAGAAGTCTATTTGGATTTGGATAAGTGTAATTTCCTAATCCACTTAGGAATAGGAATTCAATCAGCCTTGGACCATGTAAGCCAACTCTATATCTATAAATAAGGTGGGGCAGAGCTTATTTTAGAGAGGAAAAACAGCCAGAGACAGCCAAGAGTTTTGAGATTAGTTCTAGGGTTGCAAAAGTTCTATCATCTCTATTATTAATCAAATGAGCGGTGATTTCTCTACCTAGAGAAATCACAACTGGACGTTGACAAAAGTTCTGCCGAACCAGTATAATTCTTGTGTGTTTCTAAGTTTTCTAATATTTGCTAGTTTAGTCTATTGTCATCGGTTACATTAAAGAACAAGATCTAGAGTGCAGATTATTAACAATTGGTATCAAAGCTTGGCTCAAGGGGTTCTATGATGTCTAAAAGGAAGATGAATGCGGATCTAGGACCTACATTAAAGCCCTTTGAAGGCAAGGATGACTTCACGGACTGGCAAAGGATGATGAAGAACGTACTGATACACTCAATGGTGAGAAGCTGGCAAGCATGACGGACACAGCATGGACTAAGGTTCTCAAGAAAGCCAAGAGTTCCATCGAGATCCATCTCACAAAATTAGTTCGGTCACACATCACCGAAAAGATGACTGCCCAAGAAGCATGGGAAAAGTTGGAGAATTTTTATATGGGCAAAACCGTGTCCAATAAACTTTTTCTAAAGGATGAACTATTCGGACTTCGACTGGAAGAAGGAGGTGATATTGAAGATCACATATGCAGGTTCCAAAATTGCATAACTAATCTTCAAAAGGTTGAAGAAACTTACAAAGATGATGATATGGCTATCATCTTGCTGAGGTCTCTACCTTCGTCCTTCAAGCACTTTCGAACAACTCTAATGTTTGGAAAAGAGTCCATGAAGCTTGAAAACGTAATTCAAGCTCTTCAGTCATATGCTAAACTAGATGATATAACTAAAAGCTCTCAAGGCCTTTATGCCAAAGGCAATGAGAGGGGGCGGGAAAAGACAAAGGAAGAGAAAACAAGCAACAGAGGTAGGTCAAAATCCAAGAAGAAAAAGGAAAAGAAGGAAGGTTGCTTCGAATGTGGTTCAGCCGATCATTGGAAGAGGAACTGCAAGATTTGGAAAAAGAAGAAAGCCAAGAGGGAAGGAATCTCAGGTTCAGCTAGTGCAGTCACTGAGCATGAGAGTGACGGGGAGCTTCTTTCAGTAACATCAGGCTCCAAGGCTTTCACAAATTGGATTTTGGATACCGGATGCACTTTTCATATGTGTGCAGTAAGAGAATGGTTCGATACTTACAAAGAAGTCAGTAGCGGGGAAGTTTTAATGGGGGACGATTCTTCATGTCCTGTAAAAGGAATCGATACTGTTCGAATCAGAATGTTTGATTTCCTTTGGGGAACGTTAGATATGTCCCTAGACTAATAAAGAATTTGATTTCCTTTGGTACTTTAGATGAGGCTGGCTATGGGTACGAGTCTAAAATAGGAAGACTCAGGGTAGCGAAAGGATCACTGGTGGTAATGTGAGGTGACCTACAACCCAAAAAGCTGTATTAGTTAATTGGGACCACCATAGTCGGGGAAGCAGTTGTTTCTGTAAATCAAGGTATATAAGACAAGACTGAACTCTGGCATCAGAGGCTCAGGCACATAAGCTGGGAAGGGTTGCAAGAATTGCACAAGCAAGGCCTGTTGGAAGGCGTGTCATCTTGCAAACTGGACTTTTGTGAATATTGTGTTCTTGGAAAGCAAAGGAAGGTATCATTCATGAGTAGCAGTGTAGAGAACTGAAGCAAGGAGCAACTCAACTATATTCACTCAGATGTTTGGGGCCCTACACCAACCAAATCAAATGGTGGAACCAGGTATTTTGTTACTTTCATGGATGATTTTTTTAGGAAGGTTTGGGTTTATTTCATGAAGCAGAAATCCGAGGTTTTTGCAAAGTTCAAGGAATGGAAAACAGAAACTGAGAATCAAACTGGAAGAAAGATCAAGTACCTGAAAAGTGACGATGAAGGTAAATATACAAGTAATGAGTTTACCGAATACTGCAAGCAAGAAGGCATCATAAGGCACTTCACAGTAAAGAAGAATTCCCAACAAAATGGAGTTGCTGAAAGGATGAACTGAACTCTTATGGAGAGAGAGAGAGAGAGAGAGAGAGAGAGAGAGAGAGAGAGAGAGAGAGAGAGGAGCATGCGATTTCATGCAAGATTGCCTGATAGTTTTTGGGCAGAGGCTGTTAATCATGCAAGTTATTTGATTAACAGATCACCATCTACAGTTCTCTGTTTTAAGAGTGTAGAAGAGGTATGGTCTAAGAAGCCGATGGACTATTCCAAGCTCAGGGTATTTGGCTGTAGCGCTTACGCACATATTCCAAGTGATGAAAGGTTCAAGCTCAAACCAAAGTTTACACATTGCATATTCTTAGGTTTTAAGAAAGGAGTGAAAGGTTTCAAGCTTTGGGATATCAACAATAGGAAAAAGGTTGTCAACCAAGATGTTATCTTTGATGAGACAACCATGCCTCTGAATAAAGTCGAGAGCAGTAGGAAGAAGAAAGACGATGTTGAAATTGAAGTAACAAAGATTCCGTTAATCGGTTCAGACAAAGAAGAAGCTCAGGTGGAGCAAATTGAGCAAGATGCCGAATCTGATGGTTTTGAGGAAGAAGAAGAGCATCAGCATCGTTCACCAATTAGGAATCAGGTGGAGCAAGAAACAGGGGTGGATTATGATGAGATCTTTTCACCCATAGTCAAGCATACTTCTATCAAATTTCTTTTAACAATAGCAACGCAGTATGACATGGAGATTGAACAGATGGATGTGAAGACAGCTTTTCTTCACGGGGATCTAGAGGAGACAATTTTCATGGCTCAACCAGAAGGGTTTGTTGAATATAGGAAAGAGAACCTAGTATGTCAGCTAAGGAAGTCCAATTATGGCCTGAAACAGGCTCCAACACAATGGTACAAGAGGTTCAATTACTTCATGCTGAAAATCAATTTTAGAAGATGTTTATATGACTGTTGCGTGTACTATCATGTATTCCAAGATGGGATGATCATATTGCTATTACTATATGTGGATGACATGCTAATCGTTTGTCAAGGCAAGTCTAGAATTCAAGACTTGAAGAAGATGTTGAGCGAGGAGTTCGACGTGAAGGATCTAGGTGCAGCACAGAAGATCCTTGGCATGGAAATTCAGAGAGATAGGACCGCTGGAATGATCTGGATATCACAAGCCAAGTATATTCAAAAGGTTCTTAAGAAGTTCAACATGCAAGAAGCAAAGGTAGTTTCGACTCCTTTGGCAGCTCACTTCAAGTTAAATGGGCAACAGTGTCCTATGTCCGAGGAAGAGCAGCAAGTACTGGAGAAGGTGCCTTATGCTAATGTTGTGGGCTGCCTTATGTATGCAATCATATGCACACGTCCCGACATAGCTCAAGCAATCAGTGTCATTTCCAGATACATGGCAAATCCAGGAAAGCAATAAAGGATTATGTTTGAGAAGCAAAAAGCAAATGCAGGGGGTGTTGGGATATGTGGATGTCGATTATGCAGGGGACTTGGACAAGAGAAGGTCAACTTATGGTTATGTGTTTACATGCACAGGAGGACCGATCAGTTGGAAGGCACTACTGCAACCAATTACAGCTTTGTCGACCATAGAGGCAGAGTATATTGCATTGGCCGAAGCTGGAAAGGAAGAAATTTGGCTTAGTGGCTTGGTAAGTCAAATGGGAATCACCCAAGATTGTGTGAAGCTGAAGTGTGATAGTGAAAGTGCTATTCACTTGGCAAAGAATCAAGTTTTTTCTGGAAGATCAAAGTACATTGAAGCAAGATATCACAGAATCAGAAATTGGGTGGAGTCTAAGGAGATTTGGATTGAAAAGATTCATACAGATGACAATGCTGTAGATTTCCTTACAAAGATAATGCCGGCCAAGAAGTTCAAGCATTGCTTGAACTTGATCAATCTCGTTGATTGATTAAAGTGGAGCACCTCCTCACTTGAGGTGCAATAAGGCAAGAAGAAGATTTCCAAGGCGAAGACTCTTGAAGATTTCCAGAGCTTCTTCAAGGATGTTCAAAGATACTCTGGGGTGCAACGATCAAGACTTGGTTTGACTCACCAAGGTGAAGATTGTTAGGATTTTGGCTCGTCAAATATGTCCTAGTTGGTTTAGGATTGTTTTAGGAAATTCTTGTTTTAGGATCGTCTACCGAACCAGTATAATTCTTGTGTGTTTCTAAGTTTTCTAATATTTGCTAGTTTAGTCTATTGATGTCGGTTACATTAAAGAACAAGATCTAGAGTGCAGATTATTTAATAAGTGGCACAATCGTAAATATTTCAAAATTGAATTTTTAAGTAGGACCCAAACTGGCCCAATCGAGGGAACGTTATCTCTCCTTTCTCTCTTGATCTCTCTCTTTTCTCTCAGGACTGCGCACAGTGCCTCTTCGACTTTCCGACGGCACAACGCCGTCGTCCAATTACCTCCGTAGACGAGACCGGTCATAAAATGACTAGCACCGACCGGCGACCATGTTTGGGCTAAGACCCTGTCACCTCAAGCCGTTACATCGTTGATGCGAGCTCAAAAAAGGCCGGCAGTTTCCATGGTTCCCATGATCGGTTCCAGCAACTCCGACGACCGTTGACATCAATCCTAGTATGGATTTTGATCTTCTCCTCGGCTCTTGCTGATTGTGTAGGTGGTTAAGGTTGATTCTATTGTTTGAGAGATTGATTTTTAACACCCCCCAAAAAAAAAAAAAATGGCCAACGGTTTTGGCAGTGATTTACCCTGTTCTGACTACTTTTTGGTAGGGGTCTGAGACCAAAACTTGTTCCCCTTACTAGTCTGAATGTGTTGGTATAGGTATTGTATGGAGTTTTGAGAATTTTTCGTCACCAAAATTTTCTCAAGACACCCACCGCTGCCGGTGATGGATGGCGGCATGCGGGCCCCACTGTGGCGGCCTATTTTGTTCTGACATATTCTCCACTTCGTCCAGAGCTTGACAGTATGCTCGGATTTGAATTTGGTTATTGTTGACTATCGAACGGATATTGCACCTATTTACGATATTCAGGTTTGATACGTTCAGACCGTTAGATTGGTTCAGTTTTAAGTTACGTCGTTTGTCCAATTTTTAGGATTGTGCAGGAACTAGCGGATCAAGAATCGGACATTTGGATATTCCGAATCCTCAAATCTAAGGTTTTAACCTTTGATCGCTACCCGATCATGCAATCGTTGACGATCTGATCGTCGGATTGTAACCAAACTTTTGGGACGTAACCGATGGACTGTTGTGGACCTATTAGTACTTTTGGACTGGAGATTAGAGGTCATGAGCCCCGTAAGCCTAGTTGACCAAGATGGTGGGCCTAGCCTGCCCGATTGGGACCAATTGGTTAGGAGGTATTTGTGATTTGGTTGTTTGTTTTAAAATGGTATTATGCTATGAGAGTCTTATTAAATATTTATGAATTATTATTCTATCGCTTTTACTTTCCAAGCATGATATATTTATGTTTTAATGTGTATATTTGGGTTGAGTTGGTTATAAATGTTTGGTTATATGTTTATTCTTATACATGTGTTAAATAGTTTGAAATTGGATTGTGTTGCCTTCGAAAATATGGTTGCCTTCAAGAATACTGATGTCTTCGAACATCCTGGTTGCCTTATGAAATATTACTGTCTTCGGACATCCTAGCTGTCTTCAGGAATATTGATGTCTTTGGACATTCCAGTTGCCTTCGGGAAATAAAGGTCTTTTGACAACTCAGTTGTCGTCGGAAAAGTCTACGTGCGTATGACATTGCCCCACGAGTATCAGGGACACCCGAACCGTGTGGTGCTAAGATTTTTGTTCTCAAGTTCGGTATATCTCCTTATGTTCTGCTAGGATTTGAGTTCTCAAGTTAAGTATATCTCCCTGAGTTATGCTAGGATTGCGTTCACGGGTTGACCATTTGTCCTTGAGTTCTGCTAGGATGTGCCACACATGTGGAGTGGACCGTTTCACATGTGCAGTACTTGGAATTGACGGATTATTTATGAAATTGACGGATCATCTATGGAATTGACGAATTATGTTTGGTGTACACCTACGTGGAGAATAATGAAATACTGATGTGTTTTATACAATTAACAAGATATTCTTCGCCACCCTGCTCATATTATCTGCATTGGCCAGGATCCCGGCTACCTGCCTGACTTGTCTACACAGGTGATTGGCTAGTTTCCCCTTTCCCTAGTTGCCTTCGAATTTAATGATATTTCCCATATACCTCTTGGTGAGTGATAACAGGATATATGCACTATGCGGACGGTTGCAAGTATGGATTTCAGGTAAAAAGTTTGGTTACACATGTGTTTGGATGTACAATGATAAATTGATTGAACAGTTAGGTACATAAATGTAGGACATGATATTTAGTTTATAGCTTGTTGAAATTAAGTAAAGAATGATTCTAGAATTTTATTGTTAGTTTCACCTTGAACATTTTTGTATTATCTTAATTATGATTTATGATAGAAAGAACTATGTGTGCCTTGATCCCTCAGTAAGAGTACGTAGGCACCCTAGACTAACCTAGGTGCAGCCACAAGTTTAGGATTTATTTGTTATGTTCAGTTATGTCAAGAGGATTTTGCTCACTTATTTATGTTGGTAAAAAGGTGGGACTTGAAGCCCATCAAAACTTTTGTTATTTGGTGTGTGGTTTACACCTTTTGCCTGCTGAACGCTTGGAAAGTAATTGTGTTTGTTCTACAGGTAGATTTTTTTGGGTATTGAGCTTGTTTCAAGGGAGGCTCTGTCGATTTTCCCATAGAAGACAAACCCTAAAGTTGTTTTGGAATTAGGGCAAGAAGGGTATTTTAGTATTTTGGGCCGACACATGCCTGGTGTCAGATAGGGAGAGGGTTCGTTACGGATTCCAACAGGGAATTTGGGGCGGGTCTTTTCAATTGTATTTAATTTGAATTTTTTTTATGATTTAACTTCTAAAATTCATACTAAATGCATTAAAATTTCAAAAAATACATCAAAAAATTCCTACGAGCTCATTGTGACATTCTCTTCTTCCTTAAACTTCAAAAATCTTAATTCGATTAAGAAAATTTCAAAGTGACAAAGAAAACTCAAAATTGTTTATGAACAATCCAAAACACTAATTAAAGTTTTAAAAGCTAACACTCTTGCTTCTTTTATCCACTAATTATCATGAACTCAAATATGTGGAATCATGATTTTATATCCTTAACATCGAAGCAACTGTCATAAGGAACACGTAACATTTTTCGGTGTATTTTTCTGATTTTTCATTAATTTTTTAAGATAGAAACAAAAACCAAAAAAAAGTCGATATGTGGCACTACCATATAAAGACACACGTCAACCAATACTAACACCTCGCCAGTAAGCAACTACGACATGTCAATCAATTGTGTTAAGTTCAATTTTTCTATGATTTGACTTCTAAAATTCGTACTAAATACAGTAAAATTCTGAAAAATACACTGCATATTCCTATGAGCTCATTGTGACATTCTCTTCAACCTAAAACTTTGAAAATCTTATTTCAATTTATAAAAATTCAAAGTGAGAATGAAAACTCAAAATTCTTTATGAACAATCCAATACACTAATTAATGTTTATAACCTAACACTCTTACTTGTTTTATCCAATGATTACCATGAAACTTAGATATGTGGAATCATGCTTTTAGACCTTTAATATCGAAGCCACTGTCGTAAGAAACATGTAGCATTTTTTGGTATATTTTTCTGATTTTTCATTACTTATTTACGAATTTTTTAAAATAGAAACTAAAAAAGGAAGAAAGTCAACATGTAGCACTGCCATATAAGGGCACGGGTCAGCAAATTTGACGCCTCACCAATAAGTAACTGCCACATGTCAATCAATTGTATTTAATTTGAATTTTTCTATTATTCAACTTCAAAAATTCATAATGAATATATTTAAAATCCAAAAAAATATATCAAAAATTACTACGAACTCATTGGGACATTCTCTTCTGCATAAAACTGTGAAAATCTTATTTTGATTTATCAAAATTCAAAGTGAGAATGAAAACTCCAAATTGTTCATGATCAAACCAAAGCACTTGTTAATGTTTATAACCTAATACTCTTGTTATTTCTTCTATAAAATGATTATCATGAACTCAAATATATGGAATCATAATTTTAAACCTCTAATGTTGAAGGCATTGTCGTATGGAACACGTAGCATTTTTTGGGTGTATTTTTATGATTTTTCATTAATTTTTTATGAATTTTTTAATTTTGTTGACAACAAAAACTCAAGTTTGGTTCTAAACAAACCAAAACACTTATTAATCTTCTATAACCTAACACTTTTGTTTCTTTGATCCAATGTTTACCATGAACTCAATTATGCAGAATCATAATTTTAGACCTCTAGAATTGAAGGCTTTGTCATTAGGAACACGTAGATTTTTTGGGTGTATTTTTTTTATTTTTACTTAATTTGTTATGAATTTTTAAATATAAACAACAATAAAAGGAAGAAAATAACATGTGGCACTCTCTTAGGACGACACATGTCTGAAATACTAAGGGCACGCCATTCCGAAGGAGCCACGTGTGAGTCGATTCTATTTAATATTACTTTTCTATGATTTAAATTCTATGTAACATGAAAAATTCCTTGGAAATCCTTGTGACATTTCTTTGCACTAATCCTCCTAAAATCCTTTTTTTTTCTTATAAAAATTCAAAGTGACAACAAAAACTCAAGTTTGGTTCTAAGCAAACCAATTCTCAACATCTACCTGGGGGTGGGGTTCCGTGCAACTCTGTAACTAACGTCGTGGGCGAAAGCAGTTGCGATAAGACCTAACTATGCCTGCAATTGAATCTCTTGGCTCAACTCCTTCCAGCACGTGGGGGACTTTGTGCCTCCTCCATGTACATACACAACAATTTCAGTTTCCCATTTAGGCGACTTCAGCAACTAGGCCATTATATTCGATCCTCACTAACAACAAACCCTTGCGACGACATCTACATCACAGCATAAAAGACGCACACCAATTGGTTCCTCTAATTGGAAGCATAGAAGCGTTCGTAGTGAAAGGGAAAACAAGACTGTTGGTCAGGCTTGTTGTTTCACACGTCATTTGACAACACTCCTTCTCAACTAAAGCAACATTCAGATTTGTTTTTCAAGATTTTCGAGTAATTGAAAGCGTTGGCAAGCAGGTTTAGTGTGGCAATGGTAGTGACCAATCAAGTCATTGAGGTTATCCGGCCTCTTGAGGGGATGAATGGGATAAGATTAGACAATTTGGATGGCATGTGGTAGTCAGGCAGAAGAGTTACTCCTGCACTGGAAATCGCATGGGCACATTGAGTGAACTCTAGGTTTTGTTGTCTTTACACCACCCTATCATTGCAGCTCAAAATGAAATAACCAAAGGCCATGCTGAGTACAAACCCCCTCATTGGTGACTTGACGTTATATTATAGCTCTATTTGGCACCATCATCGTGCCACTTTGCGATAATGACCAAGGGGTTGTTTGGTGTTCAATTCACTGAAATTGCATAAGGTTTTTTGGCAGTGGTATAAATTCATGACATTCGTTTCTCTGCTTACCTTTGTGCGTGTAATGAAGTTTAAGTTGACTTAAATCTCGTCATGCATTTATGCAATCTACTTTTATTGAATTGAAGTACGTAAAACATTAAGTAGCCTAACCACTTGCAAATGATACGTAATGTCTTTTCAAAGATGTGAACAACATACAACATAGTAACAACGCATGACACCATGACACAAACAAAAAACAAACAACTTAATATGATTCATTAAGGATTCATATGGCTATCACCAGTAATGCATTATCGTTGTCTTTTTTAGCTTTATGGGCACCTGCTGGTTTATGGTTGTGCTATGGTGGGTGTACACTGCCATAGATGAATTCATGGGCAGCATACAAGGTTATGGTGTCCCAGTCAATATCTTTATTGGCGTCTGCGGCGAACCATTGAAATTTCTTAAAACCATTGTTGAAAGCCACACACATTGCCTAACCATGCTTGTCACCTTTTTTGTGGATGCTCAAGGTTCCGTATGTAGCATCCTCCTTTATCATATGCAAATCCTTTGCTTTGTGCTTTCTTCTTTGGGCACGGATTTTAGGCTTCTCTATTCTATGACTTGCTTTGTTAACTTGCCGAGTCAAATATGCCAACTTCTGCTCAGCTTCGACACACTTTTTAGTCCAATAATTGACTAAGGACGAGTTGTGTTCCAGTTTATTCTTCATATCATTTATTTCCAAAGAGGGATCACCGGATTCCCCCTTGCTTGCGAGGGAGGTTGGATATGGCAATAGTTTTCAAGGGAATAATCTCATGACCTATCGGAGTCCCCCTAAGTCGTATTGACACTTAAACTAGCCGACATGTTGAAGAAATTTCAAATTGGGAGATTTGGCTGAAAAATCAAATTTCAAATGAAAAGTCAATGCACATCGATTGGGAGATTTCACTCCTCTTTTAAACAGGATACACAACCTCACAGTATCATCCTTCTTCACAAACAAGACTGGTGTACCACAAGGTGGAACACTAGGTCGAATGAATCCACGATCCACTAACTCTTGCAATTGAGTCTTCAACTCTCTTATTTCTGCTAGTGCCATCCTATAAGGTGCTTGAGAGGTAGGGTTGGTGCCAAGAAGAAGTTTGATAATGAACTCATTCTCTCGATGCGGGGGTAATCTAGAAAGATCATCGAAAAACACATCCAGAAACTCTTGCACTATCAGAATATCCTCCAACTTCATAGTACTATCCTGAGTATCAATTAAATGGGCTATGTAACTTGCACAACCCTTCTTAGTACTAGTTTTTCTGTTAAAACCAAAATCAAACAAAACGGAACTTCAAAACACAACCTCCTTCCTAAAGTAATCTATCGAAGCATGATGTCTTGCCAACCAATCCATTCCTCGAATAATGTCAAGGTCGACGATATCCAAAGGAATCAAATTCACTTCCAACACTACTTCACTCACTTGGACTTGACTACCATTAAACACCATGTTTGCAACAAGAACATCCCCAGTAGGTTAGGAAATACTAAGTCCTCCGCTAATCGATTTTGGTCTAACCCTCGCATAAGGCACAAAACTACGTGCTACAAAGTAATGTGTAGCTCCGAGGTCTATTAAGACACGTGCACTGTGACAAAAAATATGTAACATACACGTGATAACGTCCGGTGTGGCATGTGCCTCCTGCTAAGTCATAGCAAACACACGAGCCTGCGCTTCGAGACCTGATCTGAATCACTTGACCAACCGATGCCTGAAGAACCTGAACTAAAACCTCATTTCTTTGATGGACTCTAACTCAGTGTGCCATAGCTAGTATTGTCTTGGTGATGTCTCGTTGCCCCAAGTGGACTAATAGTCTTCGCCACTCGATAGGCTGCTTAGGCCAAAGCTCTCATTGAAGGATAAGTAACTGCAGTCACAACAATCCTCAGTTGGACACCTTATATTTTCAAACACTCTTTCCAACTCAGTGAGCCAACTCTCAACCTCTGCTGAATTTTCACTGTGGCCCGTTCCTTGTAAAATTATGACAACAGTTCGTGTGAGCTGATCGAGAACCTCACATAGCTCAGCCTCTTGCCTTGGTGTCTGTGCTCTAAGCTCATTCTCACCTACACCCTTAACAAAGGGTGGAAGTGGGGGTTGAACTGGCATTGTGGGTTATAACCTCAAGTAGCTCAGGATCTTGCCACATTTAGGAGGCATGACTCTAATAAAAAAGACAAAAAGTCCTCAGTACCAAGCATGCACACAAGGTGATAGGACCTGCCCCGGATTCCTCTCAGAACCCTTGGTGAACCCTGTGTTTATCTGACACTGGGCTGGTGCCGAGCCCATTCAACTAAATTGTCCTTATTTCTCAAGAAAGGTAAAGACTTCTACCAAAAAATCAGCAATCTCCGATGTAAGTAGGTCCCAAAGAGTCACCACCTGTAAAGAAAATCCCAACTTTTAGCAAGCACAAGTTAAGTTACATAAGTTTACACAGTTACAAAGGCCTAAGGCCAGCAATCCAACCCTAACATGGGCAATACCATAGCATACTAAATAAGTAGAGTTAAGTCATAACAAAAGGTAGTTCCATGAACTACGATTAAGAAATAGTTCCACGAACTATGATCAAGAAGTCCTACGAAAAGAAACAAAAAGTGTTGGAAGGGAAGCTCTATGTAGAATCACGGATCTCGTCAAGCAACAGTCTGGTGGGCGCAAAACAGAAAAGTATGAGTGGACAAAAATAAAATTTTGAACATAAGTTATAATGAACATACTAACCCCCTCTATTTTAGAAAATAATGCCACCATGCAATTAAATCCTTTATACATAAATATATTCCAATACTTGAAGTATTATAATCGAAAATCCATATTATATCCAAATCCTAGGAAAACACATTTTCAAACACTTTCTCCCGCAAACACACCCTTCCCAAAGCGTATGCTTGCAAAACATCATAAAAATTCAGTCATCAAAACATATCCGTCCAAAATATGAAACCACATCAATCATCATACAAGTACCCTCCATGCACATGCCCAATAAATCTCAAAACATGTTGTACTTTCCTTTTCAATAATAATAATAATAATAATATCCACATGCACCACACCAAAACATGTACCGAGAATGAATAGTCGAACACGGGGACCATTGCAACTAAACCATATGGTAGAATTTTCAATATACATGTAGCTAGGGATGAGCAGATGAACATGGGGATTTTGCTCCCCAAACATGCACGACAGAATCTTCAATACACATACCGCTGAAATATCCTTCATACATACGTAGACAGCCCGCCAAGGGCTCTACAGTCCACCCACCCAAGGGTGACTGAGTCCTGACACGCCTCTATGGAGTTACCGCAGGTTGTATACATCCATGTATCACAGTATCCATATCGAACTAGGGGAGGTACATATAGTAGTGCAAAGCTATGTAATCTCATATCCCAAAATCCATTTCCATATACTATATATATATATATATATATGTATATAAAGCTCATATTCCTTTATGAAAACCATAATAAAACCATGGTAAAGAGTTTACCAAATCTCATAATTCAATCAAATCAAATAACCCAATTTCAATAAAATCATAGTTATGCATGCAAGTTGACATTTGAAAGATCATGCTCATTTGAAAACAAAGTCCACTCACAACAAGTCCAACGCTGCTAAACTTTAAGAGGATCCTTCATGTGGGGCATGTGTAGCTTAAGTACCTATTGAGAAAACACAGGGATTAGATTACCAAACGACTCCAAAATTGTACTTTACAACGAAACCCCAGTTCCGAGTCTCAAGTGTTCCTAAGGTCAAACGGTCTCGAAAAGCTTTTTGGTTAACCGAGTCAACAAGATCTAACCCTAGGGAAAACGGGACCACAGGGTTCACGACCACCAATCTCCGATCTAAAAGTTCCAACATGATCCCAACGACACATAGAACAACCCTTCCTAAAAAGGAACCAATGATTTCACAATCCGATCACACCAAACCCAACAACACATACTAGGCAAAAAATTGTTCATTGACTAAATAGTGGAATCTTGAAAATTCGAACATACTGTCTTGCTCAGGATGACATAGGGATCATTCTAGGTCCAAAACAAGTCTCTGACACCTGGCCCACATGCCGTCAGCCGTGGTGGATGTCTTGAGTAGTTTTTTGGGGATCCAAAAACTCTAAATCATCGGCTATACCTATACCAAAAGAACCAGCATGATAAGTGGAGTAACTTTATATATACCTATAAAGCTTCGTCGATCAGAGCACTACGACGATGAATCAAACCAGATCTTTGAAGGAAAAGATAGAGGAGAAGCTGGTGAACACTTTGGTACCAAGATCTCGGCCAACGGTAGCCAAAAAAAGTCAATCTTAACGCTGGAACTTCTGGCGTTGACAAGGCTTTTCTAGCCACGACTTCCTCTCCAAAATCGAGGTAATTCTTGGGTTAGTGGTATCGAGTGGTGGTTAGGCTAGGGAGAGGAGAGAGAGAGAGAGAGAAAGACGAAGCTAATAGTACTGATGGTGCGGCTTGGGTGGTCTGACGACGACGAATTGCCGACTGGAAGTCGCGATGTCATAAGCCCATAGAGGAGAGAGAAGCTCACGAGGGAGTAGAGAGAAAAGAGAGAAAATTTGATTTCGCATGCTAGGGTTTTGGGGCTTTAATCCAACTTCCAAAATTACCATTTTACCCAAAATATTTTTAGACCATAACTTTCTCAAATTAACTCAGAATCGGGCACACTACGTGTCTATGAACTCGTGAGAGCGAGGTTTACGCAATGGTGCCACCCAAATTCCCAAATTGACTTCTAAACCAAAAGTGACCAAAATTCTCTTAACTCCAAAGGTAAAATGTAACTTTTCCAAAACAAAATAAATAATTAGGTCGGGGTGTTACATTATGAGTTTATCGAGAATCCCGATAATCACCTTCAAGTCATAACTTTCGATATAACCATATAGTGTTCACAAAGACAAACGACTCGTCCACAAGATAATTGTGATGTCTCAGGTCTAAGGACTAACTTGTATTAATGCAACTCTGAATTCTTGTTTGACATTGTGAGTAAAACTTTCATACAAGAATTCATGGTCGATTGCGTTTAGTGAACTATATCTCTATTGAGCACCTACACTCTTGCCTCAGTGTCTCTTCACAAATGACTTGAGACTAATCATCCTCCCTATTGAGCAGACATAATGTGTACTAGTCTTTGCGGATTACCATTGTCCAATTGATGATCTTATGACTAAGAACATTTAAGACAAGATATCATGTAATGGGTTTAAGGTTTAGGGGGAAGGAATTTGTTTTGACAATGCTTCTTTAGCAAGGTTTAATGGATGTTGATTTGTGTGTATATACTAGAGATGGATTTTGATTCTATGTTTTGAAAATTTAGGGTTTCTTTTTAGGTGTGGGATATTGTGAGGAATAGCCATTCTAGAACAATCATTTGGGTCTGTTCATTCTTTAACTAGTGTTGCTGCAAGTGCGATACGTTGGCCATGCCTCTCTTCACTGTGAACTCTCCCTTCATGGAGGTTCGTGGTGACAGATCACATGAGGGAGGGTGGTATCTCTTGTTTTAGAGCTAGGTTTTTTTTTCTTTCCCTTTTCTAATATCATTTATTTATGTTAGGCCTTGTAATCTGAAGCCTCTTGTTTGTGTTTACTACTTGTATTTCAATGCTCCAAACCATCTCCTTCAAATATCATTTCACAAAAAAATCATTTGAATTTGAAATCATTTTACCATTCAATTAAATAGTTGCAGTATTTTCTCGAAACACCGTGGTCATCTATTTTGTCAGTCATAATGAACTAGATGCCTTAATGGTTTTCAATTTGTCTAATTTTGCAAAACTAATTTATGAATGAAGGCTTGAAAAATAGACGGTTTGAATCATTGAAATAAAATTTGTAGTAGACCCCAAAAGGTGTCCCTGAAATAAAATTATTTATGAGAACCTTTAATAAAAAGTATTTGAGATATCCTCAATTGAAAGGGATATAATATATATATATATATATATATAATTATACGGATATATTGATACTCATAAGCTTAACCCAAAAGAGAGAAGCGCATATGAAGAGTAGTAGATCATGATGTTCCCAAATTGAAGATGAATTAGGCGAGAAACAACCCATATTGAAATCCCATTGGCTAGGTTTTACAAAAGCAAAGAAAGTTGAAAAGAACAAACAGACAAGACAGTCCAACAAGTCAAAGATGACGCTAAGATTTTGTTTTAGCTACTATAACCGAGAGATTTATATATATATAAATCATTTATGTGACACGTCCTGTTGAAATCTGCTCTCTTTCTCTGTGATCATAGTTTGATTCCCTAAATCAAATTTTCCTCTCCCTTCTTTTTCTTTATTTGACTACACAAACCCTACAAGAGTGGAGGGAACAAGACACAGAGGGATAGTTCGAGTAAATTAATAGTGGGTGGTAAGTAATCAAGGATTTGGATTAACAGTGGGTTACGAGGATTTGGATCATCAAGAGGTGGCAATGCAATAAGGCTCCCAAAAAAGAAGAGACCTTCTAGGCTCTTTGCAACCCTTTGAAAAAGGAGCCAAGTGATCCCCTTTGTTCCCTCTCAAAACGAGCAATTGTTGCTGATCATTTGCCACTTGATTCTTGGACACAAAGCCATTGCTCTTGAGGGATTGGGACGTTGCTTGTGGAAGAGGATTAAGAGCCGCTGTTGCTGTGGGCTTGGTGCGCCAATAGTACTCGTAAGCGTTGAAAGAGCCTGCTGCTGCCGCTGTTTTTGCTGCCGCGGGTGGCTTTGGTATCAACCGTGCCACCCGGCCGGGCCGGGGTGGGAGTGACTTTGCTAGTGGGGTCGGCTCCACTACTTCCGCCTCCTCATCATCCCCTCCATACTTCACTACTTCATTGAACTTGTTAGCCCACCCATGAGTCTTATTAGCAAACCCAATGGGCTTATTCATCATTAGTGCTAGCCTATGAACATTTGTCACCCTACTTGTTAGCACTTTTGGTGCTTCCTCCATCACAATTTCTATTTCTTTGATTCCATTTTCTTTTGTTGCTTTCTCCTCCTCATCATCATCATCACCATCATCGTCATCATCACTTTTTTCACTTTCTTTTTCCTCCCCTCCTTCCTGAAAGTTCACAAAATTCTCCTCAAAGTCTTCCTCTCTACTTTGCTCTTCTTTATCAACAACCTCTTCACTCTCAGTCACCTCACAAGAGCTTGGAGTAGTAGCAAGAAAAGTGAGGACAAGGCGACCATCTTGGCGTTGGGCACGGAAGTTATTTGGTGAAGGCATGGACACAGCTTCAAGGACTACTCGTCCGTTGTTGCGATGAGTCCTCATGCGAACAGATGTCCCGTCACATCCTGACAAAGAAGGAAGGGGCGGAGGGAATGATCGAGTTGGAGGCAACTTCTTACTGGCAGCAGAGTTGTACTTGACAACTCGAAATTCTTCCCCGTCAAATGCTTGTGCCACCGGTACTTTTTCTTTTTCTTCTTCCTGTTGTCGTGGAACCTCAGCTCGATCTTCTTCCTGTTCTTTGTCCAGTACTTCTATGTCACCAGTCTCCGAAGGCGGGTACAATGAAAACCCTTCAGAGCCAGTCTCCGATCCGAGACTCTCAGTGCACACTTCAAGGCTCTTTACAGTCAAAGCGCTTGATTGTTTCTTCACAAGAGGATGAACATAAGGTGCTGCTGTATCAACTGCCTTGTGGCCCTCTTCATTGGCCTTTTGACATATAATTGAGCTCCACAGATCGAGTTGTCCCTGCTGCTTCTTCTCAGCCTCGGCTTTGCTCATCTTCTTCTTTTGATCTTCTTCATCAAGTGAGCTCCAAATAAGGAACTTCCCCTTCCTTTCTTGGTAACGATCTTCGTCTTCTGACGATGAAGAAGTGTTGTCCTGCGTATCGATGGAGGCGGAGAGTTCTTCAGAGGATGCAATCTTTTTCATGGGGAAGAAACCATGTTGAGCCAGCCATCTCTTGGAGGACATGTCTGCGGACAGTGTTCGTCGCAGGGAAGCTGCTTTGGTTCTTTCGGAGTCAGACGGGCCAAGAATCGTGACGATGCCCTGCTTCTCAGTGATGACCTTACTGGTTTCCTGCTCCATAATATTCTTCTTCATGAAATGAGAAGATGGTGAGCGAGTTAGGCTCTTGCTGAGAGAAGCAGATATATCTCCCAAAATCAGCTAACAAGTAGCTATAAGGGAAGAATGAGAGCTTTAATTAGCTGCAAAAAGAAACAAAACACAAAAAACACAATTAGCAAAACAAGTTGCTGAACATTGCAACAAATTTCAAGTTACAAAGCAAATTATAATATATATGTTCGGTGGATATACATAAAACATGCATGTGGTAAAAGAAAATACAAAACTAGCTGAGCTGTGGAGCAGATGGGAATTCAAATTTACCTGATGACAGATTCAGAAGGCAACTAAAACAACAGAAGAAAGCATCCAACAGAGGTCTCTTCTGCTAACAGAGAGACCACTGATGGGCTGTGACTTTGCAGAGAATAATAATAGCAGAGAGAGAGAGAGGGGATTATGAAGGTGATGTTTGAGGAGTGGGTGTGGCTGATCTGATGGCAAAGCAGGGAAGGGGGAATGTGGGTATTTGTAGGGAGCCAAAAGGGCTTTAGAACCGTGTGCAGTGGGGCCCGCCTACGCCACCCATGAGAAAAGTCCCTTCCCCATTTAGTTTCCAGTTTTTCCCCCTTATCAGAAAAGTGGGTGGATAATACTTGAGAAAATTTAGAGTTTGGACCTCTAGAGGATGTTCTCAATTTGTTTCTTGCTCTCTGAGAGATAGTACAGTAATATAGTCAAATGATATAGTTTATACACTTGTTATAATATAGTGGTCATGCTACTATACTAGCATACCACATAGTCATATTACCGTACTACAGTAGTGTACCGTACTATTCTACTTTCTCCTTTCTCTCATTACAGATTATATTGTATTAAGAAAATTGAGGTTAAAAAAAAAGCTCCCTAAAATTAATTGAAACCAACGTTGACTATGATGACATCTAGCTATCACTCACCTCTCATCGTCGATACGTAATCAATTTAGATAATAAAAATATTCGTATAAATTTTTTAATGAAATTCGTGGACATAATTTGAGAAGGATGCTACCCTCTCGTAGTCATAACAAGGGTTGTCAAAAGAAACATTCATCAAATCTATTGCATTGCTGAGGTTTTCTGAATTTTAGTTGTAACTTTAATTGAAGTTTTAGTGGAAAGTTAATTTTATGTCTTGCCGTCGAACTATTATGTGTTTAAAATTAGAGATATTTAGTCATATGTTCATTCTCAGCACTAATTAATGATATAGATAAACCGTACACCATTTAATTTCTATAAACAAACTCAGAAAAAACCAAAAAAATGATAGTTTGCCCTATTGAATTTAATTTTGATTATTAAATTACTTTGATACCCTATTAAGTGTTTTGAGTGTTTTTATGAGGTTTTGGGGTTGGGCTTGTTTTAAGAAATTGATAATTTTGTAATTTATAAGAAATTAAAGCTTCTTTGTTATGTTGTAAATGAGCTTTTTGTGTGTTTCTAAAGTCCATTTCATATATGATTTTTTTTTATAAATTGGGACCCCTACTAGCTAAAGGGCCGACTATAGTAATTCATTAACAGAAATTAGTTGTTAAGTGGTTTGAGAAATTTTATTTTGTTTTTCTAAAAAAGGGGGACTAGCTAGTGGCGAACCACGGCAATCCACCCTCTCCGAGGGCTGGGAAGACTCACACATGCGTTTCAGCGCAACCCTGGCCACAATCAGAAGATTCACCAGAAGTGAGAATCGAACTCAGGATTAACCGGGAGCATAACGGGCCAGAGGAACGCCTCAACCACTGGCCAACATGTTGTGGTTAAGTTATCCGAGTTTTTGTTTTTTGTTTTTTGTTTTTTTTAAAATGGGATTTTAGCCACAGTTACAACATGTGTGGCAATCTCAAATTTACTAATAAAAATAGGTTTTCCACCTTTTCTGAAAGTTAGAATGGCAAAATTGTGGCTTTTGTTAATACTGACTACTGATTGGACAGTAGCTAATATTGAGGTTTTCTAACGGTAACTCTGCCCAAGTCAGTTTTTTCTACACAAAAAAAAACACACAAGAGAAGAAGGCAATCAGCCCCGAGGCTCCTCTTTCGATGAGTATTTCCTTCAGTCCAAGCACACCGTTATACATATACTACTGAAAAGTTAGTCGTGCACTTTGATCCATGACAAGATATTTGCTCAGCATCTTTAAGCAGCCAATAAATTATAATAAACTAAACTCATGCATGCATAATAACAATAATTAAAGACAGACAGTAAGACCTCACAACAAGATTATGAGTAAAGTTCCACCAGAGTCCCACTCGAGGACAAACACCCAAAAAAGGCACTGCTAGCTACCATGCATTATAAGCAATATTACCAATTAGGAAATGCAAAAAACGATACTGATTGGACGAAAATGGCTTAAGGAAGAAGCAAGGGAATCACTTTCAGATAGCGCAACATGATTGGGCGGCCAGAAACCCTCCTGATCTCACAAGCTCATACAAAAGAGAAAAAGAAAGAATCTCAGCATATATTATAAAATGGATAAAATAATAACAAAGAATAATGTATGTGGAAACAATAAGAAGCCGTCACCATCTAGATGTTTGGACCCCTTTTGCATACGTAGCACCATTAATAAATAGCATTAGCAAAAAAAAACAAGACCTCTCTCTCTCTGTCTCTCTCTTTCTCGTTCTGTGTATACGTATCCATGGAGAAGAGACCGATACGTCCACCACTCATATATACTAAAAAGGCTGTGATGTTGATGAGTACAATTAAAGCATATATGGTGTGGAAGGAGCAAAAATTATAAAGTTAAAAGGATCAAAATGAAAAATATAACTATATATAAGTATTCAAAAATTATATATTATACGTAAATATTTCTAATTTATTTTAAAGTCGAAAGACTAGAAGAGGGGGCAGGGCCGCCCGTGGCCAAGGCCACTCCTAGTCTAGGAGTGGCTCCTTCATAGACTTACATTAGAATTACTGCAAATTATGACGTGGAAATTAAAAGGAATTTTCATATATCAAGACAGAGAGAGGGCGAGAGGGCGAGAGAGAGGGCCATAGAAAAATGAAGTATTATGCTTTGCCACAAACCGAGGAAGACAAAGAGGAACCATGGATGCGCTTTGTCTGCCTATAAAGCAATGCCACTCAAACCTACAACGCTTATCTGTGGACTCTATCTAGCCTTTTGTTTTTGGAATGGTTCTTGGGAATGGTCAACTTGCCTCACTCCAACATAATAATAATTTCTTGATTGCTAATAAGGAAATAGGTAGAAAGTTATTGGTAATATAATTAGGTCCTGCCTTGCTTGTGTCTGTATATGTGTGTGGGGGTTCCTTTCCGTCAAAAGAAAGTTTATTATCGAATATATATATATATATATCAGCCCTGATTTCTTAAACTACAAAGGTTCAAGAGATTATGGTCACCTACCATTGGATGTTAATCCAACGGTTCAAAAAAGTTTCTTAAAATGAGTGCAAGAGTGAGTGAATCGTTGAATTTACATTCAACGGTGAGTGACCACCTTGTAGTCCAAGAGATCGGGATTGATATATATATATATATATATATTCTTATATTTGGATGTCCGGACGTTATTATCGTGCGGACGTTATGTATTTTCTATTACCCTTCCATGCTTTCCTCCCTTTTTACAATGACATCGGTGTGATAATAATGTGTGAACATCTAGATGAGAAAACAACTATAAATATATATAGCTTCTATTGATGGATTTCTTAAATAACCTTATTTAAAAGACACCAAGACACAATTCGCATTGTATTTTACTAATCCAAATCGTCTATTTTGTAGATATTTATTCAAAAATCATCTCTATAAAAATCACTTAAATCCAATATTATTTTACCACTCCATCTACAATACTTATCCTTACATTACATCGACATAAGGTCCATTTCTTTTCAAGAAATTGAGTGGAATTTAGGTTGGTACGCTGTCTACCAACCAATTTCTCCCATTCCAAGGGTTGTGATGGAAAGTATATGTAGCATAGCTCCTTTTAAATTAATTTTAAAGGCACCGAAATTGAAACCGAGTGGCAAATATTTTGAGAGTAAAATAGAAGATTCAGTGCGCATTCTTTTCAGTACATATACAACATACACAAAGGACCAAAAATTATTGGAAACAAAAGTAACAAAACGACATTGAAGAAGTGGTCGTGACTTGTGATACTGGTTCTCCACGAGTATCTTCTACAAATAATATTTTTATAATTAAAGAAAATGAATGTTAAATAGATAAGGTGAAAAGAATATGACACTTCGGTTATGGATATATATCAGGGTTTATTAGTTTCTCAATCAACATCTTTGGCCGTATCACTTTATTATTACTGCTTATCCTAATTCTTCATTTATTTAAAACCCTAAAATAATGAGAAGAATACTTTTTTTTTTTTTTTTTTTTTTTTTTTTTTTTTGTAAGGGAGGGAAAAAATTGGTCAATTAATGACGGAGAAATTTGAACTTAGCTTCATTCGTAGCAAAGTGAAAAGTATAGTTCTTATCCGAAAAAAAAGAGAGTATAATTTTGAGCCAAAAATATAATAATGGGCCTTACATATTCCACAATTTTTTTTAATTATATGTAATAACATAAGAAAATTAATTATAAGTTATGAACGGCAGTTTCTTGGTTTGAACAGCCACCAGATTATATTTTTGATGTTCTCCTTGGGGACTGTAACTTGCGGTTTTTATGGATATGATCTTAAGGGGGGAAGGGAGACTCTATCGGAGACAAGGTTTCTTTTTCGGAAGCGGTTAAGAAGGTAGGCTACCTCGGTAAACCGACCACCACTAAGCTTCGTTTGGTGTAGAGTACTCACCTAATCTTATAGGACATAGTTTAGTTTTTGTACTGGTTACTCTTTTTCCTTATTAATAAAAACACTATCGTCGTTGTGTCAAAAAAAAAATTATAATCCGAGCTATTAAGTCAACCAGTTATTTTGTCCCCCAAAAAAAAAACAACAACAACAAAAAACAA